GCTATCAAACCGCAAATTGGTGCTCAAAGTCACCATTCATCTATTTTGACTTTTGATAATCTCATCCTGCGCGCCCCTTTTAACCTTTATCCCAGTAATTAATAACTGGTCCGTTAATCCGTTTTTAAATATGAACTTATTTTCTTCCGTATCGCAGTATCACGGCTCAAAAGGTCTGGGGACGTATTTATCGAGCTAAATACCTAGCCTCGGGAAAGGATTAAACCAAAATGCGTGAGATTATTTTGATCGAGGACGTGCCATTTTAGATTTTGAACAAATTGTACTGATAACCGATCGTTGGACCCGATCAGAATCCCGCAAGCAGATTCTGAAGTACCTATGTGACTCCACTTAATTCCGCCAAAACAAGGATACGAAAACTTATAGCCCAATAATTCCGCCAAGGGTAGCAATAATAAAATCTTTAGAAAAGCACATGAACATCTATTAATACAAATTTGGTGCAATGTACCTTTTCATTGCCAAAAACAAATCATTTCAACCATAACATTTGCACATCACCACATAAATGTGAGTAAACTTCTGCGCCGCCTTCCCTTCTCATCCACTACCCTACGGTATTTTCAATATAAACTATTTATAGTATGTTCCACTTTACCGGGCCTTTCCTAGGAGTAATTAGATCGGTGTTGCCTGTGCAGCATCATATACCGGAAGAGATATGTTTCATTTATTATCTGATTGTCTATTCTTTACTTTTGATTCACGTCTGCTGTCCTCTAAGCTTCTTGTTAAAGTTTCATTTCTCTACATATTTGTACCCAAATGCTCAGCACAGTTAATTCTGGCGTAGATAGTGACAATACAAACACCTCTCTCCCTTTTTCACCATATATTCTGCCAGCGTACACAAAATCTTGATTCACCATATTTGTAACTTATTATCTTATTTTTGATTCCAAATTACAGGATTTACTGTCCGAATAAGATTTCTGACCCTCCGACGACTATTATTTATGCCCCTCGTAGTCCAAAATACCATCCAAATATATAACTGGAATACAAACGTCAAAAATACAACAATAAATAATAATAAATTCATCCCAAACATCACTGACTACCGTATCTTCCCATCTATATACTTTGTAATAACGAGACTTGTCTCTGTCTTGCGTCGCATTCGTAGTTGTGGTTCGGTTCGGTTAATGGGATGTCCTTTCGTATGTGCGTCGGGTCCATTCTTGTTTGTCATGCGTGCGATTCTCTATTTTATTGTTTAGTGCCATTTGCCGTTAATTTGTCGATTCTAGGGTTTTGTGTGCAGTCCACATCTCATGTATACTTAAAAAGTCGTATGTCTTTGAGTCCGCAAAAGCTCTCCCAGGTCGAGTCGACAAGTAATGTCCTAATCCTCACAACGTTGAAGAAGTCGTGATATGTTCGATCGCTGTTAAATCAGTGTTGATTGATTGGTAAATTATAGTACTTTCACTATTGAAGAACCTTGGTTTAAAAAAAAAAAACGTTATTTCACATTGGTGACCACGACGTGACGAATTCGCAGAAAAAAATGGAAATGATTTCAACAGAACAATTCAGAGAAGTTCTGTTGGATATTATAAAGACCGTTGTATCTCACATGGCCGAAAGGGTGAGGTTGGCAGAGGAGAATGGGAGAAATTTCTTCGTGAATCGAACTAATGTCTATCGTGCTGAAGATGGCCAGCCCATTTGCTATTGTTGTTTGCGCGTTGGTCACGTTGCCAAATATTGTAGGGACAGGAAATTTTCTTTAGCATCCCAGAAGAAGTGTGATCAAAATGAACCTGTGATTATTGCCTCGGTAGCTGAAGAGCGACCTCGGGTTACCTTTATTGGCAACATCGAAAGAAATGAGCCACACTTTCAAGATCTTCAAACTCGAGTTAAGAAATTGGAGGAGATTGTCAATGAATTGGAGTCACATAAACTATCACGACCAATGGTGACGCGACTGCCTTCTTCAAAACCAATGGAAGTTGACGAGGGTTTATTAGCCACAACATATGAAAAAAATTTGATTGACACTAAAAGAAGAGAAGGACATTTACGTGTACATAATGTTGTTATAGCCTCGGGTAGAGAACCGTATGGACGGAATAAACTTGGACAGGGACACTATTTCTTAGATGGTACTTGATTTACTCATTTCAGTAAAATTATTTGATTTGATTCTTCGTGCTGCCTTATAATACTTTTATGTTTCTTCCCCTTCGAGAGATCAAGCCAGGAGGCTTGTCTTTCAAAGGGGGGAGTAATGTTATACAACTTGTTTTGTCTGTCGTGCATCGTGTTTGTGGTTCGTTATCGTTAATGAGGATGTCTTTCGATGTTTGCGTCGGTCCATTTTGTTTGTCATCGTGCCATCTCTATTTTAGTTGTTATTAGTCCATTTGCCGTTAATTTGTGTCATTAGGGTTTTGTGTGCGTCACTCATGTTCTTAAAAGCGTATGTTCTTTGAGTGCAAGTCCAGTCGAGTCGAAGTTGTCGTTGAAAGAAGTCGTTATGTTGTAATCGTTGGTTGTTGCTAATTTATACTTTCACTATTGAAGAACCTTGGTTTAAAAAAAAAAAACGTTATTTCACACTTTCCACAATGTTTCCTCCACGTTCCATGAAAGAGCAGACAAGGCGCGAAAATTATTAAGGAACATGACCGATTAAATCTGGTGTACGCTTGTCTTTTTTTAGCATTACCGTAAATCCTCGAATTGGGCCCCCCTTCGAAAAAGCCCCACTCGAATAAGCCCCCCACCCCAGAACTACAAATTATCAATAAGCCCCCCCCTCGAATAAGCTCCCACTGCTACCGTAAATTCTCGAATTGGAACCCCTCAATTTGATGATTCAATAAGGCCCCCTCCCTCGTATAAGCCCCTCTCTTGAATAAGCCCCCCTCTTGAATAAGCCCCCATCCAAAAATACCGAAAATAAATAAGCCCCTCTGGGGGCTAGTCCGAGGATTAATGGTAAGGCAATTCAATATGGATCAACAACCAGGGCCTCCAGATTCATTTTCTTCAATGCAAATAGGCAGTCCCCCTTTTTTGGATTTTACCACGCGCTTTTACCAAAATTATCTCAACCATAGTCATCAAGTGAAAAGGACAAAGATAGAGAGCGATTTTTTCCTAGAATCTTGACAGATATCGCTTCTTCATCATATCCTGCAAATATGTCCGAAATTTTGGCACGAATCACTGAACATGCCAGGAGAGCTATTGGAGAGATTTTGGAGAGATAGAAAGGATCCCTCTATTCCTATAATACTACTAATAATAATATTTGAAAGCACCCGCATACTGAGAAAAACGCTGTCCATCAAATGAATACTTTCCCAGAAAATATTTGCGCAACCCCCTGAAAATTTCTTTTTCAATTTATAACACGTCACCAGACACTCCTCATTCTGGAGCATGTCATGATGTTTTTCCTAGAAAACAAATCTAAATTAGGCTGAGTGACATCATGTGATCACGTTGCATAGAGCAAAGATACTGGAATAGTGACTGGATAGGAAACTGCGCAGACAACAATAGGCGATTACGTTTATCTTCCAATCGCGTGTTTTGGAAAAGTTGTAGGGTATAGTCATTTCCGGTTTTAGTCTCACGACCAGGACATTCACCGAAAAAAGCAACATCCAAGAATGGATTTCACCTATTTTAATGGCCAAATCGACGAAGAATTACTTGAACTTGTTGTCGAGGTAATGTAGTCCGTTTCTTTGTGTACTTTAAAGGCGCTGCAGCCATTATCTCTGTCTCCGCGAATAAGAATTTAAGTCATGGCGATGTAGGCCCTTCTATCAAACTTCAATATTTCATTTTCTAACGAGTAATTGCGAGAATGCCGATTGAACATAATGTATGTTCGATGAACCAGGGATAATGCTAGTGAAAATGTTGATTTACATTATAATTAGGCCTAGGAAGATACTTGTTTTAAATTAATGATGTTGGCTTTGGCTTGATTTTTCATCGACACGGCAGCAGCACCAGTCAACATATAAACAAATCACGAAACAATAAAATGGAAAGTTTCTCGTCTAATCATGTTTCCCGTTTTTGTTATACTTTTGAGGGTACAGAGCTGTGCACCCCTGTAGCAGGTGTACGTCTGGTTAAATTATTATTGATGTTTTCCTTTTAGGAAACCACTATTAAATTTTGTGATGACAGTCAAATTTTGTTATTCACCAACAAACGAGGAGCAATGCAAAGAAAAGGAAAGTTAAAGAGCCATATCGTAAGAAAAAGGGGGTGACTTTAAAGGAGAAAGAACATGATGCCCCTCAGATTTGTATGAATTCAATCATTAAGGGTGCTTTAGAATCGATGGCCAACAAGACGGTTTTGATGGAAATGTATGGAAAGTTCTTCAGAGGCTACTGGAACTTGCAGGACCTGCTGATACAATAGGCTTCCCAAGAGGTCTTTTTAAGAACAAATTGGAAAGCAAAACCAATTATCTGGATTCCATGTGGGAAAATTTCCAGAAAGTATGGAGGATGAAAATGTTAGAACAAATGTGCAAGCCCACTTGAAATGCTCAGCTATCAGGCAAAAGTTAATATTTCTTAAAATACTTCAACAATTGAATATGGATGAAATATGAACTAAACAGCTTGAAATATAGCTAATATTACAAAAATAATTCTAATAGAGAAATATTCATTTTCTGGTCTTTTTAACAATATACAAAACTCGTTATGCCAAAATTGCTGGTATTCTAGTTTTTATTACTAGCCCCCTCTATTACTGAAGCATTGAAACACTTTCCTCGCTTTCCAAATAAGAGGAAAGCTACATCTCTTTCTTTTCTTCAGAGGATTTCTCAGAGAGAACAAAATTTGTATCATTCGAAAAGGGGTCCACAGAAACTTTGTTCCGAATATTACCAGTTTTGTCAGCAAGACCTAAGGGTACAGTCTCATCAGAGCTATGTAAAATGACCCAGGGCTGTTTTATTTTGCCAATGCTCTTTTTGAAATCTGTGAAACCTCTTCATTTGTAAAGCACTGGTAAGGGCACCTCTTGAAAAAGTCTTTCAAGCTCATGCCTTTGTTTCCCTTGGTTATTTTCATGACTTCTTTTATGTAAGAACTGTGTAGGCAAACTTCCAACAAGGAGGTCTTTTCTTCCAGTCTTTCCTACAAACAACATTATGAAATAATTTATTGTCAATATGAATACAAGATAAAGAAAATTTGAGTTGCCCCCCAACTTTGCTTCTAATTTTGTTAGATATTTTTGTCTCAATGACAGTTGATGATTTTGACACTTTTCTCAGGGGGACTTTCGTCCCATCAGACTATTGCCTGCTTTGTTTATTCAACGGTGACACTGTTGATATTCTCAGTCGACCTATCACCAGCAACTGATTGATAGGAGTTGTGGGGGTCGTGACAGCTCCCCCCAATAATAAGTCAAAAATCGATTGAATTCCTAAGTAATATTTATATAACCTATTTCGTAGCCCCCCTACCCCCGAAAGGATTTTTTAATGAGATCTGCATCCAATCTTAATAATAAAACTCTTATAAAATAATAGGCAAAAATAATAATCAATGAAAGAAGTAATGAAAGTTACAGTGACTTACCGATCCTAAAGCAATGTTGATCAAAATGCCTTGCGCAGATGTAGGCCCTCTCTGCGTTGAAACTCCTATCGCATCTTTTTACTTTACACAAAAGCTGCGTTCTCCACTCCTTTTTTCTTTCATTTTTCGTTGAAAACGTAACAAGGGACAAATTAGCTTATCTTGGTAAGTCTACAACAGTTAACTACCGTGCCGAATAGCTGCGAAGCTCGTCATTATCAGTCAAAACCAAACAAACCGGAAATGATCATTCCCTACAAGTTTGAATAAGCAGTGATGCGTAACATGTTCTATTGTCCGCTTCGCAGTTTCCTATCCAGTCACTATTCGAGTATCTTTGCATAGAGGACGTGGCGCTCAAGAAAGATCTTCCACCTGCACGCCATAACGTTGCAAAATATCTACCCAAGTAATTTTTCAAAAAATTTGATTAACGGTATTTAAAATCTCAAGAGGCGTTGCAAAATGGCCTGAAGAAAGACTCAACCATACAAACCTAACGGGCGTGTTCTAAGGATACTAGCCCCTCAACTCCCTAGTTAGATTTTCCCTGGACCTGCTTCGGAAACATGGTTTACTGTCTAATTGACTTTCAAGCGCCGAAATCAGGGAATGCAAGTTTGGTTTGAGACATCGCATGCTTGACCGCTATGTTTGAAAGTAGCAGGTCATTAAATTAATAAAAAAACTCAAGGGATTATATGTGATTCAATCTTGACGCAAGGCGTGCGCCAAACAGAGCATGCAGGAGGGCATTTGGTCGACGCACTTTTCACCAGGGCCCCGTTACTTTGTGGTGCAGTGCAAGGTGAAGCAGCCCAGAGGCAGATTAAGAGTGTGGAAGTCCTAGGCACTCCCTGATCTTGATGGTCCCTTTCACGTTTTAACAATGAAACATTCTAATTATGTTGTTGACTTGCTTGTCAGATATTCAATTTAGGTTGCAGCAATACAAACGATTTTTATATGAATACAAAATAAGTGGATTGCGGAATGTACTGCGGAACTGCAGTACCCTTTTCTGAGTAAACACCAGCCACTAAGCTCTGGGGGGGACAAACCAAAAAAATTTAGGCCACGCCCTTTTAACCACCAGAAAACGCCCTTTTATCAACAGGGAACGCCAATTTTATCCGAAGGGAACGCCTAAGACTAACTTTTGTTTGAAAATTGGCTGTTTAAAAATCATAGGATTACATCACAAAAAGTACGGTGTCAAAATATTACCCCTACCCCAACATTTTCTCATTGAATTTGGACGAAATACAAAATCGGTTCTGCTGAGAACTGGGGGGGGACGTGTCCCCCCAGTCCCCCCCACCCCCGTGGCGCCGCTACTGATGACAGCCCCTCTATCTTAATTGCAAATTCCTTCCGTCGCCCATGCAATATACTGTACAAACTAAGCCAAGCTTAGGCAACCAGGGGCATCCTGGCTGAGGGGCATCCTGGCTGGCGATAGGTATTACTAGATACAAGTGCGCCTTTTTGAAGCGCAAGTGTGTAAAAACAGGCTGCGATCAACAATGGACCAAGAGAGGCAAAAGTGATGCTGCAAAAGATACATTTTAGTTGCCAGGCCATTCTGCCTTTAAAAACTGCGCATGCGCTTGACGTCATAATTTTAATGTAAAAACGTTGCCGGAAAATTTGCAAGCCGTAAGAGTCACTATCCACAACGCCTCTCTGGACAACATTAACAAATACAAAAAGGCATCTGACCTAATATTTGAAAGCTTGATGTATCAAAGTCAGTTAAATGTTTCCAATATTAATGATCTGAAAGGCATTTTTCTATATTTCATTCTCCCTGGGTCACTGATAACCGTGAGTATAGCCTTTCTTGAAGCATAACTGAGATCTTTTTGGGTTTTTGACATGTCTCAGTTGTGAAAAAGACTTCTCTGCTTACGCAGATGTTTACCATCAATTTTAAAAAAATTCAACAATTTCAACAACTGGAAAAGCACTCTCTTGTTTTCTTCTGTTATTGCAAAATTAATTTTAATGTGAGTAGCAGATGCTTATGAGAGACACGTGAATGAAATGGTTGGTTTTCAGATTTTGGCAGATGTAATCGAAAGCATGAAGTTTCATTCGATAAATGTCCAGTTTGATCAAGATCTTTGCTGGATGCTGATGTTCTCAATCGGTTGCATAATATTAATCAAATTTATGTAACAGGTATATAGATGCAAGTTGGGAAATGGGAGGGGGATGGCAAGGACAAATCTAATAATAATAACAAATAATTTTGCAAAAAGGCTCGATCTTTTTATTAGAAATAGCACTTAAAAATGTATTGTAAGTAATGATGTAACCCCCGTCTAGCCTCGTTCTAGGGTAGTTAGCAAAACACGTGGCGGTCAAGCTCTTACTCGTTAGCTTATGCAAACAATTTTTACTTTAATTTTTAATACTTTTTGCAAAAAAATTGGGGCCATGCCCTGAAACCTATTCACATTCTCATCAGAGGCCATGTGCTGTGAATAGCCAAAGCCTTTCTTCTATGATAGAGTTTTCGTCAGATAAGGCTACCGAAGGCTGTAACAAAAGCAAGTCCATCAAGAAGATCAAAGGTTGATCAAAACACCGAGGTGCTGGGAAATGTGACAACAGAGCAAATCGATAGGGGTCCTGGATCTCTTCATCTCTACAGCAGAATCCCAATCAATATAATAGGACCTTGGTAGGACCTCTATCACAGAGTATCTCAACTCAGACTCGAAATACGTTTACCCTAAAAAATTAACGTAGACTCAACCCAAGTATGCGAGTTTGTTGCTGGCCCAAAGAAATTAACCCTAGATCCATCAAGACATCAAATACCTTGGGCCTGACAAGGTCAACACAAATACCTTGGGCCTGACAAGGTCAACACAAACCAATATAAGGAGAATTAATAATGAGAGAGGGTGCACAAGCTTTTCCAAAATTTAAAAAAAAAGTGCTATTCCATATCCTTATGTGTTATACCAGTTACTGACGATTAATTTTCAAAATATCTAGAATTTTTACATTTGGAAAATATTTTGGGGTATGACTTTGAAAAATTTATCATATTTCTTGACTGATAATTTGGAATTTAGATTCAGACATATGAGCCCCCGTTTTATCATTATGAAGTACCCTGCCTCCTGGGGGTTGTAAATCCCAGAAATGTTGTGAAAAATTAAAAATATTTTGTGACAAGAATTATCTCCAACAGTTGCCAAGTCATAGACTTACATGCAAGTTAAAATATGCAGATAGAATATAAGCAAAAGAACTAAAACTGAGTGTATTTCTTTCTGCCAAAAAGCAATCCCCAAAGTTAGTAGCAGACATATAATTGTCACCACCTCATTATTCTGTGTCTTGATGCAATTAACATGGAGAAATACTGAAATTGGACTGGCAAAATTTTATAATGATCCCTTCAGAACCTCCCTTCTGTTTGGAAAATCAGAAATTATTTTGATGAAATTTTTTTACAAACTTGTCTGACAGCCAACTAAAAATAAAGTAGACTAATGTAATCTCAATCAAGCCTTTCCAATAGTGTCGGAAATCTTCAATAACCAATGATTATTGCAGAAAATATTATTCTAAGAAACAAAAGACACCTTTGAAATGACTGCATGAAATCTAAGAACATCAAACTACTAGTTCATGTCATACTTTCTTCGTATTATCTTATATTTTATACCGGGGCAGTCTTGAACTCTTCCCCCTTCAAACAAAACCACACCATGTTCTTGTAATGTACCTTTTTCGCCTGGTATATAAGCAGTTATCAATTTTCCATTACTAAGCCTGAGGATGGCACATTTTCTTTGTGCTGAGTTCGGTTTCTTTGGAGTGCGAACAACAAGTTTAACACAAACTCCCTTACGTTGGGGTCCTAACAAAATTTGCTTGTCCTTTGGAAGTTGAGCCTTTGGCCTCTTCTTTTTTGTTCTGGGCTTCTGTCTGCGAACTTGATTCAATGTAGGTAGATGTCTCACTTGAAAATTTGTCACACTTTTCATTAGCTTCAATTGCAAGACGGTTGCTTCATGTATTTTTGAAACAACAGAAATATTTCTTGTAGGCTGCAGAAGTGCTAATGTCTTTTCTAAGCTGGTTAAACAGCTATATGATGTCTTTGGAAAGAGTCCTACAATAAAAATACAAAAAACTTAAATTGATGCCTATCGACAGCAATGAAAGAAAAACAGAAATTACTATTTGAAAAGAGTCTTTATCGCTTGCTTTTAACCTGAACTTGCTAACTTAAAAAAGGAAAACCTAAAACCTTATCTATCAAAGAAATGTCAGAGAAAATTTATAATTTGCTAATGGAAATGGCAAAATGATAAGGGTAATTTCTCAATTTAGGGGATCTCAGTGCTTTCAAGTTATTAAAGCATTCATAAAATCAAAAATTGTTTGCTATAAAGTGGAACAAATCAAGGAATTATAGTACAAAAATTTTAAGTATGATTAGTTATGATAATATTGTGTAAAGCAACACATTGGGTTCCTCTTGCATTTGAAAATCTAAATGGTGTAAGACAATGCCCATTAATTAATACAAGACATCTGCATCTGTTTTCACCTTTGCAATGAAAAAGTATTAAAGGATATAGATCATTCCTTGTTTTTATCTTGGGGGGGGCAAGGGGGGGCGACCGCCCCCCAAATGCTTTAGAGGACAATGGTTTTTTGTTTTAAAACAATGGGAAATGTGACATCATCTTATTAAAACAATAGGCTTGCTCCCCCCAATATTTGATCAAGTGTCTGCCCCTGTATGGAATGTGGCAGGAACAAGCACAAAGGTGTTTGTTACAATTCAAAAGGAATTTGCTTTTTACAGAATTGAAATGGATAGAAACTTTTGTATAAGATTAAAAATGACAGTAACACGAAGAAGGGGTATTGTGGTTACAAATTACCTTCTTTAGGGATGCTTGGAAAATATGTTGTAGAATATTTCTGCAAAGAAAAACAAAATTTTCAAATACGGAACTTGTGAACCAGAGTGCAAAGTATTTTTTGTGCGCGGGGAATTATTTTCTGTCGCTTATGTGTGGCTATGTGCGGAATTCACACGAAAGTCCATGCTCCAACTGCTCGGAACGCCTTCCCCGCACATACCCAAACTTTGCAGTCTGGCTTGTGAATGTTTAAGTTGTGTTCTTCCCTTATTTTATTCCTACTTGTTCCGTTACTGAATAACATTTATCCAATGTAAGTAGCCTTTTAGCCTAAAATTTGCTCCTTTATATATTTATGCCTTCTGTACACCATCAAAAAGTGTTGCTGTGATTCCTAGCTTCAAAGCATTTTGACATTAAACATCTAACAAATTTCTTCATTAACTCGTTACTTTATCTAGCATTTTGAATACCCCCTAATATAAGACAAGCCGATAAATCCGCCCCACGATATGGTTCGCAAATTCGGCTATAGTCATGCAATATCAACATTTATTGAATATCTATATTCATTAACATATTTATTTAGCTGTAAACCATATATACTCTTGCAAATCGACTCTGCCACGTAAATTGCAAACTTCCCATCTGGATAGGGGCTATTCAGAAAATATCTCAGGAGAATAAAAAATAAACAGCAAATAACAAATTTTTACCATTCGAATATTTCTTGAAGCTACTGTAAATCCTTGATTTGTCAAATGGTGCACCTTTCCGAAACATATTTCTGCAAAACCTCCCATCAATCTGATCGCCATTTTGCCTTTGCCTTGCGTCCTGTTCCATTGACCTCGAGTTCATCGAACCCTCCTTTTGGAACAATGCAAGGAAAACTACAAGCCAAGGCAAGCTGATGTCTAGTTGTTGTTTTTTGACGATAAAGAGATCCTGGATAATAAAAAGATAGTATGGTTTGGTACAAAAGGTAAGAAAACATTGGGTTTATTGATATGGATTAAGTAATATATGATAGCCCTATACTCTTATCTTTAATCTTTGCACATCTGGTCCGTCCCCAAAATTAAACTGTACACCAAGCAAAATGGACGTGGAGAAAGGCATGGCAGTTAGCCTTTTGGGAAAAATTTGTCTGAGCAGCCAAGCCAAGTTTGGCATTGCATGTTTGTACAAACAATTGTTTAGTGCTGTAAATCCTTGAATAAGCATCCCCTTTGAATGAGCACCCATCTAAAATGAATGGTCGCTAAACAGTCAGAAATTTAAAGAGCAACTTAACGCCTATAAACCAGGCACCTATAAAAGTGAGGGGTCTAAAAAATGTCGGGGGGCTGAAACCGTATAAAAAGAGGCTTTACTGGTAGTTTATTACTTAGTACCTGGCATTTTTAGCAAAAAGGGGGGCTAAAGCCCCCCACCCCCTGCTCCGCTGTGCCTGTAAACAGAATACCCTGTTTCTCAACACTAAGACTAAGCCTTTGATAGACAAAGCATCTAATCGGACTGCAGAGTACAGCAGTTTCCAACTAGATCTTGGGTGTGCAAGTGTAACATTTCAAGTGTTCAAGTTTGCACTTCAGTTGTCTATATAGTTGGCAAAACATGAACAAATATCAGAAGATTGACATAATTTATAGTTCTTTTGTATCTATCAAACCAATGCAAGATTATGTCAATCTTGAAAACATTATTCTTCATTTGACCTTAGCAATTGTACACATCCATGTCACATACAGATTTCAAAATGCCACACCCTCTACAAGGTTTGCAGGGAAATTTTAGAAAAAATATCTTGAGTGTGCACTTACCATTCTCTGCAGTCTAGGTGTCTAACCTCTCTTCTACCTTTAGGATAATGGTGCTTCAATATCACTCTTCGCTAATCTAATGGCCAAAATAATTGCTGAAAGCTTCACAGAAACTGCTGTTTTGAAGAATATGATAGACTCTCACTTGGTAAGTGTAAATCCTTCTCCTAAGAAGGGGTCTGCCAAAAATCAAAATGAAGCACCATGCTTAAGGTCTTTTGATCCTGAAACTCATTATAAAGTCAGAAAAATAACAACAAAAATCAATGATTCCTTGCAAATGCTTGCAAATGAACCATCATTGGGACTTTACAGAATCCAAGAGCATATACACAGAACAACCCCTGCCCTTATTGACAGAAAAAGAGAATTAGAGGGCAACAAGAAGAAAATTGAAGGGGTTTCTTATGACATTGATTATTCAATCTCAGCTGTGGATACAATGGGCAATATAAAACAATTTACAAATATATCAGAGGCACTTAAATGTGCTATTGAAATGAAGAAGCAGTTAGACGAAAAAGAAAAACAAGAAGAAGAAGTCAAATTAAAAGAGTCTTCTGCAGCTAAGCAAGCAAACAAGTCAATTTCAGAGAATGAGATTGCAGAAGGATACATTTGCCCAATTTGTTATTTTGCCCATGAAAATCAAGATGCTCTGCTGCTGCATTGGAAAACAGAACATAGTTTAGAAACGTATGAAAATGAAGTCTTTGGAAGCATTGAGCTTACATCATCTTCAGCAGAAAGTGGTCAAGAAAATGGAAGAAACACCAAACTACCAAGTGAAGGTGAGGAAGCATCAGAGCAGTAAAATCCCCAATGCTTTAGGGAAAAGCAACCATTGCAATACAAATACATTTACTACACTTTTGAAGTATAGATTCAATTTGGATAGCTTTTTGTTAAATGGCTTTTGTTTGAGTAATAATGTATATTCACGAATATAAAAAGTAGCTATGCATAATATATAAAGTCTTTGTAGGTTCTGAAGACTTCCTCGCTATCTGAATGATCATCACATTTTTCTGAGGAAAATCTGCAAGGCTATAATCAGGCCTGGGCATTTGAGGAGAGCCATAGCTCTTGTTCCCCTCCAGGCTCTCCACAAACACTAGAGGGGAGCTACAGATTTCTCTCCTAAATTGTTCTAAAAAGCGACACTTCTCTTTTTGAAATCAATTTTTCCTTTGCTTCTATTTATATAGCTCACCTGAATACTACTAGGAGAGCTGTTTACTTCTCCCCTGGTAAATGTTTTATGGCCAGGCCTGTATAATCTCATAAAATTCCATGATTAGGTCAACTAAATCAAGGTTGTTATAATGTCAACCAGAATGCCTAAAACAAAAGTTTACTCCCATGCCTGATTTTACACCACAATAACTATTGACAAATTGGCAATTTTTTAATTAGGAGATAGAAGAGGAATAATGAGCACTCAAAGTTTTAATGCAATCAAAATAAGTTAAGTTCATCCTAGGACGCAATGTACATTTAACAAACTTGCTGATAATTATTTACAAAAGAAGTTTGGTAACCAGCCCAAAATAGGAAAGATACAGCTTGCATTACAGACAGTTAAAGAAATGTAAAAAAGTATGGTGTCTGGGTAACCAGACTTTGGCTCTTTCATATCTTGAATTTAGAAAGTATAGCTAAACAATTGTTTCAAAGAATTAATAATTTTTTAGAAAGCATTATTTGGTAAATGAAATCATCTAGCAGCCATGTCACAATGCTGGTTCAGGTTGATCCATACACTCCAAGGTCTGATAAAGCTGGATGATAGTTCTTCAAGTGTGGTATTGTTAATGAAGCTGGTGGATAGTTCATGAGAGTGGAGCTCCTGCAAACTAGTCAAGTGAGCAAACAAGGGGGACCTCTGTAATTGCTTGTTTTTTAAATTTTCTGGAAATATATTGACAAATAAGTTTTTACAATAGGTCTTATTTGATCACCAATAAACTTTGCACTGATATCATTAGGCAGGGGCAAGGAGGGGGGGGGTGGTTAGAAAAGGGCAAAAGTTTTGGGGCCCGTGCTCTGATGGGCCCGTAATAAAGTAATAAGATGTATTTACAATGCAAAAAAGCTACTATTTCAGCTATTTATATGGAATCAATGTCCTGAAGTTTATTGCAGAGAAAAGCCCACATGTCCTTGATTGATGCAAGCCCACATGTCCTTGATTTGCCCACATGTCCTTGATTTGCACATTCTTGTAAAAATCCTTAAAAAACTTTTTCAACAATTGTACCTAAAAAGGGTATTTCCCTTGTTCTCCAGGAGACTGAAGGGCATGGCCACATGAAATTTTCTTAAAGGGGTCCAGTTTTGTGAAATATGAATAGCCCCTGGGCCCAAGCTTCCTCTTGACAGCCCTGTCATTAGGTTATCTACCTTTATATACCAGCATCTAGATGCCTTTACCTTCAGGTTTCAATGTCACAAAGGTCTGTTTCTAACTGTCTGCTATACAGGCTGTATAAAAACTGTACACCTTATGTTTATGTTCATGATTATGTTGTCTCTTGCTCTTGTTCTCTGAGCTCTTGTGCATCAGTCTCTGCAATACCACCAGTTTTATTCTTTCTAAGTTTCTTTTTCTCTTTCTGTCGATCTTTCAGTTTTTGGATTTGCATCTTTTGGTCGAGCTTTCCTCCACCTTGCGGAGCTGATGCCTGATCTTCTTGCTCTTCAGTTTCATCAAATTCCATTTGCTTCTGAAAAATGATGTTTAAAGAAATGTTGCAGTTATTTGTGTGCTTTTAGTACTTTTGTTGCTGTTTTGTTTATTGGAAGACAGATCAGGGCACAGGTAATCAAGAAATATCCTGTTATATTTATCTGATAGTATGATAAAAATAACTTGCTAAAAATAGCCTTGTACTTGAAACATGTTAAACACTACATGTAAATAACTTTTAGAAATTGTGACAATGGTATATGGTTTGAAAGCCTAGTTCATAAATATATGGAAACCTCACCTAACCTAGCAAAAACCCAATTTCTGGAATTTTAGAACAAAGCTAACAAAGTTTGTTGAATATAGACCCCTAGAATGGCTCCTAAGAGTTTTAAGATGCATATTTGATAAGAATAATGGGGCTTGTGCCTCTAGGGTGCTGCACCCCCCTCCCAATCTTCAAAAAAGCAGATTTTGTCAGGCAAATTTATGGCTGCCAGCATATCGGTCGGGCAAATAAGGAAATTTTGTTAAGGTCGCACATATATAAATTTCTGTCTTTTGTCTCGAGCTCGACGTGCACATGTTTATCTTCGCCTCGAGATGCAGAAGTAGAGTCTGAAGTATTGGTCGACAGCGAAAGTATAGATGGAAAGTAAAGTGTGTTTGATGCAAGAAGGAAATTAACACAGGGCATGCCCCCCCCCCCACTTTTTGCAAAACAAGAGAGCTTTTTTCAAAATCTTTTGTTGTGATTGCTAAATTTTCCCTTGACCCGCCCCCCTTTCCATCCTGCCTCGGAGCCCATGGAACACTGACAATTTTAGAAGCATCATAAATCAAAGCATGAAGGATATGCCATCTCGGATTAAGTTTGAGAAAAATCAAGGAATACTTTCTTTTCCAAATGTATGAAAATTTCATTATTGGTTCATCATAACGGTCCGAAAGTATTGCACCCTTCCCCAAAAATGGCCGTACAGCTACCAAAGTTAATTAATTAAAAAAATTCAAATGGCTGTGACAAATAACAGAAAGTTTTAAGCCTAGAGTTCAAGCGGAAAATAATATAAAATTTATCAAGGAATTGTAATTAAGATATGAATTGCAAAAAAACTTTCGAGTTGCTTCTATTTCTGAACAATATCCATGATTATGAAAACACGAAAATTGAGCTTTGATGATAGGTGTACCTGTCAAATATTTCCAATAAAAAACTTTTCTTTGCTTGAAGGTTTTTGTTATCGTGAATTCAGAGATACTGACTTTGTGATTTGGTGTCTAAAATATTTTAAATTCCTTACGGAGCAACTGAAAGTTGAAAATCAAAATCAAAAAATGCAACCGAAGCTCTTTTTGGTTAAAACATTGTAGTCTGCGCAGCTGTTTCTAAATTTCGAAATTTCCAAGCTGTGTTTTGTTGTTCCACTTTGATAAAATTGAGACCCTACTTCAATCTCTTTTTGAAATTGCTTTCTTAATAGATAGGTGATTTAGAAAGTGAAAACTATTTTTCTTTTATAGAAAAGATAGGCCTTACAAATGCTTGCTTTTCGGAAACAAATGTTTATAGCCAATACCAGAAAAACTAGAAGCATATTTTTTGACTTTAAACAAATAGCCTGAGTCTAAAGGCCTTACATATTTAGTGACCCTTTCGAGGTCCCCGATGATTTCAGCCCTTGAGGCGATGTGCCCTAAAATGAAGTTAATACATGACACGCCCTTTCATCAAGCATGGCACGCCCTTTCGTCGGGCATCTAAGCTTCATACCCCCCAAAAGAAATAGTGAAGTTTCGCCTCTGATTGTTATTTACAGAAATGGTCTCGTTTTTGTATATTGTTCCATAGCTTCTAAACCTTTTCTTTCTTTGCTTGCTGCCTTCATCTTTGCACATGTTCTTGTGGGAAACAGACAAAAGTAAATAAATGCGGGAAGGGCCGAATAATGATATCATGGTTGGACTCTTCTGTAAAAGAATAAGTGTCCTGGGACGATTGTTAGATATTTCTGAAAAGCTTACAGATTCGGCTGGCTGGTTTCCTTCTTCTTTAAATTTCATTTCCATCTTCTTTGCGATCCGAGCCATCTTCTCATCCTCTGTCAGCCCTTCAATCTCTTCCTCATCTAACAGACTCTCAAATCCGGCTGCTGTCTGGTCCTCGGGCTCCTTCACAGTCATTGTTCTTTCATACTTAATTCGTTTAACCCTGTCTTTTATTGACTGGATCTGTCGTTCTCTTTCATTCTGTTGGGAATCAAAACTTAACAAATGAAAATTTTGCAAGAGCGACTTTCCTTTGAATAAGCAAACTTAAATTCATGAAGAAAAGCCCTTGAAGAGCACATCAATCCCATAACAAAGGCTAATAGAAAACAATTTACATCGAGTTAAAAAGTAAAACTGATCTTAACTCTGGAAGAGTTTTCACGTCTACAGTGATAATGGATGCTAGATAGCTATCAAAAGATGTTTTGGAAGGAAAACTAGCTTTGCAAGGGAGGTCATCGCCCTGCAAACAATACATCTTTTGCAACTGAATGCTTTTTGAAAGATAATAAACAGAGACAAACTTTGGGCCCTGAGACCTGCCAAGTCAATCTACATCTGGAGGATGCTATGTATGGTACAAATTTCGAGCTATAAAGCATACACAGATGGGTATACCTTTGCCTGTGCAGCAACTATGGTTTTCTGTCTTTCACCAATACCTAAGATCTTTGCCGCTTCTTGTTCCCTTTGTTCTTGCTTTTGGCGTCGCTTTGAGCGGAGAGCTTTCACCTGGAATTTTCAAAATTAAGAAATTTAAAAACTAAGGCCTTCAAAGGACAATCAAGATTCTTAAGTCCTAAAGTTTCACTAAAAAGTCAAGTTACAAGTAACACTTTTTAAGCCGAAAAGAAAGAATGGTAACAACGACAAAGTGCTTATAACTGCGAATTGTGTCCAAAAATAGTGAGATAGATAAAAGCATTCGAATGACAAAGTCATTATGACCAGGAAAAATTTTTGTCTTTATAAGTTTGCTATAAAGCATGAAAAACAAAGAAAATTTGCTCATGAAATAATGAAAGTTAGAAAATAACGAACCATTTCTTCTTGTCGTGTCTGTTCACGATTAAGCCTCATCGCCAAACTTGTTTGCTCCCTCATTAGCACACCAACAATTTCATTCTTTTCCGAATCATCCATCTCTGCAGCTTGTTCCACTACCGTTTTCTCTCGCCGCAAGCCACCGCCAGGCTGCAGGATACAAAACATTTCTCTTAAACTGTGATGAGTATATGGAATAACTATGGTCAAATTTGTAAATTAACAAAACAGTTTTTAGAAGTTCACACTGTGCTTTACACCTCAAGGTATCTGTTTAACAATTGCGTCATTTATAGACCATTGGCATGCCTTAATTGTTACTGCAATAGGGGGCTGAAACAGGGGGCTGCAACAGGGGTTAAAACAGGGGGCTTGTTCCAGCGAAATGTTTTAATATATAGTTCATAAACACCAAATAATATCTATCCATGGGTAACTCGATTTCACGAAAGAGGTCGATGACTAAAGAAAACAAAAATAATTTTTGGATGAAAAAGGAGAAGAATATGTCTGATAAATAAAACAAGATGACAAAGATACTGATAATGAAAGTGAGGAAAATATTACCCTGAATTTGGGAAGGATTTATTAAAGTTTTCAAATGAAGGGTTCATGCCTTGGAACATTTATTTTGTTTTCTCTTTACCAGCTGAGCCAACTAATCCCAGCTTTTCTTATTCATAATTTGTCTTCTTGTCTTCGATGAAGGGAATTATTCATAATTTGTCTTCGATGAAGGGAAGGTAGGTCAGCTCCAGACTTCTTCGTGTTCAAGAGAAGTATTGAAAAATTTTGCAAAACTTTTAGCGTTTTTCCAGTTACATGTGCCAGCAAACTAGTGGATGTCCCATCTAGAGAAGCGACAGAGCAAGCGTTGCAAAGGAGATTAGCGAAACTAATTACTTTCTGCATAACAGAATCTGCCCAATAAAGGACGTTTGCAGATGTTGCGAAGGGCGTGTCCAAAATATCCTGATTAGGCTGTCGGACCTGTTGGATTCCTAACACGTCACGGAATCAAGTATTGGACTTACCAGTGGCGGCATGATCTTCTTCTTCTCCTTCTCTTTCTCTTCTTCCAATTTTCTTTCCTCCGCCTCTTCTTCCTCTCTTTGCTCCCTCGCCTCCTCCTCAGCTTTCTTCTTCCTTTGTTCTCGTCGCTGCCGCAAACGATCTTCCAGCTAGGGGAAAATAGCGAGGCATTGTCACAAAACAGTGATGAAAATGTGAGCTCACTAATCTATGGGACTGTTCAATGTTTCATAACGCGTGAGAGACCCTTGCAACTTCCTCTTGGTAAAACCTGCATGCAGCCGGGTTCTGGGGTCTGCATTCTATCCATGATTAAGACTCAGGCGCTAAAAGTTGCATTGGTTGGCGGGGCTTCCATTCTATAAATTTAGTGTTTCAAAAACACAAACAATGAAAAATTGATTTGCTGCATTATTGAAAAACTGTTCTGTAATTGGAATCATTTCCTTTATAAATGCTTGCATCTCATTTTCCTCGGCTTTATATATGATTAAGTCATTTTCATACAATGCAATACCATGGTCAGGATGCCTGGGTAACCAGCAAATATCACTTTCAAGCTATGATTTTTTTATCCCAGTAAACGGTATTATTATTAATCGCAGGCTCACTTTCAGTAGATTTATATTCAATATACAAATGCAATAGCCTGGCTGGGGCATAGAGGAAACGCACACGCAATTTATGAACAATTCTTTTTAGATTGTTTAGGGGCTTAAGTTTGTTTTCTTTGAGGAATAGCATGAAAATTTGTGTTACTTTGAAATAAGATGACAACACATCTATTGCAACGCGAGATAAAGAAGCCGAAATTTATAAAAACATTCAGGTTATGAAATGTCTATACTTAATTCAAAGACAACTCACCGTATCTTGTTGCTTGCTTTTCTGGAGAGTTGATTTTTCTCTCATCATTTTGAAGTTCTGGTTCGCATCAGAAAGAATTGTAAGTGCGAGATCTTCTTCATATTGCTTCTCGTCTCGTTTTCGCCTTTTCTCTTCTATTCTTCTCTTTGCAGCCTCTCTTTGCCTTTCAATGGACATCTGAACAGCCTGTGTATAACAAGAGAAAACAATCCACATTACACTATGCAATCTCCCTGCATCGATTTTCTTGGAAGGTTGCTACCTGTCGGACAGCATCAAGACAGCAATATGCAGTCCCGGATGTTCACTCAAATTGCAGGTACTCGGAAACAAATCTAATAATACATTTCACCAAGGAATGCTCGCTGTTGTTACCTAAGTAATACCATCTATAAATTTATCTTCCACTATAATACAATTTTCACTATGTTGTTATTCAGTACTTGGCGGAGCTAGAATACCTCACAGATAAGTTCCAATATGGGTCGATACCAACCCAGTCTTGTCAGTCATCAATTCCCAAAGGAACATTTAAACTTGTACGCGAAACGCTAGCCCTTTGGGCTAAAATCCAAGATGTCGCATGCGAGAACACTGAACAATACACCAGTTAATAAACACACGTTCGCTGTACCTTTCTCTTTGCCTCTTGTTGCTGTTGCAGCTCAGCCATGACCCTCGTAATTTCATCCTCTGATAAGCCTTGCTTCTTCTTGTTTTCTTTTTCTTTTTCCAGTTCTTCTTCCAAAGCCGCCATCTCTTTATTTTCTTGTTCCTCAAGGCGTTCCTCTAGCTCCTCTGTTTCTTCTGAAATCTCAATCATGTCTGGTCGCTGCAGAGTGACAAAAAATCTTACCAATCGACATGTATCGAAATCGGCTTTCTTTACACAGTTTATATGTACGAAAACAGGCAAAGGAATGAAGACGCACAACCATATCAAGACATTCTAGGGTACCAATCTGGTGATTTATGTAAGATCCTTACCTTGCGATTGCATACATAATCTAATACTAACTAGTTTCATCCGATGAAATCAGAAGACCCGGAAGATACTGAAAACAACTATTCTGCTCTTGAATGCTAGTTTATGGTTGCAAATATGAATCACCAAAGACTCAAAGGTGTTCAAAATTGAAGAAGGTGTGTGATAGGATGTATCAAGCCAGGGAATAAAACATTTGTAAGAACGAAATGCTTAAGATAAACTTGCGACATATTGTTTTATTACAAGTGATTGCTGAGATGATAATGTTCAATAGTGATGGAATATCCTTATTTGCTCCTTTTAACGATACAAGTTGATTTTTTCACCATCTTCAGGGATGAAATAGTACATATTTGGCTATCCTTTCATGCTATTTGTCACAGGAGGAGAGGGGGAGAGACTATAAGTTCGGGCTAAAATCGAACCTTTATCAAACCTTTAAAGGTAATGTGTCCAGCTAAAGCAAGCGACTTTGCGGGGTTTTTTAGAAACACGTGATTTTTCATATCATCACCCCAGTCATTACGGTCGTTCTGTTTATCTATCTTGCTGCGAAGTCAGCTTTTCATGTGAGCAGTTTTGCATCGCAAGAATACTAACCAATCGCAAACCGTTATTTTGATGGGTGGCTTGACAAGTTGGGTATACGCATTCCCTTAATATGGACACATTACCTTTAAAATAATAATTACAAGCTCTCTTATATTCTCCCTTAACGGTGATGCCCTACTTTCTAAAATTTTTCTTTTACATTATCTTATGCCTCAAGTGATTGGGTAAGCTTGTTGAGGAAAGCGTTCAGCCCTATGGAAGCGAATAATACCTTAGATGTGCTCCGTTTGCGTGACTGCGCAGCAGCAGCAGACCCAAGGATGGTGTTTGCTAAGTTCTCCATCCATGCCTCGCGGCGTGCCTTTCTTTGCTCTTGTTTGACCTTCATCAAGAAATCGTGTTTCTAAAAAAAGACATGATCGATTAGTGCTCAATCCTACATCACTTTGTGAAGAAATCAATTATCAATACAGTTGTAGATTTTTAGGAGGAAAGAATAAGTAGAGGAGGTTTGAAAAAAGGACAATGGTGGCTGTTTGCCAATGAAAGTATCCCATCTGGCTTTAGGCTAAAAAGAAAAGACATATAAGGGATAATGTAATAATAGTAAGAAGTTCATCGCAATAACCGTGTCAGTAATGTTACGGATAGATTTCTACGAAAACCGTTTTTAAATAGTAAAGTAACTTATAAGCAGCATTATAAGATTTTTACATTTCCCAGTTCAAGGTTCCGATCTGCAAATTAGGGTAGGTGTATTGAGGAGTGGAGTAGGGTGCGGTGGTGTAGGTTGACTTTGAATAGGGTGAGGTGGGTTGGGATGAAATATGGTGAAAATGGATAAATAGGAAAGGTGGTGGAGTAGAATGGAGTGGGGTGAGTAGGGGTGTGGTAGATGAGGTAGGCTGGGGTTGGTTAAGGTATGATGCGACTGTTTGCTCTAGGTGAGATTGGCATAGCTGAGTTGGGAAGGATGGAAGGAGGTACGGTGTGGTGAAGTGTGTTGAGGTGATGTGAATTGCGGTAAGATGGGTGGAGATGGGATTGGTCGAGGTGAGGTAGGTTTAGGTCAGTAAGGAAAGATTGGATGAAGTGTGGTAGAAGGTTCAGTTCCAAAGAGGCTGATATCTACCTTGTCACTGATAACAGTACACATCGCATTGGTTTCCGATGTTTGTTCTCTTGTAAGTCAGCAAGCAAAATGATTGACATTTCTTCGGCAAGCTTCTCTGCTGGGTATCCTCTGCCTAACAAATCTTGCTTGATATTTTCAGATCGAATAACAAGTCCATCCATGAGAATTTTGCGGTAGGCCTCCCAGTTTTTGGAGATGCGATTCGCATTTTCTTTCTTCTCTTCCTAGAGGTTAAAGAAATGTTAAAAACAAAAAAGTTAAAGATGAAATCAACAAAGAAAGTTAGTTGAATGAATGGACAGGCAAAAGAAATTAGAGCATGAGTTTTAAACTTTAAATGAATGTTAAATTTAGCTTCTAATTTTTTCTGTTACTAAAAGACTAGAAATCTTAAAGTAATGAAGTAAATTCTTCTTCTTCTTCTTCTTCTTACTGGCTCTTCCGTCTTGATTCAAGACATTAGCCTTGCCGCTGTTTTCTTCCATTCCTTTCGCTCATAATGAAGTAAATTGAAATTCATAAAAGAGGTGTAAATGATTTTGTAAGTGTGTATCAATGTCTGCCTTAACTATAAAAGCAAAATCCTTATCTGTATCAATGCCAAAGCGTCATGCTAGATTCCTAAATATGTTACTTCGACCAATGGTTAACATGACAATAACATGAGCTTAAAACTTGAGCTAAAAGCATTGTGCCAATGAAAACGGTTAAGTTCACCTCAGTAAGTTCAGATTCTGGTGGCGCTGCGTTGGCTGCACGTGCGGCCTCGTTCTTCCAATTATCTCGCTCCTTCCGTATTTCAGCCAATTTTTCGTTCCTTTGCACTTCAGAAAGATAGGCTGCAGCAGCAACAGCATCGGCGTCGGATTCCACAGTTGAAAGAAGTTCAACGAGAGACTGAAAAAAATGTCAACACATAAAACCATGGTTCTAAATGTTTCAGTGAAAATAATTTTTAAAATTGAGAACATTCTGTGTTTCAGTTACTGCAGGGCTCTACTATCTTGTTAAATAGCTATCAAACTTCGCGTTAATAAAATGTTTGCATCAACGGTTACGTCATACCTCTTGCTCCGACCGATGTTTTTTCTCCATCTCGTCCAAAACAGAATTCTGCACCGCCATGCTCCCTTCACGTTCCATTTGATCTGAACTTCTGACGTCATCTTCAAGGTCTTTCTGTTGCTCTTCGAGGACTTTTTCTGCATGACTTTTAGATTTTGCTTGTCTTTTCTGACGTATCGCTGCTAGTCGATCACGGGCAAGCTGTTCTTGCCTAGCTCGTTCTGCTCCATAACTAAACAAAAAGCAAATGTTATGTGAATGGACAGATAAGCTTTAAGAACAATCATCTAGGATGCCAGAGACACATAAACCCACAAAGGTTTCTGTGAATTAACAAACAAACGTCACGGTGAACATCTAGGTTGCAGGAGACACGCTAACCCACAAACGTACAAGCCTAGTTTAGAAAAAGGTTTTGGCCACAAATTTTGCAACAACAAAAATTTCATATTTACTATTGTCAATTCAAGTGTGGATAACAAATCATCAATGAATACCTATAAACATTATAAATCATGTCAAATGAATGTTTGATTTGACCTGACAAAAGATCACAGCCCAGCTATTTCTTCAGTAATTTTACAGCGTGCAGAATGAGGAAATTCGAAGTCATGAAATTCTTGTTTGGAGGAAAATGACCAATTACTTGATACACTGTGAGATTCATCGACCCACGTAATTATGTGAATCGATAAAATCTCAAACAGATTCATTCCACAGAAAATTCATCAAATGAGGTTGAAAAAGCAGTAATGATTTTGGCGAAGATAGCAAAGCGCGCTACCGTCGTTTGCATTCTTCTTCTCGTTTACAAATCACCAAACGTGAAAAACTTTCAAATCTTTTACCCTGTTTTACGAAAATTGATGTAAGAAAGGCAACACATACGGAACAACAGTAACAAGACCATGGTCGTCTAACTGACTTAATTCAAAGGAGTAGCAAAATTCTCTTGACTGGTGGTGTAGCCGTGAACGTTCAAGTGCAAAATGCTTTCTGTCTTGCATGAGCCAAGGCAATCTAACGGTTGTTCGTACTTTTGTTATAAACTGTAATACCAATACATCAAGGATTTGCTACTTAATACGTAATAAGTTGCACTAACACCAGTAACTGATCGATCAGTATGTTGGCTGCATAATAAGCATCATAATTCATACCTTTCTTCCTGTTGCTTTTTGTTTTCTTTGGCCATGTTGAATATAATAGCAGCGCTATCAAACTTATCTTCCCTCTTGATCTTTTGTTTTTCTCTCCGTAGTTTTATAAGAGCTAGTTGTCTCTCTCGCTCGCTTGCCAGCTTAGCATTGGCTCCTTTGAGATTGGCTAGCAGTGCATCCTTCTCTGCCTCGTACTGGCTCTGTTGACAGAAAACAAATTCAGAACACTGAAACCAAACTCCGAAACCAATTTATTTTCGGTGCAGCCATTTACAACCAGCATAAAAGTATATTATTCAGATATGACTGTAAAATGAAAACTGCATGTGGCTTGATACACATTGAATCTGATCAAATTTCTTAGATCTAATCTAATACTTGCATCACTTTATAAAAGCGAATGCATGATCACAAGTGTATAAACCGTACAAATAAACGCAATAAATGAGTGAAAATCTGAGGCAGGACCCTTCCAGTGACAACTATCTTCTTATCTCACAAGATGCCAGCATTCGTTACCTACAGCAGCGACACATTTACAAGCATTCTAGTGCCTAAATGAAATTGTTTGTTAATTTAGGCTCTTCGCCTACCTGCAAGTCTTTCAACATGTCGGAAGTCGACACCGATTTCTCCTCTTCATCATCAGCTTCTTCCCCTTCTTGTTTTGCGAGTTCTTCCTCAGTAATCCCCAACTCTCTTGCCCTCTTCCTCCTCTCCATGCGCTTCTTCAACTTCTGTTCTTTCTTTTGGCGCGAATTTTCCAAATAAGAGTCCATTTTCTTCATCGTTATCTCATTAAAAACACTATAGATGAAACAAAAAAAATGTTAAAACGATAATAACTTCTTCTTCGAAAATTCATTATGATTTTGGCTTAGACTTCTAGCAAATTAAGCTATTGCACTAAAAATCATCGATACACTAGCACGTCAAGTCTCCAAGATGTTTGTCTAGTTTTGGACCCTATATCATAAAAGAGGAACGGCTACAAAAGAAACACTCCTACTTTCTTAATATGTTATTCATCATTCCTTTATTGCTCCCAAAACATTCAACATTAAATATTTTGAAAAAAATGGCTTTGGGCTCGGTTCAGGGTTAAGGTTGGCTGTAGGGTTAAGGTTGTAGTTAGGGTTAGGATAAGCGCCGAGAGTTTTATTACAGTTGAAGTGCTTATATGATAATTAGAGCCTAATAAAACTAGCTCATAATTAAAAACCAAATTCCAATTTTGTTTATTTTAACTATGTTCTGTTATCTTAACTTACTTGCTGCCAGGTTCTTCACCAGCTCTTATTTTGGCATCCTCTGCACGAAGGTTCTCCAGATGCTCTTGCTGTTCTTTGCGCGACATATTATTCCACTCTTCTTCCCCAAATTTCCTAAATTAAGCAAAATCGTCAACAGTGAGAAGACAAAGTAATAAGCTCCATAGTAAAGAGCAACGTAAATTGTTGAATATTTTTTTGGAAAAACATTTCTGACTTTCATTTTGATCTATTTATGCAAAGAGGTTCTACGTGCAGTGCAACGTTCGGTAGAAAAGTTAAAAACTCTTTCGTTTTACAAAAGGAATTATACGATTGCTTACATATAAAAAACGAATTAAGCTTTGTAATGGCTAAATACGACGACCAACGGCGACCAATGGCGACCAATGGCGACCAATGGCGACCAATGGCGACGAACGACGACCGACGGCGACCAACGGCGACGATTATGATAGAAAAACTAAATAATTTCTTGACTTAGTTTGACAAGACAACGACAATTCCATTGAAGCACCAGATATAAGCTTGAACATGAATGCAAGAAAAGCAACGAGTTCTAAAAACATTTCAAAAAAACTTACTTCTTCAATACTTCGATAAAGAGCTTCTCCTTCAGTTCGTTGTATTTTGAATCTAAAGCATCTACAAGATCGTCTCCCGATGTGTCACTTTGGCCGGCATGTTGTCTCTTGATGCCGAGAAGGCTGGCTGCCACGTTATCGTACCATTTCTCGTTTCTAGCCATGCTCTGCACCTTGCAAAGTTGCTTTAGTGTAGCAACGGCCTAAAGCAAGCAAAAAACGAGACGATATCTTATTTTATTTCAATACCAGTTTAAAAGGTTTTCCCCAAATAGAATCCAGCTAAAACACTGGTTTACAACTGTCCTTGCAAAGAGAAATTTATTTCCACAATTTGCAAAATATGAAGTGAAACTAAAAGTAAAATTAGTGCAAAGTGAACTTAAAATTTAAAGCTTTTAAGGATAATGACCGCATTATAAAGATATTGGGAAAAGAATAGCTATGAAAAAGAATAAAATTATTTAAATTTAATGTAAGATAATATCCGTTTTGATCAAACAAGCCCTTTCTATACCACAATGGGTCAATATCGAACCGAAAAGCGGTAGTATTTTGCTTTACAACACTGTAGCAGTTTTCGTCCGACACTCCTTCAATTATGCGCCCATATATCAGAACTCATTTGCCCTAATGATTTGTGATTTAACGAGAGACTCATTTTAGCTAGAGTTTTAAGTAGTGGCTGAGTTGACGATGCAAACCTTATTAGACAGATCTTTCATAAGATAGGAGGCCTCTGTGTCTTGGTTTTCTTGCAAATCCGCAAGAATCTTTACTGATGCGTTCTCGAACTTGTCGTTTCCCTCAGCTTCTCCAAACTCATCAATGAGCAGCTGTAATTTCAGACTTGCTGCTTCCTTGAAAATGTCGATTTGTTCATCGATGGTTTCCGCCATCTCGGCAGGGCCAGCTTCTCGCCAATGTGTTCTCAGTACCTTAGAACAATGCAAATCAACTTTATTACAGATAATCAGACCGATGGATTTTGTAAATTTAAAAGCGATTTCAAATTCGTTAATTTATAAGAACTTCAGATACCGACAGTGCACTTGAAATTTTACAGCAGTCAAGGTTAAAACTTTAACTGAGAACATCGTTTGAGCTTGTTACGAAATTTTACAAAGGTTTTTTACAATCTACAAATAGAAAAATCCACACAATCACGTACAGCATTGAAGGAGATACAGAACAGTGTCTTTCGTGTTAGTTTCTAGGTAATCATAAGATGAAAAAATGTTGAATGCTGAAATATTTTCACACAATAATATCAATCACGTCTCACTTCAAATAATTTAACATCTCTATTTATTCCATCCTCAATGGAATAATAGCAATATGACATTGTGACTAAATATTGTAAGTCAAGTTGGGGCTTTTCAAATAAACACGCATTGAAATTGGGGGTCTATATATCAGAATTTGTGCCTCTATCACATACAAAAAGGCCTCGATACTGATAGATTTGATTTAAATTCGTGTTAAAAAGTCTTGGACAAACACAAATAGGTTGGACATTGTTCCTGGTTCCCCCACAGTTTTGTAAACAGAATCACCTTTAACTCATCAAGCCTCCTTTGCTTGGAAATGACATCCATGTTTTTGGCTTTTTCCTCCCACTCACTTTTTGAATTTCCATGCAATATTTCAACGAGTAGATCTCTTTCAGCAGTGTGCTTCTTTTCCATCTCACTGAGGACAACCTCCTAAAAACATAACAAAATAGGTAGAAAAAATCTCAAGACAACGAGCTTAAAGGAAAGACAGTCATTATCTTTTTTTATGAAAACATTTGGCATGAAAGGTCTCTTCAGTTACGTTTGAAACAGGTCTATGGCAAAAGGGGTCGGAATTTCAAGGCTCTAGCAGGTGTTAGGCGCTAAATAAACTCATGCTAAAAAGAAAGTTGGGGGCCATAAAGGGCCAATTTTAGAAGGTGACTCTATGTTTGGCTGGAAGCCAAATGTGTTAAAAGAGGTTAGAAGAGCAAGATATCTGGTGTGCATTCGGTCAAACCTTGTATGCATATGTCTTTATAAATTGATTACGATTAAATACAAACAAAAGATTTGGTTAGCCAGAAGCTCCTAATTACAGTTTAAAACGCAGGATACCTGCAATTTGCTAGCATCATTTATCTCTTCCAGATTTTCTTCAGACTCCTCTGCATTCTTGGCCTGGTTGCGCTTGTTTCTCCTTGCTAATAAACGAGCTTTTGCAAGCTTCTCTTGCCGTTCACGGTCACTCTTGAGCCTTAGAAAAAGTGACAATAGTGAAACAGTTGCACATATAGCTACGTATGCTATTAATCACCAATGGCAATGAAGTATTCACAAACTTTTATAAAGCATTAGTAGACCCCCAAATATTATAAGAAAACTTACTAGACAGAATCAGGGTTAACTTCTCAGGGAAGGGGCAACTGAGCAGGTATACCGAGAAAGGGGGAAAGAGAATGGTGTGTCCTGGAGCATTGTCATCTGTTAGTTTGAACTGAGATAGAAATTTTTAAATAGGAAAAAGAAATAATTATTTTACTTATCTGAGTTTCTTTTATTTTCAGTTCATTTCATTATTGTTATCTATACAGTTAAGGATGTTTTTAGTTGAAACTGTTAGAAATATTTGGCCTAATAAATATCTAATAAAAGCGGGGCCGTCATGCCTGAGCTTCCAAAGGGCCCATCGGGGCTCAATGGAACAAAGCAAACAAACCCGTTCTCTCAGGCTGCTATTAAGCTCACAACTTATTCAGGCTGCTATTAAGCCCCATTCTCTCAGACTGCCTTGCAATACTTACTTGCTTTCTAATTCTGCTTGCTGTGTTTTTGCAACCGATAAAACCAGGGCTGCCGACTCAAATTTGTCTTCTTTGCGTGCTCTGCGTTGCTCGCGTTTTAACCGCGCGAGCTCGGCTTGCCGCTCTCGCTCGCTAAGAAACTTTGCATTAGCTCCTCTAAGGGTCGCAAGAAGAGCTTCTTTCTCAGCTTCAAAGTTGTGCTAAAATTGAAAACAAAACGTGAGTGAACAGTGCTTTAGATTTATGATTCGCTGCAGTCCTCTTCGGAGGAGGTGTGGGTTGGCATATACTTGATAAACAATCCAGGAGAATGTGTACAAATATGAATGAAGTTGGTGTTGATAAGAGACCTAAAATCTCGCAAATTCCCTTTCAATGCGTCATTTTTTATTAGTTCTAAAGGATCAATACACAATTGGGATGAACTTTTGTCGCCAAAGTGTTTTGAAAACAGCTGTGCTTTCTTGTTTCTCTTGATACCAACTGATTTGCCAATAGTTATAGAAGTCATTTACGTTAGTCATCAGTTAAAGTAAACACAATATTCTTGAGCTGCACAAAAGTAGGAATGTTTACAAAATATAACGTTAGCATGCCAACACAAATTAAAAACTCTCTTATCATTCCAGTTTAAAGAATCTTTATTAAACGCACGAAAAACTTGATAGGATTGTAGTAGAACAATTTTCTTTAAATATGAAATATTTAGCTTTCAAAACAAGACTAAAAAAGGCGCCTCAAACAATAAATAACTTCACTTTTCAAAAAGGATTAACTGGATTTTTAAACAAAGAAAATGATTTTAAATATTACTAGACTGCTAGTAAACAATTTTTAAATTTTTTTTATCTTTTACATGATGTAATAATTATTTCTTTGAGCCTTTAATTTATAGCAGGTCCACATCAGCTCTTTTGAGTTGCCAGACTTTCTAGCCTGCTTAAAAAATAAAACATGTATGTATGTATGTATGTATGTATGTATGTATGTATGTATGTATGTATGTATGTATGTATGTATGTATGTATGTATGTATGTACCACTTTTTAAGTAAGGCCTATCTCGTATGTCTAAATTGTATAAACCCTTACGTCTAAATCCAACAATAGATTCTTTGTTGACTTCTTTTTCAGTTCTTCTTCAAACTCCCTGTCTTCCTCCTTCTCAAGGGCTTCAATCTCCTCCTCTCTCATCCCAGCGGCTCTTCTCTCCTCTCTCAGCCTTTCACGGTCCTTCATTCGCTTTTCTTGCTCCTCCACACTAGCCCCCAACAGCACTTGAATATCCATACCATCCGGAAACAACTCAGCCATCAATTTTTGCAATTCCTCTGTTTTTCCTACAAACAAAACAAGTTATCATGCTACAAAAATAGAGAGAGATAATGTATGAAAATTTACTGGTTTTGAAAAACATCAATGACAGCAACTGAACTGCGAGCAAACATTACCTTCTTCTTGTAACTTCTGTATCCTTAGTTTTATTTCCATCATTTTCTCGTATTTTTCTTCATCAGTCAATTTGTTCCATTCTTCAGAACCAATATTTCTTTCCAACGCCTCATATATCAACTTCTCTTTTAAAGTATCATATTTGCTCCTAAGTGCGTCCACCAGCTCGTCGTCATCCGCATGCGCAGTGTCCTCGGGTGCTGATACAGTTATTGTTATGTTAGGCCATTTCTCTGTTTCCCGTACTTCCATTTCATGTTTCTGTTCATTAATCAACTGCTCCTTGCCCTGGAATTAAATTATCGTAATGCGTGTTTATTATATGCATCTGTTATCGTTTCTAGTGAAATTACTGTTTACGGGTAAGTGCTCGATGCCGTATAGTCAGAGTTGTCTGATGATCGCATCAAGCGTGAAACTCGAAGTAGCAATTTAGAACAGTCCTGTTCTATACAACGAAAGCATGTGATGATTTCTAGGTATTGTTGGGTGACGACAGTATTCATGACGTCACAAAAACAAAATTATTAGCAATATGAAGTGTATCTAGATTCTAAATATTCACAGTGTTGAATGCAGCAATGTTTGACAGTTTCTTGCTTTTCATGTGCACCCAACATTAGTTTTATAAATCCAACCAACAATATCTTAAAAATCTGTCGATGAGTGCACAAGCATTGAACTAAGAGCAACAGCAAAAATGTTTGACCTTCAGTCTGCTGTACTTGAAAAGTCTCTAGGCAATGCCACCTTGAATGAGCAAGAGGTGTGAAAATCTGGCTGATTTTACACCATCATATAGGCTGAAAAATCTAAATAATCTTACTTGATTCAAAATAATTTGATTATAAAACTCAATAGAAAGATTTAACAACTATTTGAGATGCATTTTGTCTCGCCATTTCACAAAAATATGAATAACTCGCATTGAATTATTTCAAATGGATTTGTCTTTCCATAAATGAAAGCATCTCGACGTATGAGCAATGCACACAAAGGCAATTATTGAGGTCATGAACCGTATATGACCCGCTGTGCGAACGGGCGTCTTTGTAGTAGTGGGATAGCGAGAAAAAATTCACAATTTACCATTTCATTCATTTGTTTCATCCTCAGATCACTTTCTTTGTCTTGATATTGCTGCAAATCAGCAATTATGGAAATTATTACATCATTCTTCGATGCTTCTTTGCTATCGTTTGATTTGAGTTTAGATGAGCGATTGACAATTTTAAGCATTGTCATTTCTTGAAGAATTTTCGTCCATTGTTCGCGATCAACTGTTTCTTCGATAGTCGTAATCTTTTCAGCAAGTTCCTTTAAACGCTCTTCACGATTTCCCATCGTCATGCACTGGGCTCTTTCAAAAACTGATGCATCTTCATATTGTAAAAGTTCCAACAAAGCCTGCAACCAAAGTTTAGGTGTTGAAAATATACAAGAAGACAAGAAAATAACAAGCAAAACAAGAAGATCATAATCTTTTCTAGGTTTCTTTATTCTCTGGATTGGAACAAAGCGTGCAAAAAATTGTAAACAATAAACAAAGTGATGAGCTCGATGGGAAAAGTAGCCATCTAAATATAAAAATTGCTTTTTTTTATTTCGCACTTATGCATAGATAAAAGATATACATATGAACGTATTACAAACAAATTTCTTTGAGTGACTCAGTGCAGAATAGAAAAATCGATAGAAGGCGGTCACACCAAGAAAATCAGGGAAATTTTTTGGCCACGTCATAGGAAAGACACCTACTTACAGTCCAATAGAAACCAGAGAAGGGTTGTCGATAATTTGCACTACGATCCAATTTCCAACATCCAATTTCAAATTACTTACAGATTTACTCAAAAGCGTGCATAACATACCTCTCGCTCAAGAGAATGCCGGTGCTCGATGTGTTGTAACAACGCATCTCGTAATTTGACTTCATTGCCATCCGTTACAAGCTCAACCTTCTGGACTTTTGCCTTGCGTTTTTCTTTCATCCTCTCAAGTCGCTCCCGCGCAAGCTGCTCCTGCCGGGCACGGTCTGTTTTTAAACGGTTCTCAACCGCGGCCTGGTTCCGCTCAGCTAGCCCTAGAACCAAAGCAGCAGCCCCGAATTTCTCCTCCTGCTGTGCTTTCCGCTGCTCCCTTTTCAATCTGGTCAGTTCGGCCTGTCTCTCTTTTTCGCTCAGAAAGCGTGCATCTGCACCCTTAAGTTTGGCCATCAAGGCTTCTTTCTCATCTTCGTACCTATAAAAACACGTTTAAAGGTACTGTCCGAACTATCGTGGTGCAGTTGATACTCTCAAAAAGGACCAAAGTGCCTTCTTTGTTAAGCACCTTGTATTTAAGGGCCTTTTTAGGCGAAGAAATACATAATTTTCTCTATATAACAAAAGATTCAGGAAATTTAGCATGCTGACAATAGTCAATTTTTAATATTATTTTGTGTGTTGACAGACAAACCTCTAAAAAGCTAAATCGTTTATTTCTAGCTATTTGTGTCTCGGAGAAAAAATTAAATCAAAATTCCGTATATTAGTTGTTTTGTCTTATCTCCCTTGGAATAAGAACCTTAGACCTTTTTCTAGCAATATTAATAACGCTAATATCATGCCTTTTCTGTAAATCCTCAAGTAGGCTTTTGGCGTCAACCGTTCCTTCTTCTCCGCCTTCTTCAAACTCTGCCAGAAGCTCATCATCTTCTTCCTCGTCGTCAGCCTGCAGGCCCATTTTAATTCTTTCCCGTCTCCTTGCCAATTTTTCTTTCATCATTTCTTCATATCGAGCGCGATTCTGGCCCATCAGCTTCTTTAAATTCGCATCCGCTGCGAAGCCTTCCCCGAGAACTCTAGCGGCTTCTTCTAGCTTCCCTTCGCGTAAAAGCCGCTTCTGCTCCAGCCTTCTGCGAAGGAGCTCTGCTTGTCGCTCCTTCTCAGACAAAGCCGCCCATTCTGCAGCCCCTACAAACAGACGACGAAAAAATCACACTTGTGATGAAATCATTAACGTGAGGGTATCTTTACGCCCAAAACCACGAACAACAATATTGATTACGATACACAGTGTAAATGAACACATTATAAATGAACACGATACACATTATTTCACTTTTTGATAAACTTAAATGAGCTATATATTATACGAGGAATGACATTTTAGTACGATTGAAAACAGCATTAGACTAGTAGAAACACATTTGGTCTGAGCCAGCAATATTTAACGAGACAAATATTAACTGACTTTGCAATGAGCCATGATAAAGACTGCAAATTAACTCGAAATACCAAGGATTTATAAGCAAGTGAATATCAAACAAATACGCAGAAAATGAGTGCTTTATTCGTTTGGAACAACGTCATTTTAATGGAGGGCCAAAACACTCCGTAATCTAGCTCATACTAGGCCATTAGCCGTCAATTATCAAACTCATGAAAGCCTGAATACTCACCAAGTTGTTTTTTAAGTGAATCCAAAATAAGCTTATCAAGAAGTGTGTCATACTTCTTGTCAAGAGCTTTTGTGATTTCTTGATCTGTGCCAGCCCCTTCGTACGAGAAGACAACTTCAGCAACATTCGATAGCTCCTCGTATCGCCTCCGATTAATCTGCCGGATGCGTAACTCTGCAAGCTCTTCTTGAGGCTGTTAAAGATTTGAAATGCATCAGTTACAAAAAAAACACCAGTTAATGAAAACAGTAGAGAGTATCTTTTCTTGAGATGTAAACTGTTTCATGGACTCAAAAATTACATCAAACAGTCCCTGAAAATTACTATTTACAAGTGTGGACGGGCGATGAGTGCAACTACTGATTATGGAAAACTTATGAAGCAGAAACCAAAAATCATGGGACACTGACGTCAGTTTCCAAGGTCAAAATCAATCATCCCCCTCTCCCCCACGGAACAATGTTGGTTTACTATGAAACGGATTAGGATTTTAGGAAGCACTTCCTTTTGCGCTTCTTTTATGATATTTCTCTAAATTATCAATATTGTCTTAGGGGGAAGGGGGCATAAGAAGTAATTTTTTTTCGGATAAGGAATGAAAGATATAAAATGCAATGCAAATTGCTGGGTGTTCCAAGTATTTTTGACAGGCATCGGAGAGTGGACGTAGGCTGATCTTGCCTACTAGTGTTAAAAACTCATATGTAAAACTAAATCACAGTAAATCATAGTCTTCATCCATCGTAAATCTTATTAGAAATCTCTGTTATCAATAATAACTTGTTCATAAGTTTCGTTTTAGTAGGCATCATTTAAAGTAACTCAGTCATCTTTTTAACGCCTTCTATGAGCTATAACCTTAATAGCAAAAAGAATTAAGCGATTTTGTTATCAATCATGGTCTGTGAAATCCCAATTGCTGACTGAAAAATGCGAAGGAAGAGTTGCTTTTGGCTGTTGCAATGTCCTGTCCAATTCAGTTGCCATTTTTTCCCAGGGCACCAGAGCCTAAAAAAGTCGAGCGAGTCCAACAGTCCGAAGAGGAGGGTCAACCAATGAAAGTCACCCCCCCCCCTTACAGCATTCTACTGATCTACCCCATTTCTTAACAGAGGCTCTGGTACCCAGGATACAGCAAAACCAGAGCTACTGTTTTGTTCTTGGAAGGTATTTATTGTCTAGAGGCTACTACTACATGTTTTCTCAGCGGAAATCAAATTGTGGAAATGATTTATTGGCGAATGTTTGGGTGTGTCAGCTATTGGAAGGTGTCCATTAATAGAGTTTTCACTGAACTCAAGGTACCTTTTCTTGGACTTTCTCTAGCATTGCCTCGCTCTCTTTGTCTTGCACCTGCTGTAAGTCAGCCATCAGTGACACTATGACGTCATCAACATCAATGTTTTCAACTTCCGCTTCTTTTCCTTGTTTTTTAGCTAATGCCAGTTGTCTAATAGCCATCTTTACTGAAGCAGCCATTTCTAAAATAGCTCCGTGCTCTTCTTGATCAGCTGTCAACAAAAAAGCATAATCATCAACATTCTCTGACGTAATCTTCAAACTTTCTTCTATTAAACATAGATAATGAAAATATAATAAAGAAAACCATTAGAGTGGAACTTCCTTTGAGTTGCTGATAGATCTCAACTCCAGGTCACAACCCACACCCCCCCCCCTCCCCTGAACGATTCAATCTAGGAAAAACGTAGAAATAAGAACTAGTATCTTGACAGATCCAGTTAACACTAAATTCCCAAAAACTTTAAACAGATTGATGAACATTCAACTTCATAAATTGACAATTATGCTTCGAGTAAAAAAGTCTATAAATTTAGACTACCAATACACTTGAAGATAGATTTACTAAACGTCGTCAGAAACTTACAACTGTCCTCAAAATCCAGTTCCTCTCTTTTATCCTTTAGTTGAGCTATTCTCTTGTGTCTATCGTCTTCAGACATCGACTTCGCTTCATCTCTCAAGTCCTCCATGTCTGGATCTTTTAAAAGGTCAACGAAGAAATCTCTTTCCTGGGCATGCCTCTTTTCGAGTTCTCTCATTACACTGTCTTGCCACCCAAGGATATCATCTAGCATTGGTAAATAAATCATTAGGATTGACACTCGAAAAAGATTCCATCTTTTTAGTGCTATGTTGTAATGTTGCGCCATATAATTATAATTCACCAGTTAATTTGATTAATATGAATCACAAAATCGACAGAGAAGGGAAAGGGGACTAGTTTGTCTTAAATAAAAAAGTAAAAAGCGTCTTGATAAAACAATAAGGTTTTTTTGTTAGAAAATAATACAGTAAAAACCCGCTTATAAGAACCTGGATTTCAAGAACCTGTTAAGCTAAAATTTCAAATTTAGGCCTCCTCCACATATGAATCTTTTCAGGCTAAAATTATAAGTTAGGTTCTTGAACCAGTGGAGCTGCTGTAAAGGTTTCTAGATGGAAACTGTTGAAATGACTTGGCAAAACAAGTCAAAAGAAGCCGAATCACTGTATCTTTGTTTTCATCATTCAAATAAATCCTCTTGATATTCAGCATTTTCAAAGTACAAAATTTCAATTTTCATTTATTCAAAGTTTTCCACATATACACCTTGTCTTTAAATGACACTGCAGAGATTTTGTTCGAGTATATATTTCTGGACCGTCTTTAGGTATAATATAAGTGCATGATATAAAAATTATGATTTTGTCACATAAATATAAGAACCTATTTTAAGAACCTTGATAACCTAAATTCACTTTAAAAGTACCATTCATATAAGAACCTGTTCAGGCTAACTGAAAAAACCAGGTTCTTATACGCGGGTTTTAACTGTATATTAGAAGACGTTTTATATAATTCTGGTCTCGAACAGAGATTTTTTTCTCAAATTATGAAATATTTTCCCGCTTTTAGAGCATCAAAAGGTTTTCCATAAAGGCGTTTTAAAAAGCAACAGGGTCATAGTAATGATTATATTCAGAAACGTTAAGCAAGGAGCCGAAAAAAGTACAACACAGAAACGGGTCTCTAAAAGACAGAACAAGAAACAAGAACAAGAAAACATAAAGAACAAGAAACACACACTTCACAAAAACAAAGGATACTTTCGTAACAAAATTTCTTATCCTTGCACCTGTTTTAATTTTAACAAAGTTAATTCCTAAATTTTAGTAAAGGAAAACACAACGAAAAACCAATGATTACCTTTATCGGGTTCTGGTTCCTCCTCTATCTTCCCTTTCTTCTTTCTAGCATTCCTACGCGCTTCCAGCCTCTCCCGAGCAAGCTGTTCTTGCCTCTCTCTGTCTTTTTTAAGCCTATAAGAATCAGTTGATATCAGAAATTATGCTATAAGTAAATGATGCACATAAGTGTAAGACTGGCTTTACATTAGAATTATTCACTTATGACAAAACATTACCAATTTAAAAAAATGTTTTCAGAACTATTTTGTACCAAGCGTCAAAATGCAGCAAAGATACAATAATGTGTATTACTAGTGACCAAGATATATTCTTGACAACGATATAAGGTTACAAACTTTGCAGAGACAAAGACTTAGCCTTAATTGATCTGCTATACAAAATATCCTTACAATTTGGCAAAGTCATCACTAAACCGATAATAAAAGCATATCAAACATGAAAATGTGAATAATTTTTGGCGGTACAGAACTTGAAAATTGTCTTGAAAAAAGCAAATATTTTACAACATATTGGCTAAAAGCTTTTTCGTCTGACACTGCTCAGAGCATAAAACATCAGAATGAGGATCAGAAAGAACACGATGGAAAATATATACCCAGTGGTGGATCGAAATAGGCCAATCAGAAAGACGCAAGCACAAGACCGGTATAGTAGACCAATCAGTGCCGCGTGCCTAAAGAAAAATGACCACTGGAGTCCAAGAGAGAAAACGAACTCCTTCTGTCTACACAATGGTGGCTTCTTCGTTTGTATGTAGATCGATTCCAAAACTGCTAGATGGAAAGACGACCGGGCTCGGCCAATTATCCGAAACATGTCTTCATTATAGAGTTTTGCACAATCTGGGTTGCCTAAAGATGCTGACCAATGGCAGAATCACTTGTTTTAACAGTACTTCTAGACCTACAAGATCGAAGAGGCTGTTCTCTTTGAGGGGCAGTTTTGTTTCTTATGTTAGAAGGAACATGCTGTTTTATCCTATCCCCCAATCTTTCGGTTGTGAGTCCTACGTAGCCAGAATCACACTGGCACGTAAATTCAAAAATAAGGGAACTTTTTTGGTTAGTAGGAGCGTAATCCTTTTGAATGGATGGAAGGGCTCTCCTAGTGCTGTAAACAATACGAGGATTGACAGGAAAGAAACATTTAGTTATGGCTTGCCTAATTTGTCTCTCGAATCGCAAGAAAGTGGTACCAATCCATGGTAGTTTCAAATAAACTGGGCACTTTTGTGGACCAAAGTTCTGAACAGCCGAAAAACTTGCGATCTTCTCTTTAGTATAAGATAAAATGACGTCTTCTGGATAGCTGTTGTCCAGAAAGATGGATTGGTAAAACCTTTTAGCCAATATGTTGTAAAATGTGTGCTTTTTTCAAAGCCATTTCCAAACATGAAAATCTGCTGTGCGCTAAACAGGTCAACGGTTATTTTGTGTGTGGGGCTTTAGAAAAATTCACGATTGGTGGTCAACTGAATTTGCTTTGCGGTAAGTTTCATGTAGCTTGAAATGTTTAAGGTCAAAGGAAGCTGATGATCAAAGCAACTGAAAGCAATAACATACTGTTCTTCCTTCGTAGCTTGATTTCTTTCGGCTAGGCCAAGAACAAGAGCAGCGCTTTCAAAGTTGCCTTCTCGCTCCGCTCTCCTTTTTTCAAGTTTTAGCCTCATAAGCTCTGCTTGTCTCTCTCTTTCACTTTGAAATCTTCCTTCGCCTTCCTACAGTAACGCAAAGAATTGTCAATATAATACGATTTGTGGAGTGTTTCAGAACAATGTTAAAAAAAATTAAAAAAAAACAGGTTTTTTAGCATATTTTCAATTTCTCATTCACATTCACTCCACCTAAAACACTGTTTATTGTTAGGGCGAATTCCATGCTAATCACACGAAATAATATACTTCCAGACATTCTACGTAGTTCTGTAGTGAATCAAAATTGTTTCTAGGTGGATAAAGGGATGGCTAAATTAAATCCTGAAAATTGGAGTTATTGTTCCAGGACTTTGGCAGTTATTGTAGTTACTGAAATATCATTTACGCTCAAATTTAAATAAACCCTTAATATTTTGATTGTTTATCATTCAATCTTATGTTGATGGATCTCATTCGATTCCTGACTTTTTAAATGGTGACGCGACGCTAGCTCTCGCTAGATGACGCACTGCGCCGTGACGGGTACTGCATCAGACCAGCTCTAGGGTAGTTTTAAACAAATATTCAATAATACTAAGAGGCCGCTATCAATAATAAGGATGAAGAGTCATAAACAGCAAACAGTAAAGACGTTTATGTAAATTGTAATTTAGTAGAACAAGAAGGAAAACATTTCAAACATTCGAGCGGACAGATAGTTACAATTTCTGTTTTTTATTGTAAAGAGAATTTGTTTAACAAAACCAGACAAGAAAACTTGTAAAAAAAAGAAGGAATTGTCTTTAAATAATCTAAGAAAAAAAAGACTGAAAGCAAAAAAAAATTAGATAATGAAAATTTGAAAGGAAAACAAACTACCTGGAGTTTCCGTAGCAGAGCTTCTTTTTCTTGCTCGTATCGCAACTGTAGATCTTTCAGTATATTGCCAGTTGTTTTTGCTTCATCGTCATCCATTAAAATTTCTTCATCTTCATCAACCTCTTCGCCATCTTGAATTCGCTTCTTTCTAGCCTTTAGCCTCTCTTGCAATTTGTCAAGATATCGTTGACGGTTCTCTCCCATGAGTGACTAAAAATAATTTTATAAAAATGGTTTCATGTGCAACAGCAAGTAGGCCATGTTGATGTAGGAATAAAGAGCATATTAAAGAATTAAAGAATAATGAAACATGAAATAATATACTAACAAAACAAAACACAAGGCACCAGTTATATTAGCAAGTTTGGTAGGTAAAAACTTAAGCAACGGTTAATATAAAACAAAAGTGCTAAGATATATTTATAAAATGAAAGGTTTCGACTGGTCACTATTTGGGTTTTTGAACCCTGGATCTCATAAGGTGCCAAGAGATGTTTACTTTTAACAGCTCAATTCTCAGATAAATGTTGCCAATTAATGCTTAAAATAGCTACGTATGCAAGTTTTATCTGCATTTCCATATTATGTAAAATGAAAGGCTCCTAACAGATGGCTCGTTGGTAAACATGCATGAATTTTAACAAGTTCGCAACTCTTCTCAACATAGCAAAATAACCTTTGATTAGAAGAAGCGCAGTAATTTCCAATGTTCATTCTGCTATTCAAATAAGTCTTTACATTCTTCTCCTTTCTCATCCCCGAGTTGCGACATTTCGTGGTCATTTTAAACAATAAAGTTTGAGGCATGGGTAGAAATCAATTCTCCTCTGCTTCAATGATGATTGTTTTAATTATATCCTCTATTAATAGCGTAACAAGTGGATCACTTAACAATATAACGATTAAGAAAAATACATGGTTCTTTCAAAAATGTTGTTTGAAAACGGTTTGACCGCAGCTAAAAAGATGACTTTACTTCTAATGTATTTACCTGGAGCAAATCAGAGTCTTTCATCATATCACCAAGAAGTGCAGCGGCCTCATCATATTTTCCTTCTTTCCTAAGCCTCCTTTCCATCAACTTCAGCTTGGTCAGCCTCGCTTGCCTTTCTTGCTCCGACAGTTTAGCCCATTCAGCGTCACTAAGCTGCTTCTTCAACGCCTCTAAAAGCAACTGATCGCGTAGTGCATCATATTTATCATTCAACGCTTTTATAACTTCTTCCTCTTCATTTGACACTTCCCTTATTCCGAAAATCACAGCTGCAATGTTGTCAAACCACTCTTCTTCTTGTGCTCTTACTTCTCTACCAGACATTCGTATAATATCTGATTTGTCCTAAAACCAAGAAACATTCACTTCAGTGAAAAATTTCGTCTAGAAGCAACGATACTAACGTGAAAATGAGGATAAAAGACTATCAAAATATCTTCAGCATTTAGAAGACCTTGTTCACTTGCTGCCCTATTGTTGGAACAATGTCTTTTTAAGGGCAGAGGCCTGGGAAAATCTATAACAGAAATCAAAGGAAGATTTGGTTGGAAATCAATTAATAAGCATTAAGAAGACCTTTTAGGTTTGACGGACAAGAAATAAGAAGCAAGATGGTGTTTATTACCAATAAGTTGGGTTTTCACTGCAAATGTAGCAAGTTTACGTGGATAAGAAAAATTTGCCTTTCTGGGCAGTAATGAGGATTTACAAACGATAGGTATTAAAATATCTGATGTTTTAAGGGCAAGAAAAAGGTCTACTAACTTATCCAAGTTCACGGGTAAACTGCTCAAGACCAGTGAAACATTTGACAGTAATTGAGACAAAGGTACCATCATTAGGTCTAAGCCAGTTAACTTTTCAGATATAGTCTTAATTCAATACATACATATCTTTCGGTTTTTTTAAAGTGTTTGAGCGTGCGCTGAAAATTCTACCCCTGGGCGGAATTTTACGTACGCTAATAAATTCTAGATTATGAACCAGGCTTTGAGCGGTAAGAATAGTAATGTCTTATTTGATGAAGTTCCTGGCTATCTGGGAACTTTCAGGTTCTTTAATCGTGTGCGTAATGGCTTTTGATAAGATTATGTCACAAAACCAAGAACAGTAACTCTTAAAAATCATTCCTTTTGTAGTAAAAATCTGATACTAGAAAAATTATAACTTACAAAGCAAAATGATACCTTGCCTCGTAAGTATTCGTGGAAATCTTGAACATGAGTTCAAACAGTTCTAAACGTAATGACTTAGAGACAGACTGAGCATAGACAATGGCAATCATGAATAGCGATATACGGTCATTGAGAAATGCATTGCACTTTGAAATGAAAAAGCCAAAGCCTACCTTATCTAAGAAGTTAACAAGGTTTCTGCATTCACTATCTTGATACTTTTGCAATTCTGCCAACAGACTTGTCGCGATGCTCAAATCATCAAAGTTCATTGACATCAGCCTTGCCTCTTCCTTTTTGCTTTCAAAAACAATAGCAGTTGCCTCATGCAAAAGAGCACGGTGCTGTTCCAATGAGCCTAATTTGTCCTCGCTGTTTCGTTCTCGCCAGCCTTGCCATTGTGTCTTCAGAACAAGAGACTGGTTGGTTCTGCCATCTTCAAAACAAAGGCACGGCGCTTTAAATAACTGTTTCTAACGCATTAGACTAGATATTTTGAGCATACATTTATGACCTATTGCATCCGTAACATGGTACTTTGGAATTGCCATATGAACCAAGAATACCTCTAGCCCATCCAACTTATCGGTGAAAAGCTATCCCACTGAACAGAGAATAGTAATCAACCGTAATAATTTTGAAGGCCTCCAAATTCATGATTAACAAAAATCTGAAAACAGTAGCCTAAAGCTCCCAGTTCTACTAAGTCAACTAAAGCTTCCTGTTCCATTGCATCAAATATTACGTCACCTAGGGGCTGGATGCAGCAAGCTTTCTCCAGAAATAGATAAAACGAACTACCAAGTTCAGAATAATTTACCTGTGCCAAGTTTCTTTGCATTTACACGGTGCTTTGTATCTCGACTCTGCAAAATGCCGATGAGCACCTCCCGCTCGATCATTAAACGCTTCTCCATGTTTTGAATGAACTCAAGCTCAACATCAACTTTTCCGGTGATCTTCTTCACACGTGACACAACCGGAACAAACAACTTGCTCTCTGCTCTTACCCTGTGACCCTTACGGAGCATTAGGCGATTTTTAGCCAGGCGCTCGTTCCGCTTCTTGTCTTTTTCAATGCTGAAACAAAATAATGTAAAGTCACTAATGCCTAAAGGTTGTAAGTATCAAAATAGCTGAATATGTAGATTTCAATTAAAAGGGTACATGAGCTAATACACACATCCAGAATAAAAATGTTTTTAAGCAAGTTTCAATTATTTTAAAGCTTGAACATTAGCGAAACTTCACCTACAACACCACCTGTCTACAACGTAAGTGATTTAGTCTTCATGTCTTATCAAAAATGGATATAAGTAACAAATTTCATTTCTCAACATTTGCTATTTCTTTAATGCAGTTCTGTTGTTAAAAACACCCAAACTTCCCTGCAAGTATAAAGGCTATGTTGCTGCAGTGGTTGAAATTTGTAAATTTCTGAGCATTGGTGATTTTTATCTTGTCGCAGAACAGCATCCTGGAAGTTTCTGAACTAGGGCTTATTTCGATCTATTAAAAATTGTTTTCAGTTTCAAGAATAAGCATGACAAACCTCCCGACAACTACACTCCAGTGTAGCAAGCTTGGTGACCTTTTCTAAGGAGGATAGCAGGTAAACCGTAAAGGGGATGATAGGGGACTGCAAAAATTGTTTGGAACTTAGGGAATAGATCAAATTTGCAATATTTGGCGCGCTCGGGGAAAATAGGTAAATCGGGGACAATTTTCAGAAAATTTCTCGCAGGGGACGGTTTTCACCGGGCTTGTTACACAGTGATGTATATCTTGTAATGTGTTTACTTTTAGCGCTGATGCAATGCTTTTATGCAGGCTTGCTGTAATTAGATATTTTTAGGATTGACTGGACTGTTGACAATAGACGCTGTGGCCACAGCAACAAAACGAGATAACGCTGCTTGATTTTACGTAATTCCTTTGAAATATCTTGTAATCGTCACGGTTGTTAAGAAAACTGTTTATCGTATCTAAGCATTCTATTTTGGACATGTAAACCTTAACTTGTATAAAAGGGGGTAGCTGAAGATGCAGAGACAGATGTGAGCGGGGAGCTCTGAGGCCGGTCAGAAGGGTATTTTCTGAGAACGTTGGCTTGAGTCCCTTTACCTTATTTACATTAGTATTTAATATTATACTTTCACATTGATAACTTCTGTATTTTATCTTCTCTATATTTTGTGTTACATTCCTGAAACTACTGGGCGTGGTTGGGTGTGACATAACTGGTGACAGGAGTGGGATCCAGAATTTCTAGTTTAGATGTCGCAGCGCAGGAATTCCATAGACGCTGGTTACGCAGCATCTGAAGAAACACGGGAAATCAACGAACCGTTCGGGAGAAGACCAGTAACAAGAAGTCAGGCAGCAAGTGAGGCTCAAGTCAGACGTCGCAGTGATATAACAGTGATGCTTTCCTCTCCAAGCAGACAGGAAGCTCAGCAAGGGAGTCCAAGATCACCTGAAACATCACAATATTCTGAGGGAACGAGGAGAAACACTAAGCGATCGATTGTGGACATCCAATACTTTGCGGGACGTCGAAGTGATGATGTAAATGATTGGCTGGAGCACTGGGAACTTGCGGCCAGAGTAAACGATTGGGATGCAGAAGATGAGCTGCGGAGACTTCCACTCTACTTAAAGGACAATGCTCGAAGGTGGTTCGCAAGACAGAGTGAAGAGTTAAAAGGAAACTTAGATCAGTTAAAAAACAGGTTAGAAGACTATTTCAACAATGAAGACATGCGCCTGTTAGCAAGAGGAGCTTTGGCGGAAAGAAAGCAGAGGCCACGAGAAAGCGTGAATGAATATGCTGAGGCTGTCGAAACATTGGCCAGGAAAGGTTTCCCAGCAGACTGATTCAACGAAGCGGCGTGTGAAGCCTTCATCAATGGCCTAAAGCCTGAAATAAAGTAATTGTTATGGGGAAGAAGATTGAAGGAGTTTGAGGACGCTGTCCTCGAAGCACAAACGCGGGAGATGTTTTTGGATTCAGAGTCTATGCCAAGGAAAACAAGAATTCTGGCAGCCTTAGAAGAAATGCTTCACGAAGACTCCGAGGGTGAAGACTACAGAATTTCAGCTCACAAGCAAAGAAAACAAACAATGGCTCCGGTGGAAAAACAACAAACTCAGGGCAATGATTTGAATTCTATATGGAAGGCTATTGGTCAACTTACGGAAGATGTTAGAAGATTGGCTGCTACAAATTCAACCTCCGTCGCAGCACAGTATGCAACAAAGCCAAGAATTGCCAAATGTTGGATATGTGGGAAGCCGGGCCATGTGAAAAGAAGTTGTCCTGAAGCGAAAAGGCAGAACAGGGAGAATGGGGGAGACTGACTAGCCGTTGGATCAGCTGGTGAGAAAAAGAGGGAACTCTCATCAGATCAAACCTTGCCCTCCTGTAACTACAAACAAATACAATTATTTGCATTGGACAATGATGACATACATGAGCAACGTTTGGTGAGAGAAGGTGCATGGGTATCTGGAAAAATAAATGGTTTTCCTGTGGACTTCATGCTGGATACTGGAGCAGCGGTGACGGTGGTGAGCAAAGAAGTTTTTGACCAGGCTTTTCCCAAGGCCAATCTACAAGAATCAAATGTACAACTCGTTTCAGCTAGTGGTGACCCTTTGAAAGTGATTGGAAAGACGGAAATGATACTGGACCTTGGCCATCTTCAAGTGACATTTCCTGTAACGGTCATAGACAATTTCAGATTTCAGTGTCTCCTTGGCAACGATTTCATGGCAAAGCATGGCCTACGTATTCAGTATGATACGAAGACTGTTGTGTTTAGCGATGGAAAATGTGTACCTTTCTTCCAACTGGCCGGGAAAAGATCCGCATTCTTGTGTACAGATGTGCTGGTGCCCCCTGAGCGAGCTATGGTGATACAAGCCAAAATAAATGGAGATGAAGAAGGACTGCTTCTGTTTGCTGAGAGACAACCAGGAAAATCAACAACAAAGATCCACGTGGCAAGTGTGCTGACCAAATGTAGAAAAAACGGAAGAGTAGCACTTGAGATTATGAATGCAACGAAGAGCCCAGTTCAACTGAAGCAAGGAGATGAAATGGCAGAGTTGGAACTTTTCCAGGAGATCAAAGCAGAACAAGTCAAGGACAAAACAATGACAGTGATAAGACCTTCTGATCTGAACATTGGGCATCTCTCCACAGAAGAACAACAACATTTGTGCCATGTTTTAAACGAAAGTGGAGTTGCTGGTCAGAAAAAACTTGGACGAACCACGGTGATGGAACACAGTATTGACACTGGTTCTGCTTCTCCAATAAAACAAAGACCATATCGGGTACCAGAAACAAAGCGAAAGATCATAGAAGAAGAAGTACAAAAGATGCTAGTTGCAGACATCATAAAGCCTTCAAAAAGTCCATGGTCCTCTCCAGTTGTTTTGGTCACAAAACCTGATGGAACAGCAAGATTTTGTGTGGATTATAGAAAATTAAATGCAGTCACAAAAAAGGATGCATACCCTATTCCAAGGATTGATGACACCCTTGATGCACTTGGCAAAGCAAAGTTTTTCACTACATTGGATCTGGAAAGCGGATACTGGCAAATCCCAATGAAAGATGAAGATAAGGAAAAGACTGCATTTTCGACTTCACAGGGGCATTGGGAATTTCAGACCATGCCATTTGGTGTCGTCAATGGACCAGCTTGTTTCCAGAGGCTGATGAACTACGTTCTAACAGGACTTCATTGGACACACTGTCTGGTGTATTTAGATGATATCATCATCTTCTCAAGAACATTTGAAGAGCACATGGATCGACTGAAAACTGTTCTTAGCAGACTCAGGAAGGCAGGCTTAACGTTGAAACCCCGCAAGTGTCAGTGGGTACAAAGAAGCGTCAAATATCTTGGACACATCATTTCGGAGGATGGAATACGACCTGATTCAGCAAAGATCAAGGCAGTAGAAGACTTTCCAGCTCCTACAAGCAGGACATTAGTAAAGAAGTTCCTTGGTATGACTTCCTACTACAGACGTTTTGTGCCCAATTATGCAAGCATCGTGAAGCCACTTACACAACTGACAAAAACACGTGGACAGCCCAAGATATTCCAGTGGAATAAAGAGGCGCAAAGAGCATTTGAGCATCTGAAAATGTCCTTGCTTACCGAACCTGTCCTTCGATTACCAGATTTTGATCGAAATTTTGTGGTTTATACTGATGCAAGTGACTATGGCCTGGGAGCAGTGTTGGCGCAAAACTTTGTCGATGGCGAAGCAGTGGTAGCATATGCAAGCAGACAGCTGTCAAGTAGTGAAAGGAATTATTCAACGATTCAGAAAGAATGCTTGGCGATCGTATGGGCGTTACAGTATTTCCACCATTATCTGTTCGGAAGAACATTTGTTATTGTGACGGACCACCGACCCCTCAAATGGTTGCAAACAATGAAGCCAAAGAGTGCTCAGATGGAAAGATGGATGTGTGACCTGCAAGCCTATTCTTTTGAGGTGAAATACAGACCTGGAAAATGCAATGGTAACGCTGACTTCTTATCGAGATGTCCTGTTGAAGAAACGAAGATGGAAGTTGCAGTCATTTCAGAAAAAGATGTCATGAGCAGCCAACAAGCAGACGAAGAGTGTGCAGAAATGATGTATCGTTTACGTGATGGCAATAATCACCCACAAGAAGACAGGAGTGAGCCAGAAGGACACAAGAATCAATATGTCATTGAAGACGGCGTACTGTACCATTTGTGGACTCCTGTTCGGAAGGGGAAACAGTTACGAGTGAGAAAACAGCTGGTTGTGCCAAAATCGGAAAAAGGGAAGATTCTTGTCCAGAACCACGAGGAAGCTGCACATCCAAGATTTCAGAGAATGTTTGCAAGAATAAGGCAGGCCTACTTCTGGAAAAGTATGAAGAGGGACATCAGTAGACATTTACAGAATTGCTCACTCTGTGCACAAAGAAACGAACCAAAGAACAGAGCGCATGCACCACTGAAACCAATTGAAGTATTTGGACCACTGGAACTTGTTGGAATCGATTATGTTGGACCGCTACCTGTAACAACAAGTGGTAACAGGTATGTCCTAACTATGCAAGACCAATTCTCAAGATGGCCAGCTGCTTATGCCGTTCCAGAAATAAGTGCCGAGACGACAGTAAAATGTATCGAAAGGTTTGCAGGGGACTATGGCTACCCATGTACAATTTTATCTGATCGTGGGTCAAATTTCATGTCATCTACATTTAAAAGAGCTTGTAAGAAGATGGGAGTTCGGTTGAAAAACACCTCCCCATATCGGCCACAATGTAATGGCATGACAGAGAGGTTCAATGGGACCCTGAAAACTGCATTGGCAATGTATACAAACAGCAAGAAAGATGACTGGGACGATCATTTAAGAGACATTGTGTTGGCTTATAGGACAACCCCACATTCGATTACTAAAGAAACACCTGCGTTCCTAATGACCGGCAGGGAATTCAACGTGGCGCCAGGAGCATTGAAACCTCCAACTCGGATGTATTCCACCGATTTTGTAAATGAACGGGAAAATGCACTGAGAGAAGCATATACTCTGGTCAGAGAGCTGAATCATAAAGAAAAAGAGCGACAGAAAACTGTTCATGATAAAAGAGTCACAGCTGAAGATCACCAGTATTCAGTTGGCGATATGGTGTATTTAAAGAACCACGATAAAAGGCAAAGTACGGGTTTAAATCTGCAACATTGGCTTGGACCATACAAAATACAACGTGTCATATCAAGCGAGAATGTTGAGTTAGATTTGAAGGATTCCAGAAGAAACAGGATTGTTCACGTGGATCAACTGAAAAGGTGCACAATGGAGCAGATGGACAAGGTCAAAGACAGAGTCAGAACGGTCTTGGACAAGATGAGACAGAGAAACCAAAAGGGAAGATTGGAAACAAAGTTTTTCGTTGAGCTAGATGATGGTGAGACCTTATGGGTACCTTCAGAAAGTGTAGCAGACCGATTGATCGAGGAATTTGAACAGTCTTTGAATGTGAAGAAATAGTGACAAACACATTTATCTTATATTTTTAGATTAAAACCATGTACTATGTTGTTTAATCTAAGGGGGGCGTGTGTAATGTGTTTACTTTTAGCGCTGATGCAATGCTTTTATGCAGGCTTGCTGTAATTAGATATTTTTAGGATTGACTGGACTGTTGACAATAGACGCTGTGGCCACAGCAACAAAACGAGATAACGCTGCTTGATTTTACGTAATTCCTTTGAAATATCTTGTAATCGTCACGGTTGTTAAGAAAACTGTTTATCGTATCTAAGCATTCTATTTTGGACATGTAAACCTTAACTTGTATAAAAGGGGGTAGCTGAAGATGCAGAGACAGATGTGAGCGGGGAGCTCTGAGGCCGGTCAGAAGGGTATTTTCTGAGAACGTTGGCTTGAGTCCCTTTACCTTATTTACATTAGTATTTAATATTATACTTTCACATTGATAACTTCTGTATTTTATCTTCTCTATATTTTGTGTTACATTCCTGAAACTACTGGGCGTGGTTGGGTGTGACAATCTGGTCCAGATAAACTACGCCCCTACAGCTTGATTGAGTATATTCGCTAAGTCATAACAGTTCATCTATTGTCCAGAAATGACATCTGCTTATGAATTCCCAAACCTTAATTCCTTTCAGGGATTCAAGTAGAAAGATCAGGTCTTAAAACAATAGAACCATTTTGATCAAGTGCTTTTTGAACACAGACTGATACATACATTTCGTGTGTATGATGATGCAATCGCTCTGCTAGCCCTACGCTCAATGCAGCGCTCTCAAAACTCATTTCATTTAATCCACGTATGTGCATCATTAACAGCAACGCTAGAAGGTTCTCTCTCTCTGCAGGAGTCATCGTCTTTAGACCTCCAATTCCTTGTAATCTATTTGCAAGGTGTTCTCGTTCTGAAATCAATCGCTCATTCAACGTAATCAAATGCTGATCAGTTGTCAACTTGGTTTTTTCGGTGAACTCAAGTTTTTTCAAAAACTCCTGCTCAATTTCTTCATAGCTCAGTCCTAGAAAAGATAATAAGTAAATGTAAACTTGTACGTTCAGGAAGCAAAAGATGCCACCACATTGCATGCCTTTTTCCATCTCTCAAGAAACGAAGGTACACAGGACGGAACTGTAAGGTTACTTAGTTTCGAAATTTCTTTAGCTAGCTCTGATGCAACGAAAGAAACAGCTGCACAGGCTGTACAAAACTGAGGGTTACCTTCCAGAATTCTGCACTTTTCATAATGATTGACTGCGTTACATAGGTAAAAGGATTGGAAATTTTTAGCCAACTTCATAAGGTTGTGCATCACTTTTTAATATCAATTAACTTCGATTATAATGATTCAGACTTATGAAGATCTTTGCTAGTTCAGGATTTTCAAAACTGAGCTTAGTTGTTTCTTATAAATCAATAAAAATGGCTTTGGAAGGAAAGATTTGAGTAAACTAAAGATTTTTGTCTGGCACTCTTCAGTGTTTAAAACGTGATTGAGATAGCCAAGCAGCACTGATTGGACAACCTCAACAGTCATGTGATCGCGTTTCTGATTGGCCTATTTCGATATATTCGACCACAACTGGGTATATATGCTTCCTAGGGTAGAGTTTTTTACCTATGTTCTGACGTCTATAACTCTGAAAAGTGTCAGACGGAAAGCTTTAGTGTACTCAACTGTTTGCTTTTGTACAAATTAATGAATCAAAATCGACAAATAAATTCTGCACTAGGAGAAATTTACTTCTCAAAAAAACCTACCACTCTCTTTAATCTTCTCTGACATTTTCTGCTCCCTCAGTTCCATCTCTGCATGACTTTCATCCATGACATACAAAAGACTAAAACCAGTTTCATGTTTTGCACCTGGAAATCTTTTAGTTAGTTCCAGTTTCCCTTCCTTTCTCAGTCTTTCTTCTTCGACCTTCAGATGTGATAGTCTTTCATTCTGCTCCTTGCTGGACAACGCTGCCCACATGCCCTCTCCAACCTGAATTTTCAGCATTTTCAAAAGCAGATGCTCTCTTATTGAATCGTATCTAGGGCAGAATTGATATAATTGTTTTACACAAGTCTTCATAAAAGAACTAAGTTTCATTATATGGACTTAGGGGAGCAATTCCCATGCAAAACAAGACAAAGAATATAGATATGGGGTTTCTTTGGACTCAAACACTAGGTATCTCATAAAATAAAAAAAATGATACTAACACTGACTATAAAACTAGCTTAAACAAGGAGTTTATGCCAAGGAGACCCTTTGCTGAAAAAACACTAGCTAAAGGCCAAAAACAAGTTTTGCAGCTATTTGTCTAAACACTGCAAATATAGGTAGCTCAAAGCTAAAACTTGAACTCTTGTTCTTCAAATCCAGTTGTAGCAGCTACTTACATTACCATCTCCTGCAGAGAGGCGTGTAGCAAGGTTCCTTAAGAATTGAAATCAGATCCTTTTTATGATGCATAATACCTGAATTTCCCAAAGTTCTTTTAAGGAGGGTCATATTTTGGAAAATATGTCCCTCCTCATTCTATGTCATAAGGAGGGTCATATTTTGGGGATCAAGAGTTGCAAAAAATTCCAGTTTCAAAAAACCTGCTCAGAAAATAGGCTAAACTATGTACAGTCTTACCCTAAATGTTGCTGAAGATGTGTAGTTAGAGCCATAAATTCTAAGTTACTTCAGTTTTCAAAATATCAACTAATAGCACAAATTTTAGGTTGACCCTTTCATCTATGTGTGAATCTGAACTAAACGCTGGATGATGCACAAAAAATAGAGGAAGGGCATCAATTTCAGGTAACCTGGCTATAGTTGAAATTGAAATATCCTACTTCACTACAATCCTTACTGGTAATTCAAAACTTCTTAAGAATTGAAAAGTTATTTGCATTGAATAGTAGCTTTATGTTGTTAAACAAAGAGCAATGTGAAAGTAACATGAAAGTAAAAAATACTCTCAGTTGAGGCAAAAAACAGTTGAAGAGTCAATTCAAATTTTCCTTCACTGCTACAATTTTTCTTTCAACTTTCATAATAATAAAAATAATCTACCATATTTATACAGGATAGCCTTTTCAGTAAAGATAATACTGCTATCACTAAGGGTCCTGTTAAAATAAAAGTTTGTAAAGTAAAAGGTTCAAAATTATATCTTATCCTTTTATACTTACTTGTTTTTCATTGCATCTAGCAGGTCAGTGGCATTTACTCTTTCTATTGGCCGTTCCCAAGCATTACCTTGGAAGTCATCGTCTTCCTCAAGAAGTGCCTGAAAACCAATTTCGTCAAGCCTATCAATCAAGTGATCTGCTTTATTCTTCAATTTTTCCACTCGTGCTTTCTTATCCTTTTCCTTTTGCACAACAGCAGCTTCATCCTCCTACAAACAATCAAGTCTCAAAAATTTAGAAATTAACACATGGGGTTAAACTACTATTAGAGTTGTCAAATAACATATTACAGAGAGGTCTTTGGCTATTCAAGCTATGTTCTTAATAATATTTTAGCAACATCTTAATTAGAATTTTATATTTAGTTACTCTTTATTTTTATTTTAAGGAGATTGAAATGATAAGCAGAAACTGTTTGTGCTGAGTTGTCTTTACCATCCTGCTCTCATGTGCGTAATTGATCATATGCAATCAGCTAAAGCAACTGACTTTTTTTTACTAATTTATTTAAACTGAAGGTCATTCTTTTTTAAAAGCAGCAATAAAATTTTTCTGAACAGACCTGCCAGGCAACTAAGCTTTGGTGAAGGTTATAATCCCTTTCTTTCTGATTTTCTCGAACTTGAATGCTATAATGAGTATACTCTCTCTCCTCAGATGGCTCAAATTCTGGAATGTTACAAAGAAACATTCTGATCTCATCAAATGCTACGTCATCTTCTGGCCTGTACCGTGAGCTTAGAAAGCTGTTCCAGAGTTTGAGTGAGAACCTTTTGTCGTGAACTGTTTTGCACAAAAATAGTGCAGATTGTAGTGAAATTCTGCCATCTTTGTCTAAGTCCAGGGCTTTGAAATCCCATAAAACCTTTGCTTCGAGCGAACGACGACGCTCCAATTCTTGCAGCAATGCTGCAAATTCACCCCTTGTGCACTTCCCATTTTCATTTCCACAAACTGTTTTGAAAGCTGCTGATATTTGCACTAAATCGAGTGCCTCAAAGAAAGTGCTTTCGTCAAACAATTGGACTTCTTCGATAGTAAGGTGGCCCTTAAAGTCTGTATCAATTATATCAAATAATAAATCAAAATCCTGAACAACCATCCTGTCGATCCAAAGCTGGGCCTAGCCGAATCGGTTTGACCTTTTTATCGTAATATACATATTTTACATTTGCAAGTTAGAATTACTATTCTATATAATAGAATCCGTTTTCACAAGCACCAAATTTCTTGAAATCGAGAACAACGCTGGGTATTTTTTCTTTACGTGGGTTGCTCCTCCATGACTTTTTCGATACCGCAAATATCGTTGTCAAAACAAATGAATTCCTTTGTCGACGATCATTTTCTATCAGCCTCGCTTCGGTGAAATTGCGATTCAATCAAAATACAATCAAAATCAATCAAAAATCAATCAAGGCTCACTCTGCTACAATTTTATAACCCCGGGGTGGGGGTGGGGGGATGGGTACTCCAATTAAGGCCTGACAGGGGGTCCAGTAAGTTTGAGGGTCTTACCAAATTTTCGATAGTAACTTAACTGCTCAGTTTAGCTTGCGATTTGTTATAGATAATGAACAAGATTTATCTTTCCCCAAACAACAAATTTGTCAAAAAAGGACCAGGAGAGTACAAAGAAATGGATGCTAGCAAGGAAATATTTTCGGTTTTTGTCAAAAAGTACTACCATTTGAGGGTAATTTTCTAAAATTTTAGCGTTGGCCCTCTTTGACCCTGACCGGACCCCCCTGTCAGGCAATAATGGGAGTACTCCCCCGGGTTTATAGCATATCCAAAACAATTGCTAAGCTCAGACTCTACCAGAGATTTTGCCTAAGATTTCCCGAATTTTCAGCAAAGGAAAGACTTAGCTTAGCGATAATACAACCTTTGCCTGAAGCTTCCGACATCTGACTTGTTTCCTCTTAGAAACAAGTTTTCCGTTTTGAAAGAGAACTGACCTCGGTTTCACCCCACGTTTAATAATTGGTTAAGAAGGAACATAGATTCAAAGTAAAAACTTTTAAGATGATCGAGGATCAACAGAAGTATTCTTATACAGTAAAGTTGTAATGAATAAGCAGGGAAGCTCAAACGTGGAGTTCAAATGCCAGAAGCTATTATTTGGAAGACATAAAAGAAGTTTTCAAAATTGCCACTGCTTAGACTGAAAGGGCATTTGCAAGTTTTGTAACGATGCTCACTCAAACAGCGAGCTAGGAAATATTAAAAGTCATTTGACTAGGAAACAATAATTGTGTTTTCCCACAATTGCATACCTATTATCCTATGTTAAAATTATACTTCGGTCGAATGGAAGTGCTGCGGATCTGAACTAAAAATTTACAGCCTCCTTGTTAAACTTTTATGGCTACATCCCAGGTAAAGCAGGAGGGCTAAAGCCCCTCTAAAGCCTCTTCTGAAGCCTTCTGAAAATTGGTTGAACAACTTCGAAAGCTTTGCTACTTTGTCGGAATTTTGGGGCAAAGTATTGTATCTAGCCCCTTTCCAGGAATCAAACTCCCACTGCGCGCCTGTAATCTAATCATAGTAAATCTAAACATAGAGATAGAAATATTTCTATCTCTATGAATCTAAATTACTTTTGGTGCAGCAAAAAACGGTTTTTAAAAATTTGTCATTTTAAACATGCTTAAGCTTATCGTCTGTCTCTCTTCAGAGTGTAAAACACTAGAATAATGATCGAAAACAACAAGCTACGAAATACAAATACCGATTTTTGGATACAAATAGGTCAATCAGCACTGCGAGCTTGTTATGGCTATTAAGGTTGACCAGATCACTGCCACTTGCCGAAAGAAAAAACACTAGAAATGGAGTCAAATGAACTTCTTTTGCATCCACAATACTAGAAAACACTAGAAATGGCGGTTTTTTTATTGTATGTACATGGGTTCTAAAACAGTTAGATGAAATGACGACCTGACTCTGCCTATGAATCAAAATAGCGTGAATTCCAAATTCCAATTAAATATACCCTTATTACATTTACAATGTCATAAATACACAAAGTAGCGCTTCAAAGTTATGCATAGAATGTATATGTTTTATGAAATCCTTGGGTAAATTTTATTCTGGAATGTTTAAAGCTTACACAAGAAATTTCTAAACGGTTCCAAATGGTACTTTTTCTTAGGGATCCCGTTTTTTTACGGCTAGTAGTTCCATTTGGAACGGTTCCGACGGGTCCCGTGTAAACGGAAGGCCTAACCGTGCTCATTTTAGTACGGTTTCAAGTGGAACCGGTCTCGTGTTAACGCTGTCTAAAAGAGAGGAAGCTAAATAAAGCTTTTTAGAAATGCATCTAAGCACGTAGATCCTTCGACTCTAACTGCATAATATTAACATGCCCAAAAGTGTGTGTTTTTCAACACAGGCCGTTCATTTTGATTTTTCAATCTTCATATCTCAAACCCTGTTTGTGACGTCAGAGGGCACATCTAGCTTGGCTTTTAGACCTTGAACGTGATTTTGAAAGAATACCATCAGCATAAATGTCACAAAGGAAATATGATTCTCAACTGTGTTCATGATAGAAATGGACTGCTTTATCTTTGCCACCTGAATAAATTTTGACCCTCTTGAATTTTGAAAACCCTCGTTTGAATTGATAAAGCAAATAACAAGACCAGAACATTTAGAAGAAATTTTTATAATTGCATTGGTTTATTTTTATTCAGGACTAAGCATAATCTTGTTTGAGGGAAAGCCTCTCCCTAAAATATTTTTTTAATAACGCCCTATTTTTAAAGAAACGCTCTAAAGATATTTGGATTATCTTTGGGATCTTTGGGAAAGTAATTAAGAAATTGATACCTCTGTGATCACTTTTGAAAAATTGACTTATTCTTTGTGCCATTGATAATGTTATGCTTTATTAATGCAAACTCAAAAAAGATCATTATGTAATAGGACGTGGCTTTAGTTAATCGAAAAATGAAATAAATTGACGTCGAGGTGTTTTTTAGTAAGAAAGTTACACTGCAACGCGACGAGAATGAACAACAACAAACACACATAAATCAGTAACGGCTAATATTTCGCCCCGGCAAACAGGGCCTCATCAGAGCAAAATTCGAGGTGTTTTTCTACTGACGAATGGTCAAATGTTCATCTCATCCATTCTCTATGTGAAAATTTATTGTAACATTGAATGGGTTTCTAGGATATATGGATATAAAATCCTTGTTAGTGAACAGATCCCCATTTGGTATTATTTGGCCTGCAAATATTGAATGAAAAGACACTGGGTAACACTTGTCTTGTTGTCGAAGTGACACAGTAAACAAAGAATTTTTAAATTGAATTGGATGAAACTCTCTATTTTCGCTTGCATTTGCTTCAGAATTCTATCCAGTAGAAACTGAAAGAAACATCACGTGATTTGCTTTTATACTTTGCGCATTCGCAATCATCGTGAAGCAGTAAAGTAAGATGGCGTAGCCTTCACAAGTCAAACCGCTGTACGTAGGCCTGGCGTTTTCTCAAGAATATGTACGCGGAGGGAGAAAGAGTCACATTCATTCAACCACCGGAGGCTCCAGTATTCGAGCCAAATGAAGAAGAATTTAAAGATCCTTTGGCATTTATCGCAAAGATTCGTCCTTTTGCCGAAAAAATCGGAATATGCAAAATTAGACCACCACCGGTCAGCTGAGTGTTTCAATCTATTCATCCGGTCGTTTTTCGAGAAGTACTTTGCAGATTTTGTTAGATATGAATAAAGTACAAAGTTTGTTCCTTGCATTTTAGGAATGGCAGCCACCATTCTGTGTTGATGTAGAGAAATTCAAGTTCACCCCACGAATTCAGCGATTAAATGAGTTAGAGGTAACCAAAAATTCCCTTTGCCTTCATGGCTGTATGAACAATGCCCTGGCTTCGATGTCACAGCTTCTGGTCATGTGGCTGGTTTTTGTCTGCCTTTTATACCCATATTTCATGGATAAATAATAATTTCAAGACGAATAACAATAAGAATGGCTTGGCCCTAGTTTTTTACGGCAGTAAAGACTACATACGTTGCGAAAACTGAAAGCAAAGTAAGGTAGCTTTTTTGAAGGAAAGATCACTTCCATTGTGACGATCAGCGGATAAGATATAGGGTGGAGAGAAGCCGTTGGCATTGTTTTTACTATAGCTGTAAGATTTTCGATTTGTTTTCTTAAAAGCTTTCATTTTTTAAAGATGGGATAAACGACAAAGGTTCAGAATACAAGTTTTCGATCCTGGTATAATCAAGACATTACGTAAGAGAAAAACGTGCTATATATCGACGCCAGGGCTTTGTTGTTTGGGCAACTTTCGTGTCTCGTCGCGTTTCACACACGGAAGAATCGTGTTCTTCTTTCGATCGTTGTAGAATAAACTGTTAAAATAGAATGATAATTGCAATATAAGGTTAACAAATTTAAGAAATATTTCAAGGCAAATGATTGTGTTGCGATAAGAAACTCATTCCACCTATTTTGAAGTCATCTGCAATGACATGTCTGGAAATTTGCTAGAAAAATAAAATCAACTCACAACATTTGGTTGAAAATATCAGTTGTTACTAATAGGTCGATTCAGTTCTTTGGAAATGTGTTGATGTTTGAAGGATCCTGTGTTGAAATAGCCTGTTTATTGATTAAAATGCAGTCACAGCACAACTGAAGTATAAAAAATGCTATGTGCATGTTTACAGCCAGTAGTAGTGCAAAAGTTGGCACATTAGCCTAAAATAAATTTCATGAAAATATGATTTATGTTAAGGTCTAGTAGCAGGCCTAAGTTTTTCAAGTTTGAAAATAACAGGCTGTTATCAGCATACAAAAGCTAATTTAAAGTAGTTTGACTTACTATTTCCCCTCTAAATTGACTTTATTCATGAACAAAAATCTAATTTATGAGTTGTTTACACTAAAGGAGATGTTTTCCTTCACTTTCTTTACTTAACTCTAAATTTCTAACACTGCAGTATATGTTGTTAGGGAACTGTAAGCCCTTCTTCTAGATAAAAAAGCTATACCAGAAATGGCTTGAGTAAATTTAGAAACTAAACCCTTTCCAATTTATCAAAAGTAAAGTTGAGATTTGAGCGACCCGTGAGTATAAATGATAAAAAGGTGTCTGTTTCAGACTTTTACTTAATGACATTTTCTGATAAGGGTTCACAAATGTTGAATTGTTGTAGAGTAAAATATTTCTTTAGCCAGTCCTGTGAGGGAAAAAATAGGCAATCTCTGTTTCCGAGACTCCTTAAGAATTGTTAATATTGAAATTTTAGACCAGTGTTTAAGGCTCTTGTGCAACAGGTTTGCATTGTGACTATAATTCCAAATTCGACCTAATATTGTACTGCATAAAAATACAAAACACAGGCAACCATTTTATGCATGTGGGTTGTACAAGGGCCTTTAATAAAATTTACTATGAAATGTTCTGGTTATAAGAATACTATGATCAAATTATCACATGTTGCTATTTTCAGAATCAATTTAGCCACATTTTAGAAAACAGTGTGGATAGTTTAGTGACTTCCAGTTATTGTTTATCCTATTGTATTTTTAGGTAAAGACCCGGGTAAAACTAAATTTTTTAGATTCAATTGCAAAGTTCTGGGAACTTCAGGTAAGTCTTTTTTAATTCACTTTTCAAGTCTGTACAAATGTAAAAATCATGGGCTTAGTTGATATCTTATGAATAAATTTCTGGGTTGTTTTTATTTTGTAAATAAGTTAAAAGCTACTAATAAATAATCCTGTATTATGACGGGAACAAATAACATTTTTCACCTTTTTTTATTATTGCTTTTAAAGAAGTAGATCTTCATTTTTTAATATCTTTAATATCTTTTTTTAAATTAGGTAAGTATTGGTGATTTTTTAATAAAGTAGAAGCTTGTGTACCATTGAAGCTTATGACAATTTAAATGCAAGACGTTCTTGTAGCAGACAATTAAAATGCAAGACCATGAATTTTTGTTATCACATTATCTGTTTGTGTTAGAATATATTATTAAGTTGGTTTTTTGCTATGTTTTATATCATAAAATCAATAGACTTCACAATAAGCTTCAGAAGCCGGACATTCCCAGTCAACCACTCAATTTGAGTGATTTCCTGGGTTAATTTATACACAACCATCCCTGATCTGTTTTTCCTCAATTGGTGTTGTTTTCCTATACAGTGAGCCTTTCTATTGTGTATGAATAAGATATAAGAATTTCTTTTGACTTGAATGATATTGTAATCTGTTTAGAAATGAGTCTGTCCAGTCTCTTTTGAATCCAAATGACAGTTTTCATCTATTATCATTTAAATATCATGGTCAGGAAAGAACATAAAGCTTATAATGTTAAGTTTGTACAGCTGATGTTTCCTCGGGGCCTACACAGCAAATAGCTGTTATTCTTTCATCAGGTGTATCCTAAATCAACTAACTACTAGGTGTCTAATTTATTAATCATTTTCTCAGGCAAATATAAAATTGCATTATTAAACAAATTCATCAGAAATACATTTAAGTAGATGCAATTTGTTTCATTCTGCCTTCGAAGCTGCCATGATTATTTTAGTGGTTGACATATGGTATATATGTAATCAATCTGCAAATTGAAGCTGGAGATAAAAGTTGTTTTTCTTTGTTTTCTCGTCAGTAGGTTTGTGTTTTATACTCGAGATACACAAAATATTCTTATATTGTGTTTCTGTTTGTATTTGACACGCCTCACAATATCATTAAAGGTTAAAAGAAACATTTGAATCTCAGCTACATTAACTGTTTCTATAAATCACTAAAAATTTGGTATTATTTTGATTTTAACTTATTAGCAAATAAGAAAGTAATCAATTGATGCTTTTTCATATATAGAAAGAATAATCAGTCTGGTAATATTACCATGCCTAATTGTCCCGAGGCATACTTTTTATCCCATACACAGTTCCATGTTTTGACTTGCTGTTCTTTTTCTCTTCTGTTTTTTACTATTTCTTGTTTATTTTCTCGAAAGTAATTTTTAGTTTCTTAAAAGTAATTATCTTGATGGCATTTCCAGGGGCATTTTAACTCGGTTTCCATATGTCTCCCTTTTATCATTCAATTTTTATTTTTTCTTGAACCGTTCCCATTACTTGGGTCAAAACAATAAACGTGGGTGTCTCCATTACTCCATTTTTATCTGTTCAGCATATTAATGGAACTCAAAATCTAAATGATTCATTCGAATTTGTCCTCATATGAAGGCAGAGTAATTGCAACTGGGCCTAAAAACCTGTATTCTGTTTGTTAAATTATTTTGATTTCAAGAAACTTCTTCTGATTTCGGTAAAATTTATTTGGTACTACATACACCCCTTCAAACTCATATATGGCATTTAAAAGGCTATAAGTTCTTCACAAAATCATAAGGTCTCCAGTTTACAGATTGCAGGTCTAAACTTTTCAAGGCGTGCGATTACCAGCATGCCAACAAATTTCATATATCCAATATTGAGTAATAAAGATTAGGTAATGTTCTCCTCTATTTTCATTTTACAGCTCAAATTATCATGCCCTCCTCTATTTTCTTTAGGAGTAAGCTCATTGAATCTATTAGGTGCAATATATTATATAAACTTTTTATTAAATAATGTTAAATACTTTCAGTTTTGTACCGTCACTTCAAACAAATTTCTACTATTTTTTAAAAATCCTTGTTAGCCAAGGAGCTTGAGTGCTACGGAGTACTGATATAATATCATAACTTTGGCTAGATGTAACTGCACATGAAACAGTCACACAAAGTAAAAAGACACGAATTCACCAAAATATTTTTCCATCCTCTATTATGTTGTATCAACATATATTGCATCAAAACAGTATTGATCAACTACTTATGCCAGCACTTGTCATGTAGCAAAATCATTTTAGCCTTATTCTCAATTTTGAAAGTTTTAACCAAATCAGCTGCTTGTTTTTTGCCATAATCTGATTTTTAGGTCATCTTTCATGTCATAATTACAGCGGGTTGTTCCCAAATAACATTCAAGTCAAAGATCTGTAACATGTACTGCAAACATGCTAAATAAAGTTGATTTTTTGGTCAATAAAAAACTGGATATGGTTCTATTGAAGATTTTTCATGTGAACTTGACATATCTATAAAAAGGAAAAAAAATCAAAAATTTTATTTAGCTAGGCGTGTTGACAAAGTTACATTTTTTCAAAGTAAGGTAATCCTCAAACTTTAAAGTTATAGACTGTAATTGCTAATGTTCTAAAGATTCTTCCACTTATATTTTTGCATTAGAAATCATAATTATTTTATGTTGGAATAGTGTAAGGTAACAGGTTTTTATGTTTTCAATTGTAAGATGAGTTTTTATCATGCTGTTATTTTTCAATTTACATTTTCATTGTAGGGCTCAGCTTTAAAGATCCCAAATGTAGATAAGAAACCTCTTGATTTGTATCTCCTCCACAAGGTTAGTATCTGCTTTTAAATGTTTTCAAATTCTTTGCCTTCATAGTTTTGCCTTCACTAGTTTTACTGCACTATAAATATTGCATCTACCTTGTGTCTTTGCCCTTTTATTCCCTGAAATTAGGAGCCTGTTCTATGTTTGTAGTGTATCTTTCCCAATAGCATTTTAGGCAGGCTATTGTTATCAGCAATTCCTCTTACTTCTTTTACACAGTGGAATCCTGCTTTGAGTGGGATTTGGTAATACCTAAGGCTCATTATGCAGAAAGTGCTCCAAGGGATGAGATTTTTGTCCCTATTGCAAGACGTTTGTAATAAATGGAGCTCTTCATAGCAGGGTTTCATTGTATTTTGTGGTATGAAGTAAGAACAAAACATTATAGGGAATATGAATGTTATCCATTAGGCAAGTCTTGAAATGCATTTTTGAAGCAGGCTGCTTGTAAAGTCAACAAAAGCTATCAGTTTGCCACTACTATATTGTTGACCTATGCTTATTTTCATTATGTAATACAATCAACATGTCTTCTGAAACTTCATACCTAATAAGATACACAGAATTTGATGAAATAACATTTTGATGAGCGATCAAATAATATATTTTTTTGGTTTTAGTTGTTCACTATAATGCCAGTCTAACTTTGTGATCTTTTAAATAGTTAATAAGTATTTGTATCAGAGCTGTATCAGAACACTTACATAGTTATATAGGCAAAAGAAATCACATAAAAATTTTGTAATAAAGGTTATTGTTGTCATTAATGCTGTTTCCATCAGTTTCGTTCCTAGTTTTATCATTTCCTTTGTTATAAATGAGTGTTTGATAATGTAAGGAACTTTCAGCTAACAAAGTGGGTATTTTTTAGGTGGTTCAGGAAGAGGGTGGATTTGAAGATGTCACAAGACAGCGTAAATGGAGCAAAGTTGCTCAGAAGGTAGACCTTATTTAATTATTAAGCCAAGTAAATTTAAAGGATTTAGTCATCCAATTTGTCTATACTAAGTTGCTCCATTGTTTGCATTGCCTTTAACAGATGTTTGCAAGCATAGATCACTGTAGATTCCTGTTATTTGCTATGTCAAAAATTTTGCTACCATTATTTGTATTGGTTGTTTTGTTTATTTGATTTGCTATCTGTTTTAAGAGATGCCGGTCTATGTCTTCCTTTATTTATTTACACATTTAGTAACTCTCTTTTTTTCAAAATATGTTTCTGAACATTTGGCTCATATTAGGCTTTTAGATGCATGAAGAAAGTTTCATTGATGATGATCAGGATTTACTTTCTTGTTGAGCTCTTTTTGAGATTGAAATTGTTATCACAGAACATTGTTGGTATAGACAGCAGGTGCTATAGAGAACTGCTGGTGCCATTAAATATCACAGAGAAAGCATGTTAATTGTTTGCTTCTTTGTTTGATCAAATATTGTTAACATTATAAAAGGCAACACATGGTTACACCACACATGATAGATAGCAAAACTCAAATAAAAGAACGAACCAACAAACAGCAACAGAAATTGCAAGTTCAGTGAAACAAAATTAATGATGCCACATGAATCCAAAACCAACAAATAGCAACAGAAATTGCAAGTTCAGTGAAACAAGATTCATGATGCCACATGAATCTAAAGTTTGGCATAATAATTATATCATACTCAGCAAACCAAATCCTGATGACTGCCATTATCTAAGTTACTCAGTAATTAGCAGGCAGTTGCAAACTTGGTCATCAAGCTGTTGCCTAGAATTAAAGCACGAAAGTTTTAACTGATATCATTTTAGGCTTTTACAAGATTTGGAAATGAAAATGGGTTCTTTAAGTTGCTTATATATATTTCTAATGTTGGTTTTTGAGTGATTTTAAAATGTTTGAGGCCTTGTAAATGCAATGGAGTGAAAAGTATTCTTTAGAAAGGTATTCATCACAGGCATCTTGATAATAGTCATCCAGGTGCGGATCTAGACCGGGTTGACAGGTTTCAATAGCCGGACAGATTTCTAGAAATTATTTATTTTATATATGTTTTAGTAAATATAGAGAGAAGAATGTTTATCAATATGATTATTATTATCACCTCTTTGGAGCAAGCCCCCACCCTAGAACTACAAATTCGCCCCCTTCGAATAAGCCACCCTCGAATAAGCCCCCACTGCTGCTACCGCAAATTCTCAATTTGGACCCCTCAATTTGATGATTTTACCATCTGAGGTTGCTTATGACGTTTCATTGAATCTTCACAACAAATTCATACTTTTGGTAATAATTAATTAAATGCTCATATAGAAATTTCTACTAAAATAAACGAGGTCTTTTAATAATGTCTTCTTATTGTCTACAATAATTTTATAAGCCCTCCCCCCTCTAATAAGCCCCCATCCAAAAATATCAAAAATAAAGGGAGGCTAATTCGAGGATTTACGGTATTTGCCATTTACCAACAAACTAGCATCTTGATTGCATAAACAATGTGACTTTTTGTGAAGCAATCAAGTTATTGACAGTGCTCTTTGTGTCACAGCGCTCGCTGTCAATGAAGCCAATCAAGCGTCGCCAATATTATCTTTTGAAATTCGAAGAGTTATCAAGGTTGCGTAACAGAAGAAAATCCTAACCCGGTTACCCATTCATTCAAAACTATTTTTAGCCTTCAAACCGGTCAAAAACCGCTCAAGATTGCAAAATACGAAGATACGAAACTCCAACAGGTTCTAAAAGTTTCACCGGGTTCTGACCGGCTTGCGCGTTGTAGATCTGAATTGTGCAATGGAATCGAATGGTCTCCCTTTGAATTTTAGCGAAACCGATAGAGTATGAGAAAAAGAAAGATGAATTTTTTTAAAAATTAAAAAAATAGTAAATGAAGCAACAGATGCTAAAATCGAAGTAAGGTTGTTAAAGACTAAAAGAGACCCACAAGGGCAAAGAGCCAGAGAAACAGAAATGTATGAACAGAAAACAATTTTTTTTGTTGCCCTAAGTTTTGCGGCTCTGGTACCCAGGGTAAGTTCAGAGAGGCTTCTTATTCTGGATGGGGCTAATTTTTTCATCATTAATCACTATATTAAATAAATTTTCGAAAAGTTACCATTAACCATCTACCTAAATCATGCGTAATATTTTCCGACAAAATTTCGTATTTTGTGAATAGATGCAGCTTACTCTGAACTCTGAATTTCAACAAGGGGGACTGAGCTCCCAGAGCCCCTTCATAATCATAACACCCCTGAAATCCCTTTGTTGGCAATGCAAAATCTGCTATACAAAATTTGCTGATTGATATATGATGGTCGCAACTGACATTATTGACAACTGATTTTTATAGCGAAGAGACGATGGTAGGTATTTTCGGGGAGTGAGAGACCTAAGGATGTACTGGATTATCCCATGGGCAAAATATGGTTCCTAATAACCCGGTCACAAATTTATCTGGATCCGCGCCTGGTCATCTGTCAACAATGTCCAATCTTCAGTTACCAGTTTTACAATAAATCTGCGTCAGTCATCATCAGTCCACATCAGTAATAGATCATTTTAACTTTTCTTTAAATCATTTGACATATAGGTGTGTTATGTTTTTACCACATGTTTCTACAGTGTAAAATTGTCAATGAGCTGTTGGACTGTTTCTAAGATATAGGCTTTCCAGACTGTTACAAACTGTAAGGAAATAAAGTAGAAAAAGCTTGTAAGAACTATGTTGATCCTCTCTGAGTTGAGTTCAATCCCCCAACCTTTAATTAATTTCTGAAACAATGTTCTGTATCCTTTGAGAAGAGATTTCTTTCTTTCCAACCCTTTAGCTTTCTACGTTTGTAGAAAAGGGTGACAGAGTCAACAAAGTTACCAGTGAAAGCCTTAGTCAGAATAAAAGAACTTTGAGTAGCATGATGGCAAATATTAATTGATTTATTTTCATAAACTTATCTGTAGATGGGATTCAAACAGACAGATGGAAGGGGATACCCAATGCTTCGAAGCCACTACGAGAAAATCTTGTTCCCATTTGATGTGTTTCGGTCTGGAGCGATGACTGGCGACTCTTTGGTAAGTTCATGAAAATAAAGTGAGTTGAATAGTAAAAAGAATTCAAATTTTGACCTAGCTTATGCAATGTATAACTAGAAAATGTAATTTTCCACAGAAGAGTGACAGCTAAGAGAAATAAAGATTTTCCAAAAGTATTCTGTCCCTTGATTTGTCATCAAGGATAGAATTTATGGGCTAAGAGAGTTGATTGTGTATCGAAAGAAAGAGCCTTCTTTCACTATGCCCATTTTCCAATCATTAAAAAGGGTGTGAAGAAGTTTTTTTATATTCATATTCCATGAGACAGTTATGGTAAGAAAGTAATTAAGTAATATCTTTGATTTTGTTTATTTTGATTTAGTTTCACATTATTGCGGTATTATTAACCATACTTTTTTGATAGTTTCGATATTTTTTTTGTTTTGGCTTAAATTTCTCTATCTAACGTTTCAAGGACCCACCGATAAATATTGTTTCAGAATCTGCCGTTCAGTTGTCTTTTTAATCCTTTAGCGTTAAATCTTTAACAAACGTTAACTAGTTTTTTAGTTTATAAACACATCAATTAAACTGAAAATAGCATTTGGGATTAAGGTCATCAAAGGATTGTTTGATATGTATTTTTCTAACGTTTAAAGACTTAAAGAAGAGGATAGTGGACGCGAAGCAAGGGAGTGCTTTTCACGGGGGCAATTGTAGGGTAGGGTCAGGGATGCGATAAGACAGGGCAAGGAACAGATAGCAAGGGGAATGAAAAGCAAAGGAGATGGCAAATGCATGATTTAGAAGGATAAGAAAGCGACCAGGGTAGGAGTAGGTAAGGCAAGGTTTGCCAAAGGAAGAACATGGAAAAATCAAGGAAGGATCAAGGAGGAAGGAGAAAGAGGGTGGAGTTGGCAGAAAGGCCATGGGAAGCAGAGGGCAATAGAAGATTTAATTTTTAAAGATTTTATTCAAAATGTTCGTCTTTTTTATAGTTTCCATTTTCAGATGCTTTCTATTCCAAAGTAGCTAAAAAATTCACTGAAAAATCAAAACACAAATGCCCTAAGGCATCCCCCTTCAGTTATTAACGTAGAGTTGAATCGACTAATCATGAGCAAATCTGTCTTGTGTCGCAACCAGGAAGCCCAAGCTAGAAAAGCCAAGTCCGTCAAATACGAGGATGGAGAATACATCCCAAAGACCAAATCGAGAATGTCACGGAAGACCGAGCAAGATTTCTTCAATATAAACGTAAGCCCGGTAAATCACACAGCTTTACTGAATTTTTCAAATAAATAAATCAATGCTGACACTTCAGCTTTTTTCTTTTGAAAGCACTAGCGAAAAATTTTAGAACCTCTGTTAACAGAAAGGGGCTGTCTAACCGCAGTAACCAACAATATTGTACTTTTTTGACACTGCTATGAGCTTGTATCAGTCTTGCAAAAAGTAAACAAGCCTTATGAAATGTACCCACACGCCATCTTATATCATCTAAAGATATATTTGTATGATCACGTAAAGAAAATAATTGCAGTCAACCGACGAAAGATAGTAAAAAAGATGCAATGTAAGGAAACTAAAGCAAGAAATAACATCTGCAAAAGAGAAAGATTTATAATTGGATTTTGTGATGCATGATAATATAGATAAAATTGCTGATAAACTAGTAATAACAATAATTGAATGATAGTGATAAAAGTATCGATACTGATATGAAATCTAATTTTAGCTTAATATAGCAATGATGATAGTAATAGATATAAAAAATAATGGTTATGATAGAAATAAATATTACTAATTGTAGATATTAATGAAGCTAATATGAATAATTTATAGAATGATAAATCGACATGCACTTTTTTCAACTCCTTCATCGCCCATGTTTTAGCTCATGCAAACACTTCATTTTCTCTATTGAAGCATCTATAATTTTTCTTCCTTCTGCATCGTATTTTATTGCCACGTTTCAATCTCAAGTTTTTCTTGTAATTGAGACTTGAGATTAAGTATGGTAAAGCCTGGATATCGATATCGATTAAGTAAGTACTGACAGAAATCGCGATCAGGCTTTGATATTGTTGGTGCATATTGGCAACTGCCAATTCGACTTGCCATCGAAAATAGGAAATTAGAGAGAAAAGGCAGCCTAAGCAGCAAGGAACAAAAAAAGTTCAGTTGCACCCACTGTAACTGATTCAAAAACATTCTTCAAGTTTAGGCTCGTTAGGTTCGTTAGACGACTTTCCAGTGAATGCTTGGCGCGGGATGAAAATAGCGGGGCATAACGGACATGTACTTCTATTTTCAGTCCAAAATATCTTGCAAATGAACCACCTTAATGCAGCAGCATATTATAAAAAGAGGCTTTTCAAAATGAATGAGAGGCTTTTTCTTTGTCAAAAAGCCGCCTCTTTACAGGGCCTTTGCAAGTTTCCTGAGGACTATGTACCGTTTGTCCCCCTTCCTGGCTCCTAAATCCCTTGTCCAATGTTAATTTCTTCAGCTAAATCTGCTACTATGTCACATAACATTCAAACAAATTTTTAAGGATTGGATGATGTTTTAGGAACGTAATTTTAATGCAAGAAATGGTTAATGCCATATAATTTATATGGATCTGATATCGGCGATTGCTTGTCATTGATGCAGGATCTGGACTTAGAGAACAACAAAGAGTTTCAGAAATTAAGATTTGCTGCACCAGGTCCAAAGATGATTGATTCAAAGCAAATCAAACAAGAGCCAGGTACACCGTGTTTAATGATTCCAGGAATTTTGGTTTACGATATAACGGAATAGGCCTTTCCTTTAATAACAATGGTAGGAAATCCGCATCTTATTCACAACTAATTTTTCTCCGACACTCCCCAGAGTAGGAAGTGACAGATAATGACAAAATTATAGGAAAATCATTTAGATGTCCCTACAGAAAACACATTGTAACCAATACTTCAATTTACGAGTTGCTTATTGTTAGTGTATTTTTCTTTAGTTCTAAATTTTTTCGAAATAGTTTTGATATCAAAATAATATCAAGAAATTGCAACGACCCTTCAAGATTTATTATTTTGCTTTACCTATCAGATCTAAACTGAAATTTTTGCAATTTAGACAACAAAATTTTTTTCAAAATCAATATCTAATGGCATCATTGCTAAGAGTTTTATATATGAATTAAGCGAGTGCATATGTATATTTTCTGTGCTTTTTAACAAAAAAAATATTGTTTACCAATAATGACAACATTTTTCTTAATGATGTTATATACCAACAGATTTCGACAGTCGCCAGTCGTTGAAAATCAAGGGACATTATGATCCAAAGTCGGATCTTAAGGAGGTGCGGGAATTGACAAGACGGCGACCAGGAAGAACTACTCGAGAGAAGAAACAGGCCCAATCTTTTACTGTACGTGACAAGAATTCAATTGTTACCTACCCATCCATGCTATATAAACATATGTTCCATGTTGCTTTCATTAAGCGAATGGAATTACAATTAGAACAAGCTTTATAGCTATGTTGATGATTAAGTGGGGGAGGGTGTTGATTAGGGATACGGCAGGGTGTAAATGTTCAGTATTTTTTCACAACATCAAGTTAGTAGCCCAGCATTTTACATAGTGCTAGGATACAGTTCGCTTTACCATTCAAATACCTCTCATACCCCCCCCCCCCCTACTTTTGGTCAATAATTGGAGAGCTTCACAACCCAAATTTCAAACCTCGATCAAAGGACAAACTCATAGAAACCAACTTTGATTGTTTTTAATATCACGGCTCCTTTCATTGCTTTTACACCCTCGAATGTTTATCCACTCTTACATTTCCTGTTCGCGTGGCTTTATATATTTTTCTACTTACGAATTCGATTTAAACCAGTCACAATTGCGATTAAGATTGATTTCCGTAGTTTTGAAAATCTTAAAAAGGGGTTCAGCGTAGGAGTAATGTTTTTCAACCATCTGTCTTGAGGGTGTGGTGGACAAGGTCTATGTAAAAACTTCCCATTTATTTGGGGGCGTTTTCATTATTGAATGTGCTTTAAGAATCTGGGAGAAAGAATTCACCAATATTTCATTTTTTTGATATTTCTAAGTATGATATACATATTTCCTTGTTTCACTCCATTATTTAATATATCAGTAGTATCATTACTTTCTTTGTTGATCTTATTTCATCAAAGAGTCATTTTTAGTTGGTAAACACTTTCCATATATGACTCTCTAGGTTGATGACTACATGTGCCAAGTCTGTGACCGAGGAGACTCAGAAGAGAGCATGCTTCTTTGCGATGGATGTGATGCGTCTTACCATACGTTCTGTCTGATACCACCCCTCTCATCTGTTCCACCTGGCGACTGGAGATGTCCCCGGTGTGTGGCACAGGTACGTGGATTTTTTCATGAGCATAACCTTTGTTTGAAAACCTGAAAACCTCAGGCTCAATATTGGCGAGCGTTCTGTCTACTGGCTCTAGATTAAAGAAAAAAACCTCCCTCGATGACGTCTTATAAACCACTGGTTCTTGGATCTTTTTTCATTCATGATTTGCCATTTTGAGTCAGTTGTATCCTTCAACAAATTGCATGGAGGGCAGATTAGTCTGCGTTTAGAGCTATTATCATATGAATTTATGCCTGGAATTATTTTTTGTAAACAAGAGAACTGATAAAGGCAACACTTATAAGTTTGCAGATGAGCTCACCCCTTTCCTTCTCTTCAGGAGTGCAGCAAACCTCAAGAGGCCTATGGATTTGAACAGGCAAAGACAGTTTATTCATTGAGAGAATTCGGTGTCATGGCTGACAAATTCAAGGAAGAATACTTCGGAGTTCCTGCCCATGTATGTTTTAATGAGTCACTTGACAAACGATTTTCTAAGCTAGTACTTATATTAAATGTATTCTACATATGATATCGATAATGGGAGCCTAAAGATACTTTTTTAATGGCTTATGGAGAGACTTTGGGGAAAGTTGATTTATTGAAAAGCCATGGGTTCGCCTTCTTTGGTAACTAAACCTTTTGCTTTTCTAATGCAATGCTCAAAACTGCACAGTTTAAAGAATCCTATTTGTATTTAGATAGTTCATCAACATTTCTGTTCACCGATCTGTCATATAGTTCTCGATGTCGTATATGCAGGTCTGTTCTTGCTTTGATTAAAAAAACAGGACGGCTCTGAGTTAGTTTCACAGTTAATGTGACCATAAGGCAACAGTTGCAGTTTGAATATACATCTAGAGGAATTCATGGAATGATTTTGAAATGTTTTCAAGCGTATTCTGCCATGCATTTTTTATAAATGCACACAAAGAAGTAGCGTAGACAGGGCCAATCAATTCGATGTAGCTTTTCAACGTTTCAGTTCAATGACGTGATATACATACTAAGGGCTGCCCACAGCCTAATGATAACTAGCTCAGTTTTGATTCAAGAACAATTACTCACTAACGGCTCCATTGTATAAGAACTTGTATATTTGTATAAGACTGAGATAATTTGGCAGGTGCTGTTTTGATTGCAGAAAATTCTATCGATTCTATGCGAAGCTTTATTTTTTTACCGAAATTGAATTTGATTACTTTGTACAATATTGATGAAAATCAAATCTCTCTAGGAGGTACCTACAGAAATTGTCGAAGACGAATTTTGGAGGCTTGTCAGTTCGTTAGATGACGAGGTTAGAGACGTTCTTGTTTATCGGTTTTTGCAATGTTTAATGTATGTTGCATCCACGTATATTAAGGCAATTTGCTTCTTTTTGGGCTTCTTCTTCCTAATTCTACCCCGGAAAAATGGAATCAAAAGAAAGCAAAATCCATTACTATTTAGATATATTCCTCAATCAATCACTTTCAATATGATTAAAACTGCTTCAGGTGCCTCCAAACGATTTCGAAATGGCGATCACGACAAGATAATTCCTAGTAGACAATGCCAAGCATCCCAACCAGGTGCAGTGTTGATTGCCCAGTCACCATTAGTACACGGATAATCAAAAGTATTCGATGTAAAGCCCTTACCATGACAAACGTTAAAAACCTTCAATATAAACTGCTCTTTGATTAAGTTCCTAACTTTCTGCTCCTGTAGGTTGTCGTCGAGTATGGGGCTGATTTGCATACTTTCGATCACGGATCAGGATTTCCGACCCGGAGTAACACTGATGATCCGGATGATGAGGTATCAAGCTATATGAAGTGTTATTCACTATTCAGTTTTAATAGCAATGCTTATAAATACAGTGAAGGCGCCACAGCTTTACAAGATACGCAGGAGGGTACTAGTACGGGGCTTTGCCTGTAGTTAATGAATACTGGGACAAAATTGTTTGTCCATTATTCGAAACTGTCCGTTATTATTAGCATCCATTAACTGAGGGTTTCTCTGCAGCATATGATGCAATCAGAAATAATAAGCTGGCTTCTAATAAGTTTTAATCGGCCATCATTTATCGGAATTCAAATTAATGATTAATGTGTACATAAGCCATTGGGAATGTTTAAAAATTGATAATTATCAGTGTAACGCCCCATCTACCATGTTGCATTCGTTTAAGATAGCGTGAAGCCTAGTTGTTCAGAGCTTCATGTTTAATTTATGTTTATGGTTTTAGAAATACATCAAATCATGGTGGAATCTCAATAACCTTCCTGTACACGAAAAATCTGTTCTTGGCTTTATCAGTGCTGACATCTCTGGAATGAAGGTACGTTTGTGGTTGCTTCCATTACTTAAAGGGCCTCTCCAGCCAAAAAAAAAATTTTTTTTTATTGACTAAAAAGTTAGCATCTGGTGCGTGTATTATGGCAAAGTTGTTGTTTTTGCAAAATTCCAATTAGTTTAGAAGTTATAAGGCTTTAAAGTTGCACCTTTCCGAGAAAAAAACGACAAAATCCGAATCAGTTAAAACTACATGTACATGGGTGTCACAGAAGTGAAGGCTGTGTTGATTTGACATGGAATGACCCTTTTGTGACATTCTGACGTCACAGTGTGGGGCTCTCGTCCGTAATGAATTTCGTATATCTTCCACCGAATCGCGAAGAAGTCATGGTCATGCGTTGATAACTGCATCTAAATCTAGAGCAGGAGTTTTTTAGGATCGAAAAATATTAAATGTTTACAATCATTCTAGGTTTGCGGGTCGGAATGTGTCTATGCTGTGTCACGACTTTGTTTTGATCACCTGTGTAGGCCCACAAAGCTATGGCTTCCTGTTCCAGCTCTTCCCTCGCGTATAATTAATCGAAATTGACACTTCAGTTGTTCTCCAGAAACGATGAACAACTAATGGCTTCAGAACTGATATCTGAAATGCTCAAACTAAAAGCCGGTGGAACAGAACTGAGAGTACCATCACTTGCAGTGTTCAATTTGCGAATCGCCGTCGTTCGATTCGGTTTGAGGCGAGACTAGCTAAATACACTGTGACGTCAAAATTGCGTCACAGTGTTACCAAACCGAAAATTTTTTGTCGGTTAATTCAATTCAATTAACGAAATGCAAGAGCTTATATCTCACAAACTGTAAAAAATATCGAAAAACAAAAAACGAATTCGTGATCAGCAGGTTCAACTCCTTTAGATTAGCCAATAAAATGCAAGTGCAAAATTTGGCTGGAGAGGCCCTTTAAATGCTTATTGTTAGTGCCAGTATGTAATGTACTGCTACGTAATTAGCTCCCTTTCTTAAATGAATGTAAATATCCTTGTTTGCTTTTTAGATTCCTTGGATTTATGTTGGCATGTGTTTCTCGAGCTTTTGCTGGCATATTGAAGATCACTGGAGCTATTCAATCAATTACATGCACTGGTACGTACCAGCGTTTACGTCACCTTGAAGACTCATTTCATTCAAAATTATTAGCAATTATTATTATTATTATTAGCACAAACTATCAAACTTCACCGTAATCTCATTCGTTGTCATCTTATTTGTCGTTTTTTACGTAGTCTTTATCGTTGTTGTTTGAAACATAATATTGGAAAGCCAGTTTGCTTGACGTAAAGTGAGTATCCAGATTGACACAGAAACTAAAATTGAATTTCCTTGAATGAAAATTATGCCTATGATTTCTATCTTTGGTTGTACATAGAGGAAGAAGCTAAATTTTTTTCTGCTTATCTCAATTCAAAACTATTTATGATAATAATGCGCTTTTGAAAAGTCCTGTGATTTTTATAGGGGAGAGCCAAAGACTTGGTATGGCGTTCCGAGCCATGCAGCTGAGAAATTCGAAGATTGCATGAAAAAAGCTGCACCTGAACTGTTCGAGGCGCAACCAGACCTACTGCATCATCTGGTGACAATTATCAACCCAAATACACTAATGAATGCTGGTGTGCCAATTGTGAGGACAAATCAATATGCTGGGGAGTTTGTCGTCACGTTCCCAAGGGCCTATCATGCTGGTTTCAATCAGGGATACAATTTTGCCGAAGCAGTTAATTTCTGTCCAGCTGATTGGGTAAGAATATCAAATTACATTTTCTACTTCGGTATTCTCTATATCCTTGAGAAAAATTTCTTGTTTTGTTATTCAAGTTTTGTTTTCTGGGAGATCTGTCGCTCAATGACTTTGGTCTCTCTGTGTTCAGCCGAAACAAATGATTTAAGACTGAAACAATTTATCTCTTTTGATATAAAATATTTGCTAAAAGTTAATAGGTCGTAAGGGCATGATTTTTTGGGCCATGGATTACCTTCCCTGAATTTTCCTGTAGCCAGCTCTATCGCTAAGTTAATACTGAAGTCATTTTAATAATGTTGACATTCTAGTTTTCTTTCCAGAACATAAATTTGAAATTTTTATCTAGTTTTAAAAATTCAACTATCAATAGAATTTCAAGGGTTTTAGACCACCTCTTGGTGTTTTCCCATCCTTTATTGTCTAGAAGGCAGTGGCAGACATCTGGGGGGCGAGGTGCAAGGGGGTGGGCGGTCCCCCCCCCCCAGTCACCCCCAATATTTAGCCAAGTGTCCGCCCCAGCTTGAAGGCGATCATAGATTGTCGGCCACATAGCGAAAACTTCCAAATTTCCAATAGTGAGCATTGGCACAAATTTTGAAATGAAGACAATATACTAGTATATTGTTATGTTTTCCTTAGCTACCAATGGGGAGGAGATGCATTGATCATTACAGAAGCATGAACAGATGTCCTGTTTTCTCTCATGAAGAGCTTATATGCAAAATAGCCTCCAATCCAGATGACCTTGATTTAGATCTAGCCAAAGCAGTATATGACGATATGGAGGCTATGGTAAAGGAGGAGGTATATCTACGAGTTGAACTCAAGAGAAAGGGTGTCTCTGAGGCCGAACGTGAAGCGTTTGAGCTCCTACCTGATGATGAGCGACAGTGCTCCATTTGTAAAACGGCATTGTTTTTCTCGGCAATTGTCTGCTCTTGTCGCAAGGACCAGATGTCTTGCTTATATCATGCTGACGAACTTTGTCCTTGCGGTATTATGAAGAAATCGATCAAGTATCGGTATAACATCGATGAGCTGCCATCCATGTTAAGTCAATTGAAGAAGCGTGCAGATTCTTTTGATAATTGGTGTCAGGATGTAAAAACCATCTTAGAGTGTGCACAGGAAGAAAAGCATGGTAACTCATTTACTACTATGATACATTTTACATTGCATGGCCTTATCTAGCTAAGCTTCAACCCCAATAACGCCAAGGCACATTTTTTTCACTGGAAATGTCCACCCCTGTCGCCAGAGTTCCGTTTTGGGTGACCACAGGCCATAATTTCCTGGTCTGCACAGCAATGCACGAACATTTGTCTACACCACGTCTACAAAGCATTGTGCAACACACTGGCTAGCAGTAATCTTAATAAGCATTCGAATTCTGTTTTTCGATTCAGTTTCAGTTTTCAGCAAAGTTTAGTCAACTTGTTCTTGCTCAGTAGTTCTTCGTAAGCCTTTCTTACTACCTTGCGTCTTATCCATTTCAGAGGTGTCAGAACTGAAAGAGTTACTAGCAGAAGCAGAGCAGAATCAGTTTTCGTCCTGTGAATTGCTGGATCAGTTGAAATCCGCCGTAGCAGAGGCAGAGCAGTGTGCCCAAGTCGCCACGCAGCTGTTCGTCAAAAAACATAAAACCAGGTAAGTGTTTTGTAAAAAATAAATTTGCAGGAACAACCCAAATCGACGAAAAAGCAATCCAATGTGTTGATAATGATCTTTCAAGAATATTCATGAATTAACTAATATGAATTACTTGATGCTGTTTACTATACTATTTTTGTTTTGAAAGTACTCACACAGTTTAGGTAAGAGCCCAATCGCCCTTCCTCATTTTCCTTAAAATCCACCATAGATATCTTACTTTACCATTCAGTATCCCGGAATTTTTTCCACTTCCTGGAAGGTTTTGAATCTAGTATTATCTGTAGAAACTTTTTGACCCCGCTGACGTCACACTATCCTGTCCTTAGGCACAGCAGTGGTTTGAGTCCCGGACCGAAGCTTACGCTGAGCGAACTTAGAGAATTTGTGCAGCAAGTGGATAATCTGTCCTGCGTTATTAAAGAAGCAAGATTGGTCACTGTAAGTATAATATTATAACCTAGCCTTTTTTGTCAAGTCCTTTTAATGTAACGTCAGTCGTCAGCGTTGAAAAGTGGCAGTGCGGATGTTAACATACTTTTTTGATGTTAGACTCTTAGACTATTTTCTAGCAAGAGGCATCAATATACAATGAGTCAGACATATTGCAAGTTTTTTATATATTTGCTTTTATAAACCTTTTTTGCTATGCATTATAACGCTTGTCTGACTTCACCTTTACATTTTCTAACGACCGCAGTGTAGTAAAGCATGTCTTCTCACAACTCCGTTTTACGTGATTTTATATGTTTGACATCATTTTCCCGCTATCCTTTTACACCTATCTGTTTTATTGTTATCCAGTCTCACTATCTTTGTTCCATTGTTAAGGGTCTGCTTAATCAAGTTGAAAATTTCCAGTATGAGGCAACCTGCATTCTTGAAGATTCCACTTGTGATATACAAAAGCTAACTGACCTCGTTGAGCACGGACAGACTCTTGATATCGATCTACCAGAGCTGACTAGCTTAAAGCAAGTAAGTTGCTATTTTTTCTCAAAATATTCTTTTGTCGTCATTTTTTGATACCTTCAAGACTGTCATAGAATTTCAACTTCCTTAATTTTATTGTGCATTTAAGCCAAAGGTTCTAAGATTGCGTCTTGAAATTTTAGGAGCTTCGTGGAGCTAGGTGGCTAGAAAAAGCAAAGGCAATTCAAAAGAGCAATAATGATATCACTCTTGATGACTTGCGTTCCCTCATCGACCAAGGAATGAAACTCCAGAAAAAACCAGGTGCGTTTTTGTTGTTGCTATTTCAAATGACTCTCGGAATCAAGATGCTGTCTGGCCATTTTTAGGACGGGAGCAGTAAACAGTTCTCCTAGTAATTTTCAGGTGAACTGTTTGTAGATAAATGTAATTAGAAACAAAGGAAAAATTGATTTCAAGGAGAGCAATTTGCTTTTTAGAGCAATTTAGGAGAGCTATCTGTAGCTCCCTTCCAGCATTTAAATAGAGCCAGAAGGGGAGCAAGAGCTAGGGTCTCCTCGAATGGCCAGGCCTGAAGATGGTTGCCCAACCTGCAATTAAACCGAAATATTTGTGTTTTAACAAATATAATTAAAGATGCATTCAACTTTCTCTTTTTACAATGTATTTCCCTCAAATTGTTCTCTGACAGCTGAAGCATGTTCTTACAACCTTCTTACAACCGATTTTTCAGTTATCGAGAAGCCCCTGAGAGAGCTTAAAGAGCTACTTTTCAAGAGCGATCGTTGGGAAGAAAAAGCAAAGCTATGTCTGCAAGCAAAGTAAGGCTTATTTTTTACTATTCATGTTGTTTATCGAATATCATTTCTAATATAAGCATATGTTTTTGACATCACTTAGCTTAATTTGTGATTTATTTTCGAACACTTCTGCTTCTTTATATGCTGCTGCATTAACAGCTTGGGACTGTGCGGAGACTTTGTTTACAATATTTTAGTCTTAGCGGTTGAAATGCCTGGTAAAGTTACTACAATCCTTGCCAAAAGTCCTGGTAGACACTAAGCTAAAATTTTGCATAACTTCAGTATCATCTCCCTCTCCCTCTCCCTCTTGAAACAATGTTAAATAGCAACAGTTTCAAAGCTTGAAATTCCTCCAATGTCACTAGGGTAAGTAATAGGTATTTCGACCAACATTGTTTTGGGGGAGAGGGGGGTATTTCTGTATCTTACAGCCGGAAACTTTATTTCATCAAAATCTTTCATTGGCCGCAGGGTGTTCTAAGGACTCTTGTCAAGGACTGTAGTTCATAGAAGATCTAGCCCCGGGCCTTACATAAGAAACTTATAGTTAAACTTCTTTGAACTCCTTGCAAAGATAAACTCCTTTACAGAATATTGGTAGAGTATGAAATGTGGCCTGCTTTTGTCAGTGTCAACATCACCTTAATTTTTCGTATTCTTTCAATAGACCGAAGCTTGCAGTAAGCACAATTGTTGCAATAGTGAGGGAAGCTACCAAATTTAAGGTTATTTTGCCGAATATAAACACATTAAAAGAGGCTCTGGAGAACGTGCGCGATTGGGCCCAAAAAGTTGAGCGAATACAGGTTTGTTTTCTTTGTAACTTTAGGCGCTTTTGCTCTGAAATGTGACCCGTACGAAGGAGTTGTAAAAAGGATATGAAGAGCTAAACTGTAGTCTTCTGGAATTTATGACAGGGTCTTGGACAGCTCAGTTACGATAGGCCGCTTTTATTTGATGCTGTCGAAGAATCACAGAGAATCATTCAAGTTCGGTGAAAATGGAGAGAAGTGTATGATAGTATAATAATTATAAGAATAATATATAATAATCAATTTATTTACATTAGGCTGGTTTGATGTAGGTATCTATATACGATTTATGTACAAGCTAATTTAGGCTTACTTTACACAAATTTAGAGTACAAAAATTAAGAGTGAATAATTAAAAATTACATGTATAAAACAATTAGTTGATTAATAGAAGAAATGATATTGATGGTTAAAAAACTCTTTGACATTTTACAATGAGTTTATAGTTAAAAGATGTTTTGATATTTTCACACCAAGACGACTATTTTCTTTATTTTCTACTCAAGAAATCCAACCTGAGCTACGTAGCATCTACATAATTCATAACAGCATTCTTCTCCTTTCCGTTTTTTATCCGATTGTGGGGCAAAAACAGACTGGGGGATTTTGTGGGGAAAAACAGACTGGTATATGAATGTTTCCTTCGGTCTACACAAAAAAATTTAGCTCATTTAAAGCAGACATAGATTAATTCATTTCACATTTATAAGGTCTTCTTGCTGATCACTTTTCTCAAATTTGGTTCTACAGAATGATGTGAACTACCCTTATCTGGACGTACTAGAGGAACTAGTCGCGCGTGGCAGGCCCCTTCCAGTGCGCCTAGATCTGTTGCCGCAGATGGAATCACAGGTTGCTGCTGCGCGGGCATGGAAAGACCGCACGTCAAAAATATTCGTGAAAAAAGGATCGGCACTGCCGCTTTTTGAGGTATTGCTATATCCATTTCAGTTTGTCATTGTACACTATTTGTGAAGCTCTTTTGTGTTAGATGTTTTTGTTCTTGTCTTTTATTAGCTCGAAAAGTCGTATTTACAAGAATCGTATTTCATGGACAGTTTGACTCACAATGAGACGCCATCACAACAAAACGTTATCTTATCAAAACAATAGGCTTGCCCCCCCCCCAACTATTTGACAAAGTGTCCGCCCCCTGGTTTAACTTTTATTTCTCTGACTACTTTGAGTACCGAGGCAAGCGTGACTTTCTCGGAAAAAGTCTCAGGTACGCTTCACAATCTTATATTGCGCTAGTATAAGTCAATTCCAATTTTTTTTATTCTAAAGAAACACCGTGGTAGAGATGTGAACTTTGGTTCTCAATTCTCACCAATTGCAAACGTTGTGTCGCTAAAGAGAGATTTACGAATAGTTTTGGCTCAGAGTCACAAATTTCTTGTTGTATAATTCTGATAGGAACTATTGCCAAGAAAGTTCTTCTACTGATAAATGCAAGCGTTTTTGTCATCTTGACCACTTTTATCCATGATTCAGCCTGTATGTTTTGAAGCAGGATCGATAATAGAGGATTGCAGTTGGTTTCGATTGGTCTCTCAACTCTAACGTTAAGACCTGTGCGCTGCCTTTTTTTTAAAACTCTCCCTCCCCCTCCCCCTGTAAAATGGTGCGCAATAACTGTGCTTTTCCGTTCGTTGCTTTTGTTGCTTTCCCTCCCTCCTTTTGATTTTTGCCTTTTCGCTCACTTCCATTTTTGTTTCTGTCTTTTTCTTTTACACAGGCTTAGTCTAAAGCCATTTTCCAACGTTATTTGTGCTACACTCTGTGGCTCAAACTGTACGGTCCTGAATCTTTAAGACATGATTCGGCAGAACTTTAATCCCTAAAAAGTCCAATTGGTCCCTGACGTTTTTATGTTTTTATCCCGAAGATCATCGCCCCTCGCAAAGAAATCGTTAAATCAAGTTTAGCTGTTAAAAACAAAAAGAAGAAAGAGCGCGAGGATAAAGAGAAACAAGGAGAGACAGAAATGGAAAACGAACCAGAATTTATAAATCTTGATGATTATGTTGCGCCTGACCCAAGTACCAGACTGAAGGAATTGAAAGAAGAAGAAAGAATCGAAAAAGATTTGATTTCTAATTTAAGAAAAGTGAATCTACAACGAATTGAGAATGAATGCGTTGATGGACCTTTTTGTTTATGTGGTAAAGGCATAGATGGTCTGATGGTGCGTTGCTGTCTGTGTTATGACTGGTTCCATAGCTCTTGCATTTCGTTGCCTAAAGTAGTAAACGGCAAGCCTATTTTAAAGGGTCAGACGGCCTTTGATATTATGAAGGACTTAAAGTATATGTGTCCGTTATGTACCAGGTCTAGACGACCTAGGTTAGAGACAATTCTTGGTTTACTAGTGTCGCTGCAGAAACTGCCCGTCAGACTGCCGGAGGGAGACGCTTTGCAGTTTCTGATAGAGAGGATCATGAAATGGCAAGAAAAGGTCAAACCTGTTCTTGAAGACAAGGCAGTTGAACCATTGTTGCTAACTTTACTTCTGAAAAAAAAGCTCAGCACAGCTTCCATGTCAAATGGAAACAGTAAGCTAAGCACAACAAAAATCACCTTCAAACGTATTGTAAACGAAAATCTTGAATTCGGTCCGGGGATCTTCGAAAAGGGCATAGTCGGAGGTATTAAGAACGCGGAGGAAAAGAAACAAAGTGAGGATGAAGAGATGGAATCGTTGCCAGTTATAAGGCCAAGAGAGGTGAATTCGTCAATTGCGATTGAAGGTAAGCAAGCCAAATTAGATGTCAGAAAAAGCGAGGTTAAAGAAGTGGACGATCCTTTGACTTTGGAATGTGAGGAGGAGATGACAGAAAGTCCGAAATCATCTGGATCTAGGGAAGATGGTGTAACAGAAACCGAGGGCAGTGATCATTCTGCATTGTCACAGAAGCCTTCGGGTGCCCAGAGCCCCGTAGATGTATGCTCTGTGTCTGCGGAAACGACTTCGAACAGTGTTGAAAAAAAACCTGTTGAAATTGGAGATCTACGTAAAATTGAAGAGTTACTTATGGAAGGAGACTTGTTGGAAGTCACTATGGATGAGACCCAGCATTTGTGGATGATTTTAAATAGCCAGCGGCCCTTGCTTCTCGAGGACTGTAAAGTCATGGTAGGTCATTTTTATTTTGTCATTTACAAGTGTAGCATAATTATGCATGCAATGAATGATATTTGTAACATAATCATGCATACAATGAATAATATATGTAGCATAATCATGCATGCAATGAATGTTATATGTCACATAATCATGCATGCAATGAATTTTATATGTCACATAATCATGCATGCATCGGAATGTGTCCCTCGTAACAATATCAACGTTTTCATCTCTCATGAGCAGAACTTTGTTAATGTTATTCCATTCTCATATCTCATTGTGTGATTATAGCATAACGGTACTTAGGAACTTGTTGTGGTTGCCCCAGAACAGGAAACACAAATCCATTTGTAAAAGGGATCTAATTTTTGAGGCACACATTTTACTTCCGTTATAATATTTTCCAAGTATTAGCAACTTATAATCGAAGATACGAAGCTATGTATTTTGGGATATTTCTTTGTTGACAATCAATCTTTGTTGTGGAAAGGCCACTGCATGTAAGTCTTTACATATTAATAGGATACCACGGTGCTCATTATATATATTTTATGCCTATTCTTTGAAGGCGAAGATAGCGTTTATATTTTTATAATGCTTTAATCTGCTGCATTAAATAGCACATTTAAAACATGTTCTATTGCTTCATTTTCCTGTCAGGATCACGAATATCGCAGGATGCTGACGAAGAGCAACAAAAAGAAGAAAAGAAAAATTGAGGAAAGTACACAACGGCCCATTATTTCATCTGGGCTCAAAAAGGACACCAAAGAAGTCCCAAAGAAAAAGGTGAAGAAGCTAGCGGCAACAACAACGAAAGGTGACACGGAAGCAAAAGATGTTGATGTTGTTGAGACGGAAGACGTAGAAGATTCAGATGAGGACTGTGCTGCGAAGCCATGTAGACAACCGACAGGTAAACGCCTGCGAAGCCTTTCAGTATCATTTCACACTTAGAAATTCAGATTAGACATTTAAGCATTTAGAAACAGTCGAATCCTGCATTTGTATGCAGTTGAAGTCCTACCACACTGGGAAAGTGAAGATAGCTTTGGGAACTGTAAAGGTTATATAGACGTCAGTATTTTGCAAGACCGGATTAGCGCAACATTTTGTGAGATGACCAAGGAAATAGACAGCGTAATAGCAGCTTCTCATTTGGCTATTGCGGAAGTACTGTGAAATATCTATTTAGGACACACTGGTGGAACTAGAGTGGCTGTTTTTCTAGGGAGATTTTTGTTATCTAGAGCTTACTTGCACAAGGGTTTATCTAAAGAAAACTGATTTTATCACAATGTTTTTGGTGTCACTTTTTTGGAGGTCCGTTGTTAGTGTACAAAAAGTGCTAGAAAACATTCAGGCTCAGCCCTTCGAGTACTTTTGAGCTCTTAAATATGAAATACCCTGTCAAACTTTTTCATTTTTCTTTCTCATAGGTGATGAAGTTGGTTGGGTACAGTGCGACCCATGCAGCAGTTGGTATCACGTGGCTTGCATTGGTATTACGGCAGAGGCTGCCGATGCTATGGAAACCTATGTCTGCCCGCCGTGTGAAGCGTCAGGCAAGGGATTCAGCGTTTCTTCAGCAGTTAGCCAAAATTGACACAACAGATGAGTGATAACACCAATCTCATCCTTGTTTTTATCACGTGACCGAGCCATTTCATTATGGACAGTCTCCTCTCGGAAGCGCGGCTGAACAAGAGCTGCAGGCCCCATGTTGATTCCCAATAACAACAGCTGATATGGCCAATTCGAGATGATAGTCCTGGATAATTGAAACCTCCGCTACTTTATCCCTGGCACTCTGAAATGACGTTAGCTACTACCAGAAGTAGTTGAAGTGACTGAACCGAAAAAAATTATTTAAATACTTGTCAAGATAATTCCCCTAAGCATTATATAAGACCGATTTTTAAGATTTTTTCTCGTGAAGATTTAATGGCTCTAGTGATCGCGTAGAAGGCGATATAAGGAGTTCTTACAAGAAGTAGAAACAACACGTTGATATGGCGACTCGTGTGTTTATCAGTTTCCAATAAATTTTTGGTCCCAAACCTACCGAGATGCTAACAGTCGATTACATAACTGAGAAGCACCTAGTTTAATGGTAGTAATTATGTAATAGGTCAGATATTGTTGGTATACTTTTGAGTAATTTCAGCTAAAAATTTTGCTTTGTAAATAATGCATCACTCGACCCTTTGTTCGCATTGCCTTGCATCAATTATGCTTGAGCCCTGCTCTGAAGACCGAATATTTGTCCATTTCTAACAAAATTCGTGTAACAGATACTTAATATCAAACCCTGGATTTGGCCCCTATTAAACCTGTGTAGTTGTTGGATGTGAGATTATATTAGGTGAGACGATGAGATGGGAATAAGCCTGTGTCCCAGACCTCTACTTTTAGGTTAGGGGTCTGGAGCACAGGCTAAGAGACTGAGATGAGATGAGATGAGATGAGATGAGATGGGATGGGATGGGATGAGATGAGATGAGAGGAGATGAGATAAGACAAGATAAGACAAGATGCGAGATGGGATAAAAAGAGGCGGGGTGAATGGAGACGAGGGCAGAGCCCCAAGTCTCCCCAGAAAAAGGAAGCAATACCTCAAATTTTTTATGTTTTGGTATGGAAGTTCTTAAGACCATATATTTATGAACGTAACCTGATTTCCTAACCCGCCCTGTAGGTTTCTGCACCTCTGATTCTTGCACCCGTCCAGGTCTCAAAATGGAAAGTTCGTACTCATTGACTTCCAAACTTGAACTGAAAGCCCTGGAGATCTTAGGGTATTAAAGGTTGCTTAGAATAAAGAATAGATGAAATGGATCGTCAATGTTGCGTTATCACACTCTGTAATGTTGTTTAGTGTTTTGTTAATGAGAATCCTCTTTGTGGGGTAACCAATATCATGTGCCTGGATCCATTAGTGTACCTCGTTATTTTCTTAAAATCAATTGAATTACCAAGGGCCTTTTATTTTGTTGTTGAATCAGTCCTGTTTCGGCTGTGATTGGATTAATTTGATATCACCCTCTTGCTTCGAAAAGTTGCCAAGAACATTGAAGGAATTTTGGCCAAAAAATTGTGGAGATAATAGATAGTTGTAAGGGTTCTTAAAATGTCATCCTTGCAGGGGCGGGCAACTATTTCCACATTTGAATCAAATTTATGACTGTACCTGGATCGGGCAGATAATGGTTAAGGAAAACGCTCTTATCAACTGAAAACTGCAACTCTCTAGGTTTACCAGGTAACCTCACTGAGAGAGATGTTTGTTCTAATCTTTCTAAAACAAATTTCTCCAGGTATACTGCAATTACAACTTGACCAGTGAATGGGATATCTTCCTTACTGTATTTGAGAATGAAACCTCCTTCGGTTGTTGTGTGATGAATTCCTAAAAAATTATATTTAAAAAAGGTTCAGTGTTATTTTTTCGTTTAGTAATGGATGTTATTGCAAGAGACCAGCTACGAGAAAACGTGCAGCAAGGATGTTTGTGTGAACCCTATTTTGATGAACTTCAGCTGCAAGAAATACTGCTTCTTGCGAGGGTTTTGTATTTTTATCTTATAAATGAAGTTCAATGTTCCAATAGCTAGACATACGAATACATCATCTAGATTGAAAATATATTTCAGCCAGTTATTTGATAAGAAATTCCTTGAATTATCAGTTCTGAAAGAGCTAGGACAACTAGGTATTTGCTGAAGTGCCGGATTTGGCCTGCTCGTTTTTGGTTTAAATGGTGATTTTGCAAGAACAAAAGAGCATTGGAAAACGAATGAAATCCCTAACACCAATGGAAATAACCTGACTGATCGTCAATATGCTTATCTCTGAGGTGATGGTGATCAGCGTGCTTATGACTGCTTGACGATTTTATAGACCAATGCAGTTCAGTTCAGATTTTAATTTGATTGACAAAATATAAGGATTATTTTACTAATCGCCCTCGCTTTCCCTTGAAGGATACTCATCTTAAAACAGCTCGTGGTTTTGTTCCACTTTATTTTCCAATGTTGAGAATTTAATGGAAATTTCAGGAAACATCGTTGGAGCCACCATTATTAGGCCCTGATATCAACGGTAAACGTGAAATATTTTTTGGATATTGAAATAAGGGATTAACCCAACGGCAGTGTCATATTTCCTAAGCTAAGAAATAGATTTATTGAAAATGTGGAGACAGGAATTACGGATTTTCAAATGGTAGCTTATACTAGTTTGGCAAAAGAAAAAAAAGTAAAGCCAGCGTTTTGGATTGATTTCCAAATTACTTTCGGTGTGTCAGTGAATAATTTATATCTATATCTTTATCTTGAATGTGTACGAAAAGTTTTATTTGTATTTTTGAAAGCATTGAAATTAATCCTTTCAATAGCTGCTTTTGCAAAATTTTGATTTATTTCCTAGTATTTGTTTGTCATCAGATTTTATATTTATATTCTATGGCCTAAATTCTGACTGACTGGTAAGCCAGCTTGATCAGTTAGGAGTTATTCTCCAGTTGGCTTGGTTAAACACTGGCCCATATCAATGCGAGAAACGCATAATATTCATACAAGATTACCCAGAATATTGTCAAAACTTTTTTGCTGTGGTTGTTATTAAACACCCATTGTGAGCCGATCTTTCCCGGCAATTGAGTCTTTTAACGGAAGTAGATAACACGTTTTAAGAACAAAATGGAGAAAAGTACTTCATATTTGTGAAAGTTATGCTAAATTATTACTATACTTCCTGGACAGCCTAGTTGAGACTTTGAGAACAAAGTAAATAAATATGGCACGCATGCGCATTCTTTATCGTTTAGTTTTTCCCAGAAGATCACAGAAATGCATTGGTTTATTATAAACAGAATGACAAACAGAAAAAGACCAAGAGAGTATTCCTGTACCACATCAGAAATGTTTGGTATGCAGATAGATAACACATAAAGCTAAATTTGTACTTATTAAGAATATTGAAATCAACAAAACTAACAACTGGAGTGATGAAATTTTGTCTTCCGTAAACATCTGAATGCTGTAAACATCGTGGAACAAAAAACACACGAGTAAATGGAAGCAAGAAAATCTAACCGACTATATAAACAAGACTACAGAAAAAATCAAGGATCTGTTCTTATTTGAAAACAATTCTCTATCGTTCATCAATTTAAAGATCTGAATGAACTTTGTTTTGCTCACTAAATATTTATCGTTTGCTCTCCACACATGGTTTTCTTTTCAGTAAATTAATCTGATTACATGCTTCCTTTAAACTGATCTTCCCGCCTGTGATTTTTTCCATTACATGAATAAAGTTTTTGACTGCCCATTCACATCTGGCATCACGTTATCCCAATATCTTTAGAAAATCAAGTAGGCTTAATTTTTCTATCAACTAGGGAGAAAATTTCTCGAAAAATTCATTAGGTTTAGGCAGGAATGTATGTTCTGCGTACTCTTAATGCTGTGAAGGGAAAGCTTGTCCGGTCCATCGTCTTAAATGGCAGCTCATAATGTACGATGTTGTTATTTCATAGGATGTTGATACAAAACCTAAGTTTGTGCTAGATAAATATTCCTTGTTGAACTAAACCCAGTTGTTACTCGTTAGACACACCGTAGCTATTTTGATCACCAATCGTCGTCGATGATTACAAATTGAATCTCGATATAAAAATTCTTCTCGTAACAGATGAGAGTGTAACCACAACGGCAAGAAAGGATGAACGTATCGTAAAACTTTATTTGCTTCACCCCCTCATTATCGTAACCTTATTAAAAAATGGTGCTTGATCACTTTCACCCTTTGCATAAAATTTCGTCAATGAAAATTACTTCTGCTTAATAACAAATGGAAATTTAATAAACGTTGGCTCGAAAGACGATAACTCGTCGATTTTCAGAAGGCATTTTCACTTCGTGATTAATCGCTCTTGCTGGGATTAAGTTGTTTTGTCGTTCTAGGCAACGTAAACTGTATTCAGTCCTTCATAACATCTTTCCTTGGGCGAGAGTAGATATTTTCTCTATACAATTATTTAGCATTCATTCGAGATTTTAATCCAAGAACACAATCCAGGCAGGCGCTACCAAAAGAAGTTGCTGAGACCTAAAGTATTTCCCATGATTTGTTCTGCTTGCTTACGCGACAAAACACGCAAGAAGTGCGTGAAAAGAAAAACGCACATATCCTGGTTACACTGCGTGTGCCTTACTCTAATCCGAATCCATTTCTAATGTTTATGCGCAGTCTGAAGAATCTCTTTTAATATTACAGACACTCTTATATCAGTACAATGTACATAATATTTTGCTACATTATTGAGTTCTAAAGTGGCGACGGCGCAAAAATCTATTTTTAGAATTTTTTTATTTGGATCCCATCTGAAAGAGTATCACAAAATACCTCTAAATAGGAAAAATCAGGGTGTTTTGAATTGGCAGAGATATGGCCACATGTGTATTAGATCTTTCCCCATCAAACCTCTGTATTTTGGTCTCTGTTCATAACTTTATGAACAGAGCGAATATAACAGTGGTTCGTTAGCAAACTACAAACCTTTCATTGGGCATTGCTCAACCGATTTTAGACGTATTTGGCCAATTTTGGATGATTAAAAGTATTTTATGGTGATCTTTCATGTTAAGTGCTTAAAATTCATAAATCCAAAAAATCGGGTTTCGATGACGTCACACTTTAAAACTCTATTGCCTTTGTTAATAGCTGCTATACTCGCGCCGGTGTATAGTTGTTTAAGAGCTTTGATTGTTCCAAGGTTAGAAATTTAGTCTTCAAATAAGGCAAGTATGATTTCAAGGACAATTCAGTTTATACTCAACCTGTAAAAGGCAAGTATGTTTTCCGTTTCTTGGAGCTGTCTTGATCTACCAGTTGAAACCAATATACGCAAAAAACATTGCAGAATCAACTCATCCCGACTTATGCAATATCCAATGAACATTATATAAATTGTCTGAGTCCAGTTTACAAATAGCAAGGTATTTAGAGAATGGCAGTCGGTTTATTAAGGTTTGGAATTTATGATTTTCCTACATTCCAAAGCGTTGGGAAGATGTTGTCGGCGGCTACAGTTGTAAATAAAACTATATACGCTAGTCAATACAGTGTCGTCTAAAAATGCTTTATTTATTTGGGATTACAAGGTTACTTCCAATATCTTTAAGATATTTTTGGAACTAAAATGGGAAATTGTCTGCCACGCTCACGGGTTTTTAGCCTATGGGGTTGATGGGTTTAGTAAGCCTAAAGATATGCTTGAAATCTTCTCAAGTGTTAAGAGACCCCGATCCCAATTAGCTTTTATCTTTGTGATTCGAAAGACAGTACTCTCTTGTATACAGTTTATTACTGTTCATTGTTCGTATTTTAGGCCACTTGACATCGCCTCTTTATCCGTTTTAGCAAATTTTTAGCTGCATTCTTTCAAAACTTTCATTATATGACAAATTCCGTCTCATTCATATGCGTCCGTAGGTTTGGAAAAGTGCAAGCAAAAGTCTAAAAATCTCATAACTGGTGATTTTTTCCCCACTAAACACAGTATTTTCCGTTGATAACAGTTCCCACTCGCGTTTGCTTGCGTCATACCCGACTCTTAATCATTCGCTAGCCAAACGAAACACCAACTACGTTCCATGCTTCAACAGAGCTGCCCATGGCGTGAACATTATTCCATTGCTTGTATTTCGTTAGCAGCTGCGAACAAGCTTGCTATGATAACAATAAATCGAGTTGTACGAAATCATGGGATATCTTTAATTATTAGCGATTTCGTTTTAATCAGCCTCACGATTACATTAACAGGTGGCTTCCCTTTAAGTCCTACAATCAATAGCACTTAATTTTCCAGCAAGCAGTGCATACTATAACTCGGGTGACATCTGGAGATTCAACGGAGGTACAAGGACAGATGAAGGCTACGGCCCTAGTCCACACGTGACAAGAAACCGGCTATCAATGAATCACGTGTAAGAATCAGCTAATCGACTGAAATCACACATGCTCCAAAAAAATTGAAATGACACATTTTATTGTGACAGCCAGCTTCAATAAAACAATTTTAATCAAATTTTATCAAGATTTAAAGAATTATTTACAGCGCAGTAACGCTTAATTGATCACATGGTGATACTTTTATAAATGACTGTCCTGTGCCATTCCGCCACTGGAGACAATCCAAGTATAAGAAGCTAAGACAAAAGGTCTCAAAAGACTTTTGATCATTCGTTCAAAATTTTAGGAAAGGAAATTCAAATCAGATCACACCGAATGTACCTACGCAGCCTATACCTTTATGCCATTTTTCGAAAAAGGGCGCTCGAAATAAAGCATGGTGATCGCACCCTTGCCAGAGATTCAAAGTGTAGTTAAAAGAAGGGTCAGGCCCCTCTTCGAAGCATCTTTCATCTTTCCACAGCTCTCTTCAGGCAGTAACTCCAGGACGTCACCTGAATGATCCTCGGTTTGCGGTTGCGGTTGCGGTTGGCAGCCGTAAAGCCATGGCCAGTGTTTTGATAAAAGCCGGGGATGCTAGGAATCAGTATCATTCTGATGGAGAAAAGGCCTGGGAAATTTTGGTGTATAAATAAGATAACAATCCTTGCATTCGACCTAACGTTGGAAAAACAGTCAGAGATTGACAAGACTTTCATTAACAACCCCTCACAAGTTGGATAAGATCGGAAAAGAAGCTGAAACAATGAAGATTGATATCTTGGCGATTTTTATCATTCTCCAATCGTATTTGGGTTATGGTCACACATATATCAACGAAAAAGTACGAAGAACGAATCGTTAGTATTCTTGCCTATTTGTATAAGCGTTTTATGAACTTGCTGGTGGTTTATTAGAATAACGAAAAATTCATTCAACAATGGTTAATTATTTTAATAAAAGATAACACCGTTTCTAACATCTGAGGTTTACACATATGAAATGTTTTCTGCAATTAATATGTCAGCTTTGCTATGATTTGTAATTGATGTTGGATTTCTTGATTAAAAGGAATGTCGGAAAGGAAAGGAAACGTCAAGAAAAATCCAACATAAATAAACCACATCTTCCATATTGGTTAGGGCAAATGACATATGTAATACTGACTGTTATTTATGAAACGTTGATATTGACAATGACAAAGACTGATAAACAACCAGTATTTTGATCCAATTTTTTCCCATATCGATGTTTTCAGCACTGTGTCATCCATATTCGTCTAAAAAATGTTTTTATAAGGAAGAACGATATTAGAAACCTACATATAGAAGGCTGAACTTTTAAGGAGTTCGTACTACTAAAGACAGAATTTTAAGAAACTTCTCAATTTAAAATAGATTTATCACTGCAAACAATCGATAATTAGGGAGGCTTTTCCATTCATTGGCAATAAACTCGTATTCAATGTCGGTTATGCATGTGTTAAGCTAAAGTTATATTTTCTAGCAGTTTTCCGAATTGCAATGTTTTTATTGTGTCTGTGCAGGCCCGTCGCTAGATATTGTGCTCAAGGGGGGTTTCCATGTCCCATTTGCCGACAAAGTGGGTGAGCCGTCATGAATTTGCCAACAGGTTTAGAAATTTGCCGACAAATTACCCAAAGATGGCAAAAAACTCCTCGTTTTTGCAACGGAATTATTTTCAAGGGGGGTTTCACGCCCCACGCGCCCCCCTATAGTGACGGGCCAGCGTCTGTGTTACTTTCAGGGCAATAAATGTGCAGATAAAATCGAGGAACTATTTAAGAGTTTTTGGTAATACAGTGTGATCAAAGTGGTCCACAAATAAGGAACGTAAAGAACCAGGCTATAGAAATGAACCAGCGCTTAGATTTGGTCCAATAATTGTTCGAAGTGGGGTAGGGAGGGTAATGATATACATACAGAACACAGAGAAGTAGACGAGATAAGAGTTGAAGAGTGAGAGAAGCAATAACAAGCAGATTATTCTGACTGTACGTTTTTATTTCTATTTTGATGCTTTCGCGAACATCGCTGTTCTTTTAGAGAACGAGGGAGACTAGCAGGATGGTTTACCAGTTGAGACAGAAGCCTTCAGAGGTTGAGCTACACAAATTGAACTTGCCCCTGGAAACTGTTGTATCTCTCTAAGTGCTGCTCCCTCGTTCTTTAGGACTTTGACTTGAATCTCTGCATATCTATCTGCAATACGTATTTGTTAAGTCATATTGATACAGGTTGAATTACCCTTTATGTTCTTGCTAAATTTAGCTGTTTAAGCCAATCGAACGCATCAGCCTGCTGAATTACAAATTAAAGCAAGTAAAAGTTTGAATCCCGGCCATTCATATCCACCTGTCGTTGTCATCTCCTACCTTCCTTCTTTGATAAAATTGATCTCCATTCAATGGGACGTTCGCAAGGCGATGATATTTCCTTTGTATGAATAAAAGAATTCATGTCATCCAGACATTCATATAAATGTCCGTCATTGATCCAGTACCAAGGACATTGCAAAAGAATCATCAAATTTCTAGGCGACATAAGAGATGTCATGTACAATGACCACAATGGTGATTCTACATATAATATTCTGTTGATTCTATCCGTTCTTTTCAAGCTTCATAATCGCTACCAGAAGTCCTTTGAACGCCAAACTGTCAATGATTTATCTTTAAAAGTTAGGAGTTTCCAGGAGAATCGACCGTTGCCTCACGCCATATTCTCTTAACTAATATTGGGAAGAGGGGCGAGGGGCAAATCATACCAAGAAAACCTCCTACACCTTTCGTGAAAATCCAGTTGTTTTTACTGAAAATCCCCAAAAATCCTTGTGTTTTAGGAAAAATATCGTACGCTATTTGCAAGAGTGAATTGCCCCTGGGGGGGGGGGGTAAGGGAAGTAGATACCTATTATTGTTTTGTAAAAGGGCATATAATAAGCCCTTAAATATTAATGGCCTAGATACCTTAGCCTACGTCTCTCAACGTTAGTAAAACCGTACACCGTGGGGTATTCTTAATAGCAGCTGTTGTACTATATAGCTCTTGTACTTCCCAAATTCTAATATCTTAAAGACATGATGAGATTTTCTACACCTCCTTAAACAACGTATAAGATATTTTGTGACATTTAGATCAAGATGTTCCATTCTCTTTAAATTCTCATATTTCATGCTACAATTTTTCAAATAAATTTTGATTTGCTTGGGCTGCTCTTGTCTTACCCCCACCGTTTTTGTATGCTCATTACTGTTCCCTTTTTAGAGGCATGCATTGATAGGCGTCCTGACTGCATGAGGCTGAAGACCATTGGATGGTGCGGTAGGCAATCGCAAATAATGACTAAAGTCTGCAAGAAGACTTGCCAAGCTTGTGATGGTGAGTCTGTTTCTTTTCTTGAATACCAAACCTGATTAAATGGCTATCTTTATTAAACTGCAAATCTGTAGCCTTTTGATATCATCATCTAGAATTAACTTAAATATCATAAAATTTCGTCGAGAGGATGTTTCATTTGAAACTTTGCCACACGATATGACTCGAAGTGAACATGGACAATACGACACAACCTCATACGACATGACACAACTACATAGCGTGACTGGACACCGATTCAACAAATGGTTATCCCACTGATGAAGATCTAATCACTCAGTGAGTCAGGGAATCAGGAAAGGGCAAACGATATGTGATATGTGACATCCGAACATCCAATGTGAAACGGGTTCTAGTAGTTATCAGTAATTTATAGTATTTGTAGGTGTCTGTAATTGTTTCATTTAGCTGTTACTTGTTATATGTTTTTTATGTTAATGGCTACAGGGTAGTAATTGTCTTTTGTTCCCTGTGGTCCCGTCCCTGTAGTGTTGTACACTTTGTAAAGTAATTAGGAAGTATAGTATAATGTAGACGTAAGCATGTATCGTAAAAAGTTTTTATAAGATATAAAAACAAATATGTGATATATGTTCGAAAAATAGGTTGAGGTATAGATGACAAATGTATGACAAATACATGAAAGATAGAATTGTTTCTTTATTGGGCCTTAATCCTTGTTTATCTCTCTAGGTTACTTATTCTTTGTGTCTTTTCTCGCCTCCTGATTGCTCCTACATCGTACTTCTCTATCACATGATTTACGAGCTCCTTTGTTTAGCTCTTTCGTATTCAAGTTGATCTTTTCTTGCCTGTAATTATGAGGTGAACTGGACCTTTCTAGTAAATTCTTAATAATGCTAAATAAGAAGAACACGCTAGACAAGTTAACTAATAAGAAAATAATTCTAGAAACTTCTAGAGTTAGCCTTACGTAAGATGCTGTAACTTGCTCATTTAAGATTGTATTCCTCCACACGTGATATTGTACGAGTTTATTCTAGAAATTTCTTGTTGAAGAGTATATAAGGGTAACGTGGCTTGCTGTAGGCATTCAGTTTTTAGTTGAGGATTCGATGGATACATAAACACGACGCATTGTTTATATCTTTGGAGAATAACTATACGGGACTAAGCTGGAAAACGTACCTTATCATAGCGTTGAAAGAGACGCACTTTTGTGAATCTATTCAGTGTGTCACAGGGAATAAAAAATTACACCAACGCGGCCTTGAATTCCCCACAATTATACTGAAGATTAGTCTAGCCAGAGTCGAAACGTTTAATTTAATTTAATTTAGTGGACTTGTCGTTGTGATGGATTTGTCTAAATTGGAATTGTCTTAATGGATCTGTCTAAATTGGAATTTTCTACGATGTAGCAAGAAGTTGACGAATACATTGTTGACGAAGTTGTCTTTTTTTTGCCGTTGTGCTGGCTATTAATTACATAAAGAATAGATGGCAAAACTTATTAATGTATGATAAAATGATATGAATTGACAAATGGTAATACCCAAAAGGACAAATTTGAAGTAAATGGCATCAACCACGGAATGCTTACATAACTTACGCATTAAAATGTCTTATTTTGAATCGAAACATTTTCAAGCTCTCTATTATTTTAGGCCCCTTCTATATTCATCGTCGATGTTCATAAATACTGCCAATTATAGTCCTGTATCAGATGTGAAATACTCTCTTTCATATATAACTCATAGATTTTTCATAAATTTAAGATTTTAAAAGAATTCGATATAAAGAGAATTCATACATTAGCATGCTTTGAATACCTTTCATTAATACCTTTTCAAAATTTCCCAGCAGTCTATTATCCCTGTTATACCAGGCAGCCAATTTTAAACACGATTTTATGCATATTGTATTCTTGAAAAGCTAGTTAATGCCTTCTCTAACATACTATATTTTGATTTCCATAAGTCATCTGCTTATGTAGTTTTCTTTGAGTATGTATGGCTATTAACAATTGTCACTTTCCTCGCTTTACAGAAAAATGCACCGACAAACGAAAAGACTGTCCCTACCTTCGCAAACGAGGGTACTGCAAATCACATCCAGGTGCTATGGAAAAGAGCTGTCCAAAAAGCTGTGGACTTTGCGGTAATTTTTGAAATTTCATATATGCTACTCATTAACAATTCGTCGTCTACTTACACTGAACTAGTAGAAGTAAATATACATTATAATGTCAGCTCAGTTTCTTCACGTACAATTATCAGATGCTGTTTGATTCACCTTTTTTAAAATTTATGTCAACTGTATCATTAGTTACCTATCATGTTTAAAATTTTTACTTGAGGGAGGAAATATATGCTGTTTATAAAGGTTTGAAAAGAAACTTTGATATTCTAGAACGTTGATAAACCATTTACTTCTGGCTTTTTCATCTTAGACAAAATCAAAGCAGCTAAGCCAACTGAACCTCCACCAACAGAAGCATCGTCATACCGTCTAGCTGGTACGTGCACAGTCATTCTGATTTATTGCATGTTATTAAGTTCTGATACTTTTCTGATTCATGAGAAAGTATTGGTACACCAAAGCCAAGCAGACATGTTACACACAATACCAAGAGCTGCTTACTTACGTAGAACATCACAGTATCAGATGTTTAGATGGCTTAGGTTTCCTATAATCTTTTTGCTAACTGCTTCCTCGATAGCACATGGCTGTTCTCCAGAGTCAGAAACTCTGAAACAAGATCGTTTTGCTTTTGATGACATGTTACAAACCCATACTTCTATTTAAGCCTTTCCCTATAGTCCTGAATCATCTCTCTACCTTCCCATATGTGGTTCAAGTATCAAAGTGAAAATGCCCTTTCAAAAAGCTTATCGTTAGCTTTTAGATGTTGATCCATCTCAACTTAGAAAATATAACCAAGATTTATCAGTGCTCTAAACCCCGTACTTTAAAGAACGGTCAGGATGGTGGGCTGGAGAACATGCTGCTTTGATTTGCCTTTTTCTTAATCAGAGGCATCATACTACTTTTTAATGTGCATTGAAAATATTTTCTTTATCCAAAAGCTGTCAAAGGGAGCTGATCACCCTTTTAAATATCTCTAGTAAAGCTCGGGCTCCTAAGTTCCCCCATAATTGGCACCAACGTACCTCACTTCTCGAGACGCTCTGCCCACATGAATTGCAAAATGTTTTTGTAACCACTTGCCTCCTTTCGATTTCAAATCAAGCCTCATATTTCAGGATCATGCAAAGATAGGATTGGAAAAACTCGATGCCAATATTACAAGTACATCGGCAGGTGTGATCGTTCTAACATGAAGTACTACTGCAAGAAAAGTTGCTTTTGTGGTTGGTTGAATTTCTTTTCAGTGTATTACTACAGTAAAAGATAATTGTTTATAAATGCATTACTGAATAATTGACCGACTCCCTTATAACTTGTATCTTATTTTTAGTATTTATAATTATCTTATTTTGAGCATAGTTGTCTTCAAGATCTTGTGGTCCTTCATAGTCATTCCAGTTAAAGTAATCATTTGTCATTTGGATTTCCCTGTTTCGAGTTTTCTCTTCTAATTGTTCTTATAATCTTGGCTGACTGTTTCACTATGAAACTCTTCCATTTGTCTCTAATATCATTGGCTGTTTGCAATATCGTCATCCGTTATTGATGATGATCCTCGTCAAAGCAAGAACATAGGACACCTAAGGGCAGCATCTACTTTTTGATGAATGTCTTTATTTGAACGCGTTAGGGCAAAGTAGCTAGTGGTTTTCATTTTTGATGTGTTACTTTACCCAACGTTTATACACCTGTTTACAGACCTGCACAACATTCTAGTAGTAGCTTGAGTAAGTACTTGATGTGTACTCTGATCTTTACATTGCTAGAGACAAGATTAAAATGCGCGATATATTCCTCTGTAGACCGCAAGCCAAGCACATCTGATTGTGAGAAATCAAGATACGGATGCTGTTGGGACAATAAGACCACTAAAATATCATCATCTGGTCGAGAATGTCCAGGTAAGAACAAATATTTTGATGTACTTAATTAGCTTCCACACAGATTCTTATAATAGCACTGGAGGAGAGCTCCAAGCCAGGGAAGGTATAAACCTTATGAAGATGCTAAAACTTTAATTAAGAGGACCGGATATGCTGAAGGACCTGGTTTCTCATTTAACTCTCTTTTATATTGGACAATATCAAAATCAGCGCAAAGAAAATGATATCTTTTTTGTTCTTCATTGTTAACGCGAAAAGTATGTACCACATTTCTATACGTAATACGTGACACAATAATATAATGTATTACGATGGCAATTTTAGTGCTGGTAAAGATTCAACCTTCAATAAGAGAATGCATTCAATTTTCAATAGCTGTGATTTTGCCCATCAGTGATTCTTCCTGGCTAAGCGGTAGAAACAACTTCTTAGTGGGGTTGGATTCGAGGCCTTCAATTTTCTATTTTTATCATTTAGCTTGTGAAGATGATGAAAGATTTGCCACTCTCTGCGGTCGTTTTAAAACTGGTTGTAATGGAAATGCAGGATTGGGACAAAGCCTCCGCAAATATTGCGCGAAAACCTGCAAATTATGCTGTAAGTTTGGATTTTTCATGCTTATTCAATGTAAATGTAGTTTTGTTTGAGTGATAAAATTTACTGACGAGGACATATTTGAAGATAAATTTTGGTGCTGTTTCACCTACCAATAGACGATTTTACCGACAAACCAGGGAATTGGGGATCTCGTCTTTATACAAATTTATGTTTCAGAAAACATCCAGCTGTGAAATGAAACAGCATCAAACAATGTCAGGCAACAAAATAGGCCGTCTGCCCGCCATTATGAAACCCAAAAATGAGTATCTGAAGTGTATGATAATATGTTAACAAAGAGTGTTCTCGACAGGCTTGGTACTTGCAGTGATAGGGAGACAGGCTTTGAAAAATATTATTACACTGTCTTAGGCTGAAATCTGAATGGGCCATATAAGAGGAAGAAAATTCATCCAGGTTGTTTGTTTATCAAATAAACAGCAACGATTTTCTCACGGATGTCATTAAAAATTCAAAGTTTGGATGCTAAATATTGGCAATAAGTGTTCTATATATAGGAAGGATAACATCAATTTTTCAAGTATGGAGCCTCAATGTCAATGAACATGAAGGATTGCTAATGATGTGCAGTGATTTTGGAGGATAGGGCTTTCTTGTGTTATGGGCAAATCCAGTAAAATGCAGACCAAACAAAGAAGCCCTCACAAAACCAGAAGAGCTTTATCTTATCAATTATACAGATAGTAACTTTTTATATGAGAAATTTCTCTAGAGAAGCAGCACCGTACTCAATTGCTTTACTGTCCCCAAATTACCTTTTTTAAAAGAAAAATTTTATAAGAACACGAGCCTCAAAATTGGTCAAAAGTTGAAAACAAACTAAGAACAAGCTGAGGCTGAGCTACTGTAAAATGCTATTTTGAACAACGTTTTATCCCAAAAAAGATGATTTTTAGCCATGTGTGGGTGCTTTTTCGGTGAATATTCAAACTTCGAACTTGTCAACAAATGAAGGTTGTCTCACTCACTTTGTTGGCAAATAAGAACTGAACACTTCCCTAGAGCGAAAAAGCTAACAATCGCACTGCTTACATACACCCTGTTAGTTTAAGAACAAATGAAGAACAATCCAGCGTCAGTTTTTCGAAAAAATTATGAACAGTCAGCTTGAACTTAAATTTACTGGTTTTTTAAAAAGAGTGTATTCCATATTCCACAAAACCATTTATCTGGCATGTTCTTAATACATCAATGAGTGATCACATTCTATATATCACTTACATGTCTTCATAAGATATGGAAATGACAGCCTGGATACAAGCTTGACGTTTGTAATAGGTTTTTATTTCCTATATCACTCTACAAGCTGACTCGATAGAAATCAAAGTTTTGCACTTTATCTACAATATCCTGAAAATCTACTCTGATAAAACCCCGTATACAGGCCTAAAATATCGATTACCTTTGTTCTTATACTTCCACTTGGAAAATCACTTGCCATTTTGTTTGCATCGTCCCATCGTCCTATTGCTATTGATATTCGCTGATTCAGGTGGATGGCCCATTTCTTCCTTCCTTGTTATCGATGATTTTTTACTGGAACCATTTTCAATATTGATCATTATATCAATGTTGGTATCATCTCTAAATGCAAGGATTAGGGAAACTACTTTTCAATATTTCAAATTTTTCAATTCTCCTACTTTTCATCTTTTTCAGAATCCGTTTTAATCGCTGCCCAAAGCTTTGAAGTTTGGTGTTCCTGTTTGGCTCCTAACGATTGTAAATATCAAGATAATACTCACAGTGAAGAAAATCACAGAACATAACATTAACTGTTTTGTTTAGAATTTACTCAATATAAAATATTTAGCGAAACTTATTTATTGCATTAGAATCATATTATACTTGCCTGTTTATTATTCCCAATAAGTTCTCCAACACAAAATTATCATGCCTAGTTAATCGAGACTTTACCAAGCAGATTCTATTTGACGTGACAGATGGATACAAAATCTCTTTACATTCTGTACTACAACGCAGTAAACACTTCAATCTACTTAATCGAAAATTATTGAGCTATTCAGCATAAATTCAAAAGGCCACTCGCAATTAAAAACCCTTATGAATTGGAAATTCAGCAAGCACAAGATAGCTATGTGACAGACTAGTGACAAAAAGAGAGAGAGAGAAAAGACAAATGTGAAAGTTCCCAAGCACCTCAAATTAAGAAATAAGATATTGAAAAAATTGAAATACCAATAAGGCTCATTGATAAAATGAAATGTGATCTAAAACTATTTGAATCAATCTAAAAAGTATTTTCAGCCAAACTGAAGCGGTGACTACAGAACTTTTTCCTTGTGTTGCCTTGAAATGCCTGTGTTGCAATTCTCCCTGGAATTAGAATAATATTGAGAGATCCAGATCTTTAAAAGTAGGTGTCTGCATTATATAATGCAATCTAGAATCGTTTTTTCCTAAAACTCGGTTTCTGCCGATAATTCTGTACATCCTAAGGTGGCAGTCATGTAGAATACAATCGCCTGTACCTTTATCATCTCTTGTGCAATCCCAGACTATACGAGAAACAACTTTAAGGACAAAAAGGAGGAGGCAAATACCCACTGAGTTTCAATTCTGCCCTACCAACTTTCTCAGATAAAAAAATATGACTAACTTTCAACTTTCTGTGCCGATTTTTTTACAGAGGGTCTTTGTTATCTTTTTACCTTGCTTACTTGCCATCCCTTAATGCAAGTGTTGTGTCACTCTTTTCAAACAGCACACGAGATTTTTCAAACAATTAAATTTCAGGTACTCTGGGGCTGGAGGATTTTTCATGAAAAACAAAAGGATTTTTTCTAAAGGGGTACGAGATTTTCTTGTGGTAATGAAGACCTTGATGAAGACTTTTTCTGCATTTTTCTGACCCTCTCAAAAAATGTGAGTCATAGAGAGGAAAAAATTGCATCAAAGGTCTAAAAAAGAGCAGGTTTCCTCTTTCCGTGTGATAAGTAGTGGCCATTAATATGCACGATATTGTCGTCTGCCTTGAAAGTCACCAAGTTATATGAAAAAGTATTTTAAAGCGTTGAGAGTAAAAAAGGGTTTGAGATTGGGATAAAAGAATGCTAAAAAAATACATTTTTGCTTTAATAAATGGAGCCTTTACGTGATTTGACTTACTAGGGGGTAAAGTGAATTTCTTGGTACTGGTAATCATAGAGTATCTACAATTTTGGTTAGCTGTTTAGACGGAGCCTTAAACATTTGTCCCTTGGTAGCATGTCAAGCACTACCCCCTTCCCAATTTGAAGTTGGCGTGTTTGTATTTTAGTAGCAGAGATACCCAAATTGAAATAGGGGGGGGGGGGAGGTAGTAAGATCTTAAAACCATCTGACCAGTTTTTTAGGTATAGATTTTGGCAAGATCAAATATTTTTGCATTGCAAAGTGCCAAAAGGCTCCACCTCTTCAGAGTAATCCCTTTTCAACCAATAAAAATTTCACATTGTCAAAACTTCAATATCTGCACTATTCAAAATAGGGACGAATTATTATTCTAAAAGGTGTCCGTTGAAATCTAAACTTAATGATACAGCATTATGAAAATTTATCATCTTCAAAACCTTCTTTCTTCGATTGAATGTGTTTTTATTTTCTATCCTCAGTCATGCTATAAAGAAGTAATTTTGTAAATATACAATTGTGACGATAAGAAGAAACTCCTTCTCAGTTACCAACTTGGAAAAAATTGGGCTGCAGTAGAAGTGGTGACAGAATAGTTCTATCGTTTCAATATCAAGATATTTTGTACCGTGTATTATTAAAAATGCACGCCGTTCATCTAAATCAATCAATTTGAAGAAATCATTGCTATAAGTAAGTGTCAATTGTCATCGCTAGAGGTATAAGGAATTGTTTTCTTCTTGAAATTTTCCTTAAAAAATATCAATGCCCTGAAAAAGCTTCATCTCTTTTAATGTGTGTTGTTGTCCTTTGGCAGTAGCACAGTCAAAGGAAACTTCAAACATAGAATACAGTTTGCACCGTCAATATTATAATGCCATCACAAAATGCGAGCATGCAACAGGAAACAAGCATTTTTCCCTTTACCAGCTCCTGTATAAATAATATTTCGTTTTAGGTAGATCAAAAATTCACGGGTGAAGAGCTAAAGGGGGTGAGGGAGGCTGAGCCCCCCTTGTTGATGCCAAAAATTGGCAAATTTCTTCTTTTGCTATTGTTTTTGCAACATTTTGTGCAAAAGCCTTCCTTTTCATTTTGATAGCTCTACACCACTGCCAAAAACTTATTTATAATAGAAAAGTCTCTCTGCTCTAAAAACAAGAAACCCGGCAATTCACCACTGGTTATGCCTGTGATATTGATAATAATAATAATAATAATCAGCATCTTGCAACGACCTCATTTTCGTACAAGCACCTTTGACATGTAAACAAGATCAGGTTAAACAGCTGCTTTGTTGTGCGTCGAAAATTGTAGCAGATTCTAGCCCAAGAAAAATCTTAGATGGAGAAATTTGCAGATTTATCTTCTCTCCTGTGGATATAGGTCAGCAGTAGTATTCTCGACATTGCTTTTGTTCTCATACGTTGAATTTTTACTGCAGCACTCAATCATTTTGAAGTTCATTTAGGCCCATTTTTTGGGGTCACTATATTTCTTGAAGATTCTTTTGCTTGGAAACTTGCCATGGTTGACTTAGTATTTTTTCTCCTTTTAGGTTGCTAGAAATCGAGAAAAAATCCGTGTAAAAGAAACCTTGTGGCTCAAAATTCAATCCTGCAGAAATTCAGCGCCAATTCAGTTCCATCTGAAAAAATGTCGAAGGAGAAGATGAACGTGAGCACTGTCAGGTGACTCATTTCGCCTGTTTCAAATTCCTGCTTGTCAAGTAGGCCTGTATCGAAAAATGGACTCAATCGCCTTAAATTGTACTCTTGTTTACAATGATAAAGATTATCGTGTTCTTTTGACAAACACGCACATCATCTGGTACCCAGACTGTAATGGAGAATTGCGTACGACACATGAAGGAACAGGTACGTAATGTGTGCATGCAGTGGATGTTTACAGAGCATCATTAAGTGTAATTTATAAAGAAATAAACTCGTCACTCATCACAATCATGTTTGAAAATTATCCAGATAGTCATCCAGATAGTGTCTGTCATTGGAAATAATGCCCAGAACTTGTCTTTTTACTTCTTGTCTATCGTGTATCATTACATATACAATAAATGCCGTTTGCAATTTGCAATAGACCAAACTATAGGTCTGTGAAACCCAAGTTCTTGTATTTTGTCACTGAAATTTTCTTCCATTTTGTTAACCAGAAGCTTTGAGAGGGGGTGATGGCCAATAGGGGGAAAGGGTCTTGCTCTTTACAGCCCTATGATTAACCCTTCAGGCACTACCAGGGGGGGGGGGGGGGGGGGTGAAATTATTTCATATTTCATTAAGATATCTTGCGATTATTTCATATTTCAAAATCACCAAAGCAAAGCATTTCGAAATTGTCAAATGTTCCACTCCTGCTCCCAAAATAGAAATTTTTAAGGAGGTGTCAGGCCAAGTTGGAGCAACTCACACACAAAATGGACTGAGTCTTCAAAACCAATCTTTGCAGATAAAAATAATGAAAATGTATAAAGAATATGTTCAGGAATAGCCAACGTGCCCTGTACTTTGATAAAAATAGGGAATTCATTCTCTTTGGAACTGTGGTGATCATTTGGTACTTTTCAGGGGAATCTAAGGATTCTGGATGAAATATTTATCTTTGTTTTGCTCAACTTATTTTTTGGGAACAGCTAAACAAATTCAAAACATACATGTACCAAAACTAATAGTCTTAAGTCTTGTGCATGGAGGGTACAACCCGGAAGGGGCCAACAGACATGTCTGGGAGACTTTAATGGATTCTCCATACTATATTCATACTGTTATTTCTGTTAGAATATATTATTATTATTATTATCTAAGGCTCTCTGTAGTCATGTGTTATGTTTTGTTAAAGCTTATTGGACAATGGACACTTATATAACCTGCTAACCTTGATTTGAGTTTTGTTTTAACCATTGTACTAGGCCTGTTCTGTTCCATGAACGTTCTTAATTCATATGTATTCGTATTCATATTTGATCACAGCTTTGGATAAATTTAACAATTTCAAGTCACTTACAGTCTTAGGTGCATTAAATAGCAAGAAACATTGCTAGAATACACCAATTTGACTTACAGCCTCATGTTGAAAAATTCTTCAAATTCTTTTGTACAAAATTGTGGACCTCAGATTCGGATTGAGAGCAATGATTTTAATCTACTTCAAAGTTTTCATAATGGTATTGCTCACGAAATTTATTTTATAACGACATAAAGATGAAAATTTTATAAGGGATTTGACCGTGATTGGCAACTAGGGGGATAAAGTTTCTCCCCGAAACAATTTTTGCGGTAAAATCCCTAGGGGGTTTATCCCCGAAACTAGGGGGTTTTCAAACTTAATTTCTCCGTAAAATCTAAAATATAGGCTCAAAAAATATGAAAAAATTGTATTCGGCCTAAAATTATGGTGATGAAACCATATCTGAGCTTGAAAAAGACGTATAATTAAGTTTGGAGAAATTTCTAAAGCGAGGTCGTAAGTCCAATTGGTGTATAAAGTCCATGCAAAGCTAAAACTAAGTCAAGTCAACTCTTTCAATGTTCTCAAGAAGAAATAATTATAAATACTACAGATTGACTGCATTAACAACCAAAAATTTTGTCAGATTTTTCTTGGATAAACTTTGTCAAAATATAGTAAAAAGTATATTTAAGTATAAATATGTATGTTAATGTATAAATAACCTTATGAATAGAGTATAATTAAAAGTATGTTTATATATTAATATATATAAGTATAAGATTCAGAAATCATAAGACCACCTCCAATAGGAAAAGTTGGTCTGGAAATTTTGCTTTCTGTAGAGTTCAAAATTTGGGTTGAAAAGTGCAAATACTTTGAACGAATGATTTGATTTGGTTTTTGACCTCAATTATTAGTTGTTCTATGCATCTCTCAAAAACTTTAGATGCAAAAAATTTTATCATGACCGAATGTAGGTATTCATCCTTTTTTAAATTTAGTGGAAGAAAATTTTGCAGGCAATGTACATGTTTCTGAAATATTTTAGTCAGTCAGAATCAACATTTTCAGAACTTCTGAGAGGTTAGCTACATTCTTTTCTCAAATAAAATGTCACAGACGCATCAAAAACTGTCTTCTAATTTGGTCAGTATCAGAATAACGTCTCAGGAAAAATGTCTAGCCACAGATAAAAAAGTTGAAGAATAAGCAATGTCTATCTGGAGATTTCCTCTCATGTTCTAGTAAATAATGGCCTTGCATTAAGTATCATGTCATTTGATGCTGAGCATATATAAAACTGGATAAATCTTTTCAATGCAGCCTCCCTCCACTGAAATCTCAGCTTACATCACTAATCTCGATAGGTTGTTGTTTTGATCAAAGTTGAAAGCATGTTTACTTTGACTCTTTGAATTTCATAATCATTTCCTATTCATTTCACATTGCAGATAAATCATTTCACAAAGTTCTCTTGGAGGAGTTGGTTGCTATAACATACGAAGATACCCATGATAGAAATAAAAAAGACTCTCAAAGCAATGAGATTGAATTGTTCCCAAGAAGCAATTTTGCTATTCACTATGTTTCAAAATGCAAAAATCACAAGTGGAAGTGCAAAAAGACTGTGTTTCATTGCAATGATTCCACTGACTGTCAGAAATGGGTTGAAATTTTGAGGAAAATCATTGGAAGTGAGTGGACTTGAATTTTTTGACCCATGTGATGTTTGACACTGGTCTGGGGATAACTGAGTGTCTCACATTTTGTACAGGTCTGTAGTCATACACCAATGAAAGAAACCAGTAGAGCCATTTCATTTGAAAGATGATGTTAGAGAATCAACCAGTGTTTTTTGATGAAATTAAGGAACACAGAGACAGACAAAGGATAAACAACACAAGCAAAAATAGATTATAGATATCTAAAATTTTGCCCCTGGAAAAAGGGCTTCATCAGAGCAGAAAAAGTATTTGTTTGGTAGATCTGCCTGATATACAATTGAGCTTGCTTGCTATCCACTAAAATGTGTTCAAATTCAGTCAATGTCAAAAAGGAAAGTAGCCATTTTTTGTCATTTCAATAATTAGTACCACACTTGCTTAATAAATGGACATTGAAATAAAGTCATTTAGTTTCTGTATCTTTCATGGATGAATATTTTCTTCTTTAGGTTTTGAGAGGCCAAGAAAACTGTTGATTTTTATCAACCCTGTTGGAGGCAAAAAACAGGCAAATAAAATCTTCAATGAAAGAGTTAGGCCATTGTTCACATTAGCAAACATCAAGCAAGATGTCATTGGTAAAAACTCTTGATTTTTATTTTTATTTCATAACTCAGGATAGTATTAAAATTTATAATGATGCATTAGAACTGAAAGCTTTTTTGTTAACAACTTATAGGAATGTTTGTTGATATTTGTTTGTTCCTACATAAGTTCTTTATTTGTCAGTGTTGTGGTAGATTATGACCTTCTTTAATGTGCAGAAATAAAAAGAGCCAGCAAGCGATGATGCTATGTTAGGGTTGCATTTGAATAATTTACTGACTGAATATGTTACAGGGAGAATACACATAAAACGAGGGAGTACTACGAAAGTATTTTTGGTTACATTACTGGGGATAAGAATACAGTGCTAGGTGTTAATCACAGTGATACAATGGAAGACATGGTTACAGCTTAATGTTGGCCACTAAAAATTCTCCTTGACAATGTTAATTAAAACCATTCAGCTGAAAAGTTGCTCACAGAGCATTGTTTATCTGATTTTGATGAAAATATGTTACAGGGAGTATGCACATAAAACGAGGGAGCGCTACAAAAGTAATTTTGGTTACATTACCGGTGATCAAAATACGGTGCTAGGTGTTAATCACAGTGATACAATGGAAGACATGGTTACAGCTTAATGTTGGCCACTAAAAATTCTCCTTGACAATGTTAATTAAAACCATTCAGCTGAAAAGTTGCTCACAGAGCATTGTTTATCTGATTTTGATGAAAATATGTTACAGGGAGTATGCACATAAAACGAGGGAGCGCTACAAAAGTAATTTTGGTTACATTACCGGTGATCAAAATACGGTGCTAGGTGTTAATCACAGTGATACAATGGAAGACATGGTTACAGCTTAATGTTGGTCCCTAAAAATTTTCCTTGACAATGTTAATTAAAACCATTCAGCTGAAAAGTTGCTCACAGAGCATTGTTTATCTGATTTTGATGAAAATATGTTACAGGGAGTATGCACATAAAACGAGGGAGCGCTACAAAAGTAATTTTGGTTACATTACCGGTGATAAAAATACCGTGCTAGGTGTTAATCACAGTGATACAATGGAAGACATGGTTACAGCTTAATGTTGGTCACTAAAAATTCTCCTTGACAATGTTAATTAAAACCATTCAGCTGAAAAGTTGCTCACAGAGCATTGTTTATCTGATTTTGATGAAAATATGTTACAGGGAGTATGCACATAAAACGAGGGAGCGCTACAAAAGTAATTTTGGTTACATTACCGGTGATAAAAATATGGTGCTAGGTGTTAATCACAGTGATACAATGGAAGACATGTTAACAGTTTAATGTTGTTCACTAGAAATTCTCCTTGACAATGTTAATTAAAACCATTCAGCTGAAAATTTGCTCACAGAGCATTTGTTTATCTGATTTTAATGAGAATCAGCATTTCTAGTTGAGAACCTTTGCTTATTACTACTTCTTATGTTTTAGTTACCGAAAGGGCAAATCATGCACAAAGCTACATAATTTCAACAAATTTAAGTGACTATGATGGGTAAGTAATGACTTTGTTAATGACAGGAAGTTATGCTTCTTTTCATGCATTATCATAGTTGTATTCAAAATATCTTTTTTCTGATTTGTAATCTCCTTACATCATGTGATTCATTAATTGAATAAAAAAAATTTAAATTAAAAAATATTTCTTATTCAAACCGTGTTAAAAAAATGTTTAGAATAGTTTCAGATTCATTTAAAATAAGTTTGTTAGAGTTGAAAGAATAGTATTGCATACATATTATAGAGGTGTTTAGAGTTCTTTGCATGAGAGAATTTCAATGACCAAAATCATTTAAAATATGACACTATAAAAACTACTTGAAGAAATTGTTGACCATAACGAAGTTTGTCAATTAGAGATTAGTGGTTTAGCTATTCATAAAAGAATAAGCTTTGGGCTGATGGATTTTGGGGCTACGACTTTGGTGGTGAACTCTAAAAAGCTTGATTTTTGTTCAGTTTTTTCTGCTACTGTTGAAGTGTTTTTGCTAGCATTACCTTGAAAAAAGCAGATAATTCTAAATCACTGCAAACATTTTCAATAGGTTAAAATGCGAAAGCATAGCATGCCAAAAGTGCGTATTACATCGGTGCGAATCATAAGTAATACGAGAGGGAGAAATGTCCATTGAACTTGTTCCTTTGTCTTTGGCAAACTAGAGTCTACTATCTTCTTCCATAAGTGAAGAGTCTAAGAGAGAAATCGAACTCATTCTGTCTTGGTGAATTGTTATTTCTGCACACATGCCAATTCGCTCAATTGTATGATGTTTTATTTTAGAATAATTGCTGTTGGAGGCGATGGAATGTTCAGTGAAATTCTTAATGGAGTTCTTGCTGCCAGAAATCAAATATTTGAAGGCAGTGTTACTAACCAAGTTATAAAGCTTGGTATTATACCAGCAGGTAAGTTATTAATTTGTTTTATTTGTACAAGGTAGTATTTAGGCCTGGAGATCTTCATGTTATGTGACAACCAGTTATCCTTATCGTGATTGACAGGTTGCAAGTACAACAGAACGATGTTTCTTTACCATCATTTCTGAGTTGCATAAACAATGCGTTACAAAACTGATTTTACTTAAGATATCTAAAACTATCTAATCATTTTATTTTTTATTTCGTTCTTTTTGCTCCTTTGCAATAGCTGAGTGTATTTGATAGGCAAAAACTTAGAAGGTAGGAATTATTTCTTTTAACATGTTATGAAAGTCAACAATAAGAATTTTTCCAAAGTCAGATAGACACGAAAGTTTTAGGTAAAAATTTTGGAAACGGAGCTCAGCATGGTGTAGTGAACTAGCAGTTTTTAAAAAGTTTGTCTCAAAATATATTCTTTAAATATTTTGAATTTCTAAATCAATTTTATTTTCGCTATTAAGAAAATCGTGGGTTGTAATTTTTCTAACGAAACCTTTATTGTTTAAATTTTAGTATTTTTTTTAACAAAAGTGAATCTACACTAATTGAGACAAACAAAAAGCAATTTCAAGGGTTACAGAATCCAGATTACTTACTGCAGAAAGAACATCCTCACTTGTTTTTAAGGAACCAAGTTTTAATCAAACTTTTGAATTGTTTAGTATTTTTGGCTGTCATTTTATTATTCGTCTATTATTATCATTAGAATTTATTTCGCAAATATGCTCACATCTTTACTGTCTTTTGAAGTCTGTTGAGACTTCAAGGTAAGGAAAAAAGCATTTCCGCCAAATTTCAAGGTCTGATGTCTTTGATTGTTTGACTCCATGCGTTCTACTTGTAATTTTGTTCCGAAATGCCTTTCGCCAGTCAAATCCTAAAGAAGTAGCATATACTAAAACACTTTCCCACAATTGCAAGAATTCTGACCCCTCATTTTCCCGTGCACAGAAGGTCTAATATAAATTTTCTTTAGCATTGCCTGATGCCTGAACACCATGTTAAGCATGAAACTCAGAGTCGCAACTTTAAACCGTCCTGTTTTTTTACCAAAGCCTTTTTTAGCTCTGCTTTCATGGCATTTAATTACAAACTGTTAAAACAGTAATTTTCATCATTTTCAACAATATTTTATATGTTGGAAAAAAGCCGCTAACATATGTATGGAAAAGAATGTTTCTTGTTGGTTGAACGAAATACGTCATACTAAGCATATGAGATTTCAATCCAAGCTTATCTTGTTTAATAATGCCCTTGTCCACAAAATATTTGGAATTATCATAACATATGTTGGCGGCTTACGACGATACTAAAAATACATAGGAAGGGGGAGGATACTAAAAATATTTTAGGACAGGGGTGCTCAGACTGTAGTACAAATCCTTAACCCAAAAAATTATTTCTAACAAAAAATTTGAGTACAAATTATTTGTAGCATTCTTCTTTGCTTGGTTTTTTGACAAAGCGGTTTGAATATTACAAGATTTTCATCCATGCTAATAATTATTTCAATGTTTATAGGCTCGACAGATACTATTGTCTTTTGCACTTCTGGTATCAACGACCCGACAACGTCAGCACTGCAAATAATTATAGGTTAGTACACACTTCTGCACTAGTGACTGAGTCTTCAATCGTCATTAGACTTTTTGCCATCTTTTAATGTAGCTCAAAACTACAAGTGTCACCTTTACACCTCTTGAGTTTTATAGTTCCTCAATGGGAACTTATTTTTGCTGTTCCTTACGAAATAAATTATTGGTATGTGAAATTAGAAACTTTCAATGGTATCCCCTCTCTTCTTTCAAATAATTTTGCTTTAAGTTGACATTAAAGCTTCAATGTGGGAGAATTTTGGCTCAAAATCATTTGTCATATGTCAGTTTTTATATGTGGAGGCATTGACTCAAAACGTATGACAACAAGATATCGCTAGTTTTGGGGTGATTACTTTATTTAAGAACCTTTTCAAAAAGACCTTTGGAAAAATGGTTTTTTATTGCTATCGAAAATTGATAGACTAATAATTGTTTACCTCCAGGTGACCAGTTATCTCTTGACGTGTGCTCTGTATGGCATGAAAACAAATTCTTGAAATACTCAATATCGCTAATGGGTTATGGTTTCTTTGGTGACGTCATTAGAAATAGCGAGCAATTGCGGTGGATGGGGCCACGAAGATATGATCTTGCTGGCTTTCGGAGTTTCATGGCAAACAAGTAATGCAATAAGCATGTCATATTAATACTTAATGTTATAAGTTGAGGATCAAATATTGTTCTTCATCGAATGTTTCATTAAATTCAACTATCTCAGATTGTTTGAAGATAAGGGGCTTGGGTTCTAGTTTTGATTTTGTAATTCAATGGGGTCACTACAATTCTGATAATACTTTGATATCTGTATGGTAACTTGCACATTAGCTTTGCAGTTAAGAAATTATTTCGTAGCAAAGGAGGTTAATATAAGCCAAATTACCACATGAAAAGCTCTTTAAAATTTTCAAACAAACAGGCAAAAATTTCACAAATTGGACAGGTATGTTAATATTCTACAACTTTATCTGCTAAACATATCAGATTCGTCTTTCTTGCCAGCATTATGAGAAACATTTTACTCTTTGGATGTAATCAGTTCAGTTACCTGAAAATTGCCTGGCTTTGATCTGTCAACTTTTTACATCAAATGTCTAATCAAAATTTTTTCTAAAATGAATGAAAATTAAAAAGACTTTTCCGCGGCTCGAAGAAAATATGAAACATTATTCATTGATCCATTAGTTAGTAGTGACAGTCTATAAGATTTTTAAATTTCTATAGGTCATATGGAGGTGAAATTACTTATCTGCCAGCAGAAGATGCAGATCCATTAAAGAGGCAACGATGTTTAGCCGGGTATGGTTTTCATTAGTATCTATAATAATAATAATAATAATGATAATAATAATCGAATGTTTTAACAGGATAACCTATCAGTATAATATATACTGTTATCATTAGGTTCTGATACTTAATAAATTCATGGTAAAGGATCTAAAAACTGATTACAAGAGTTCAATACAGTCCAATCTAAAGATAAAATAATTTTACATCAAATAAAATGAGTTTCTAAAAATCGTCTAAAAATAGTTCTAGATTCAATCTTTCTGGCACTTTAATGACTTTCTGGCAAAGTCATTAAATTCCTTTCCTGCCTGATAGTAAAAACCTTTGTGTCCAAATTCTGTTTTCACTTGAGGCAACTTGACTAGATGTTTGTCCTTTCTAGTATTTTTCCCATGAGCATTAATTGTATTTTTATCATTGCAATATACAATTACTGTCTTTTTTGATAAAAAAACGTTGTGTTTGGAATATTCATTTTTGCTTTTGTCAATCACTACCACGTAATACTATCGCTAAGTATCATTTCAAAATATTTTCAAAACAGTTAAGTCATGATTAAACTGAGCTTATTTCATTCGACCAAATTATTGTTTAACCGTTTTTGGTGATTCTTATGCAAAGCATAGGTAGTTATATTTGAAAAGATCCTGAAGCCAGAAGTTTCGGGTTTTTGAAAATGGAGACATAAAGTGTTCATGCAACTGAAATATAAAGTAATTGCCTCTGTGCTCTGCTCTGTTATTAAGAGAGTGGAGGAGGATGTGAGGAGAAGAACGGTTTGGCAAAAGGTGGATTTGAAGAATGATGTAGAGAAATGATGGATGAAGAGATGGCAGGGTTGTGGGGTCAGTGAGAAGTGTCTGTAGAGGAGGGCATAGAAAAGGAAGGAAGTGGGGAAGAGAAGGGTGGGAAAGACAAGGTACTGAGAAGGGAGATATTGGTGCAACGGAAGAATGGCTGAAGTTAATGGAGTGGAACGGAAGGAGGACAGAGGTTAATGGTAGATTGCTTGATAAGGCTGAAATTTAAGTGACGTGTATTGGGTACCCAGGGTATGCTTGGATTAGCAACGTTTGATGTTATTGATCGTCGATATGCCTATCTACCACTTTTTGAATTCCATGATAAAAAAATGGGTATTTTTTCTTTTTTTAGGTGCACCAGGTGTGCCGAAAAAGATGTGAATAAAACAGATTCAAGTTCGAATTCATGGAAGACTGTTAAAGGACAGTTTATCAGCGTAATAGGAGCAAACATAACCTGCAAATGTGCAAAAAGTCTTGATGGAATATCTCCCTACGCTCACTTAGGAGATGGTTTATTCGATCTCATTCTTATTAGAAAGACTTCAAGAATGCAGTATTTAAGACATATGCTAAGGATTGCAAACAGAGGTGATCTGGTGGGTTAGCTACGTTCCTGTTAGCAAAAAGAAACCGTATATATATATATGTATATATATATATATATATATATATATATATATATATATAATATATATATATAATATATATATATATAATCTTTTTCTCTCTCTCTCTCTTCTCTCTTTTTCTCTCTTCTCTTCTTTCTCTCTCTTTCTCTTTCTTTTCTCTCTCTTCTCTCTTTTTCTCTCTTTCTCTCTTTTCTCTCTCTTTCTCTTTCTCTCTCTCTCTCTCTCTCTTTCCTCTCTCTTTCTCTCTCTTTCCTCTCTCTCTTCCTCTCTTTCTCGCTCTTTCTCCTCTCTTCTTCTCTCTCTTTCTCTCTCTTTCTCTCTCTTCTCTCTCCTTTCTCTCTCTTTCTCTCTCTTTCTCTCTCTTCTCTCTCTCTTTCCTCTCTCTTTACTCTCTCTTTCTGCTCCCTCTTTCTCTCTTTCTCTTTCTCTCTTTCTCTCTCTTTCTCTCTCTTTCTCCTCTTTTCTCTCTCTTTCTCTCTCTTCTTCTCTCTCTCTTTCTCTCTCTTATCTCTCTTTCTCTCTCTTTCTTCTCTCTTTCTTTCTCTTTCTCTCTCTTTCTCTCTCTTTCTCTCTCTTCCTTCTTCTCTCTTTCTTTACTCTCTCTTCACATCTTTCTTCTTCTGATCTCTACATTTTTCTATTTCGCTACCTCATTACTCTCTTTCTCTCTCTTTCTCCTCTTCCTCTTATTCTCTCTCCCTCTCCCCTCTCTATCTCTCTCTCCCTTAGGCACCGACGGTTTACAAAGTCCAACTATTTTTCTCCCTCAAATGAAGATTTTTATTTTGCTTTAGTAAAGTGATTGCTATTTTATGGCTTAATTTGAGACTTATTTTTAATGAAATTCCAAATTATATTTTGTGATTTATCATTCAGTCTTGATCATAAAAATTGTACGTCTAGCCACTCAACAAATTTCTTTTTCTGACTATTGATCAACTTTTGCCATGTATTGTCTCATGCTCTTATTTTAACGTCCTTCAAGGCATATTTTTAATTAGAATTATGTATTCTTTTTTCCAGTTTGGATTTGATTTTATAGACGTTTTTAGAGTTAAAGAATTCAAGTTTAGGCCAGTTAATTCTGTATCGGACGATTTGGCGAACTTCAGTCAAGATTTGTCTGACAACCAAAATGGCGAACTGGTACAAAGCACGTCTGGTTCTGCTGAGAGCAGAAATAGCAGAAACAGAGAGAGTGTATGGAACATCGATGGGGAACTTGTTGAACAAGCAAATCTCCATGTAAAGTAAGAGCTTTCTTAAGAAGAGAATTTATTGTCATTTTGTGCATTTAAATTGTATTTTATATTTCACTTTTTGCCTTACACAGTCTTGGACTTTGCTAAGATTTTGAATACTTGTAGAATTTTACAGCTGCAGATTTTGTGTTCTAGACGGCGGCCACGGTTCTTGAAAAGAGTCGCAATGTATATTCATACCTGCGAAAATACTGTTATAATTCTGTTTTTAATTTTATTAGAAATATGGTCAAACAAACGACGGAAATTCCATTTTTCCTCATTCTATATAACAATTTATTATAGCTTGGCTTCCAACGCATGATATATTATGATTGGTTTTATTTGATGAAACCAAAAACCATCAATTTTGACGTCTTTAAATAGATTTTGTCCTGGTTATTTAGAATCCTTCACTATGTGTTTTTGCTAAATGTGGAATTTTACGATTTTTCCTTCAAACCTTTGTTTGAAGCTTTTAGAAAGTATTTTATGCATATGCTCAGACTTAGAGCGCCAAGTTCAATCCAAACATGACTATTAAATTAGCCTATGTTGACCCAGATAATTAAAAGCTCAACTCAGTTCTATCTTATTCTTTTTACCTTTTTTAGGAGTCATCGTAAACTTGTTACAATATTTGCAAGAGGAATAGAAGAGATTGAAGAAACTGTCACCTGTAGGTCGTGCAGAACAACGAGCCTTGTTGAATCTTGATAAACGAGTCAAGTTTTAGACTTAATAGGACAAATGTTTCCCAACGACAAGCGACAAAACACCTCAGGTGAATTGATTATTCAAAATTAATTTAAATATCGTCGTTTTAATGTACATCTCAGCTTACGAATATTTCCTCTAGTGTTATTCACAATATATATATTTCATTAAATGGAAGCTTAACCAAGAATAAAATCAAAATGCCTCAGGTGAATTCACTATTCGAAATTAATTTCAATATCGTCGTTTTAATGTACATCTCAGCTTACGAATATTTCCTCTAGTGTTATTCACAATATATATATTTCATTAAATGGAAGCTTAACCAAGAATAAAATCAAAATGCCTCAGGTGAATTCACTATTCGAAATTAATTTCAATATCGTCGTTTTAATGTACATCTCAGCTTACGAATATTTCCTCTAGTGTTATTCACAATATATATATTTCATTAAATGGAAGCTTAACCAAGAATAAAATCAAAATGCCTCAGGTGAATTCACTATTCGAAATTAATTTCAATATCGTCGTTTTAATGTACATCTCAGCTTACGAATATTTCCTCTAGTGTTATTCACAATATATATATTTCATTAAATGGAAGCTTAACCAAGAATAAAATCAAAATGCCTCAGGTGAATTCACTATTCGAAATTAATTTCAATATCGTCGTTTTAATGTACATCTCAGCTTACGAATATTTCCTCTAGTGTTATTCACAAATATTTTTAGTTTGAATGTATAGCAAGATTGGAGTTTAGTGAACCATAATCATCATCGCCGGATACGATGTTGAACCGAGTGTGTATGTTGTTTTCATATTACAGAGTATAGTGTGAGTAAAATATCATTAACAATTGTTTGTTTTGCATTGCTGTGACTGTTGCCTTAGAAATCCGTAATCTACAGAGCACTAGTTTTCTAAGAAATCGCGAGTTTTCAAGGATTCTCTGGTTCAAGAACGTGAGTGAAAGTGAGAGGTGGGTGCTAAGGGAGAGGGGTGCGCTCAAATTGAACATTCAAAGCTTTTAAGTCCATGAATTGCTGGGAACTTTTAAACTATAAGGCTGGCTTAGCATCAATATTAACTGTATGTACATGGATGTAGTTTAAGATATCAATGGTTGCTTGAAATATTATTATATCCGACCAGTTGATGAGCGCTAGCCTTGGGGCTTGTCAAGGATTCATCTCAGACACTGTGAGGCAGGAATTTTAAAATATAGGGATGCTCTTACAGTCATTTTTTATTGGTGGAAACGAGTCGGCTATAGACTGCCAATGTTAACAGATGTTATCACATGCAAGGGACTTTTAAAGATAAAGCATATTTTTATTGTCTGAGCTCTCTGATGATTACAAAGTCAGCACCGTTGCCTTGCCAGAGTCAGGGAGATGGTCCGTACGACCCCCAAGTTTTACTATTAACTACTATTAACTACTAAATATTACTACAATTACAAGTTTATTCATTCACTATTAAACTTGTTCAGCAAAATGACCTTAAGTTCATTTCATATGAAACGAATTTCATAAATGCATCAAAGTTTTAATCAACGCAATCATTGGCGCTAAAATGCGTCTTGTAATTATGTTCAGTCTATTCAGGCCCCCAACTTAGAGGGTGCAGGGGTTTCGGAGGTGCAGCACCTTTTAAGACTAAGGGCCTGTGTAATTTTAATCTTGTCTTTATATGAGAAACGCTCTCTTCAGGGCAAATGATATCATGCTGTCAGCTTGCCAGATCTCACCTCTTAGGAAGGCTAGAACGCAAAACTGCAAGGAAGGTGAGATAAAATTCTTACTTATGCGAGTGTGTTCGCATTCCATGAGAAAAATAAAGCAATTTGCAGTCAAAAAGCATAGCTGCAAGGTGGGATAACAAAGAAAACGGAAGCTGGAAGGTTGGGGTAGAAACATGCGATGATTTCATCCTACCTGCCAGCGTATAAGCTGAAAGGTAGGATCTATTTGCTAATATAAATAGGCCTTCAAAGTTGCGGCAATTTCAACAAAATCA